TATTAAAGATAAGATACACTGCATATGCTTGTAAGCAAAAAATGCAAATTGCTAAAAATAGTGCTTGTAAATTTGAGCGAACTATAAATATTCGAAATTAAAGAACGAAAAAATTATTGGTGGGGCTACTGAAAGCCCAGCGAGACACCCCCCTCCGCGGTCCCTGACATACGTACTTATAGCCAAGTTGCGTAACCTAAATCTCCCAACTGAACAGCGTGATTGATGAATTGTATAATTGATTTTTAAAACATTAATATTATATAGAGTTAAAATGTTGAATCCGGATTAGTGTTCAGGATATTATTTTCTAACCAGCCACGTGAGTTTTGTCCTATATGGTGGTTGACGGTAAATAGATAGAAGTAGTTGACACCGTTTATCTTTTAGCTCTTACCGGTCGGTAAACCTAGAACCGTTATATAGATAAAGTGATATAGAGAAGGCTAGTAAAAGACTTTATTTCAGGTCTAGTCCAACCAAACTAAAGTGAGCAAAGTTATTTACATGAGATTTGGCATTAATTACCATTTTCTATTATATTTATAGGTCGATTGTGCATACCATGCGTACTATACCATCATATTCAGCAGCATGATAATTTAGAATTGTGATATTTGATTGAATAAAAGCAATAACGCATAAAATAGTGATAATGCAAAGACTCGGGTGTGTATATTAAATGTATATGTGATGTTGCTACGTAATGGTCAAGCTAATTTTTCAGCTTGTCCGGTTGGTGACTCAGAGTAGCAACATCACATAAACGCATAAAATTATTAAAGTTTTGATTGGCATCGTTTTACGTCATCGTTTTCAAATCCTCCCTACTGTGTTTTATGATGGAGGCTTTAGGCTGTCCTGTCGTTCCAGACGTGTAGATATACAATACACGTCGTGAAAAACTAAGACAACAAATATAATTAATTGGCAGTTGTTGACTATTGCACTTAACTTTTGACTAATACTGTTGGTTGTATAGTACCAACATTAAGAGGTTAGTTGATATAAAAAAAATGTATTATGTACACAGCTTGCCTGCTTTTGAAATGAAATTTGAATGTTATAGCTTCGTTCCAGATACCCTTTTGTTTGAAACAGGACGAATTTCGAAGCACAGTATTTGCATGTCGGGCGTTTTCTCATGCATGTCCATGAGAACATATATAAGAAGAAGTCTAACCTGTTTCCTATAATTGAACTTATTCATCTATATATTTCTTTTAGAATTCCGTCCCGACAGATGGGGAGATGACGCGTACATCGAGGATTTACTCTATAATGTAGCTATATAATGTGTTTTCATCGTTTTGACTTTTGAGATGATCACGAGAAGAAATCTCGATGACGTAGGTCCGTGCCTCTGGTATATGTGGTGTTTACCCTGAGAGTATGTTTGGGCGATGGCAATGAAAACTTTCTTGCGCGAACCGTCAGGTTGAAATATTTTATACTACACATGCATATATGATATATGCTACAATATGTTATGAAATTGCAATGAACGCCACTATGCCCTTTTCTGTATATTTTATAATAATTTCAGTATACTAAAAATGACGAGGACTTTTTGCAAGAGTTTAGTCTTACAAAACTTCGACGTTGTTGCATGACTTGCATCAGCCGACAGGTTATAGGGACGTATGAGTTGTAGTCAACAAATCTGTTGTGTTGATGACACGTTTTAGGGCCTTTTCGGATGTTTTGTCGCAACCAGCGGTTTTGTATATTAGTTAAACTTAAAGAAAGACAGCTTGTAAGCATAAACAGCATGCATAAATGTTATAACAAATAATTTAAGAAAAGCGAAGTTCCAGCTGTTTGTCTTGGTCAAAATGTCTTGAATAATGATATAACAAAGTCTCCTACAATTTGGCCGAAAACCAAAAAATAAGATGTGTAGTCGGTTTGTGTTGGTGTTTGTGTTGGTGTTTGTGTAGGTTCTCAGCAGTTAGCAAATTTGCACTTTTGCAAGTTTACTAACTGCCGAGAACGTACACTAACACAAGCACGAACCGGTAAATTAAAATTATTACAAATATATTTTACTATTAAACTTCCACGAAGTTGTCCTTTTCATAAGAGGTGCTGATCATGAGTCAACAATTTTGATTTTGCGCATAATTCAACAAGATTAGCAGCCTCGTACCCGACTAACCCGAGGTACGAAGTTGCAGGATTAAAAGCCTTTGTTACGGTTGAAAGAGCCAATTAAAAATACTGCTCGAACAATTCACGTGAACGATGTATGATAGGAATTCTTTGAAGGGAAGCCGCATGACAGCTCAAAAATATTATTGCCAGACGACCATCCGCCTCTGGGAAACGCGTGTATTCGACAAGACATGGGCTCATATTTCCGCTTCCAACTTCTTCAGAACATTCAGAACAATACGAGTCATTTTAAAAGTTATCCTTAATGTCCATATCTACTCCTTGTTGCCCTCCTTTATTAACTCCTTCTTCTGCCTTTTCTTCTGAAATGACGCCTTCCTCTCCATGCAGCTCGCATTTCAAGCTCTCTTTTCCATTATCTTTGGCGTGTTTCACTTGGTTGATGTGATTTTCGACCGTGCTGAAGGTTCGCTGTTTTTCTAAAGCAATTGATTGCCTTCTTCTTGCGGCCTCGCTTCTTCCTCCAACATCCATTCGAATTGGCAGAGGCTTTACTACGTTAAGAGAGAAAAATATTTTGTCGATCGAAGTGTCATTAAACTAATATTCTCTATATCCGATAGAGAAAGTCTTTCTACCGCGCACAATTATACATACATAGTCTCATTTCTATGGAAAATGCTGTGGGTTGTCAATTTTTTTTTCTGTGATACTCACCAGTAAGTCACATGCCGATGTATCTGACATCTTAATTGATACTAAGCATAACTATAAGCACCACGTAGTAAAACTTCAAGGACTAGGAAGTGAGAGGCCTATACCGGAAAACTCGGTTCTGAGGAATTAAGCTAATGCTGAATTACAACAGCATCTCACTGCATTTCATTGTAACTTACTTCAACTCGAGGAATACTGCTGATATTTGAACTTGGTTACCAGTAAATCAAAGCAAAATTGTCACCAACATTTGAAACCTTATTCGCGAGCTTCGCGGTGTTCGATCGCATACTAGATTGTGCCTAAATCTGACCTAGCTGGCTAGCTACCTCACACCAATAACATATTAAAATAGCTAAGCAAATATGGTGTACGATTCAACAACTTATACACACACTTACCCTTGCCTATTTTTGCTTTCACACATGCACAGCCCATGATTCGAGCAGCTATTTTTTAATAGCAGCCAGACAAAATACTTTTCATCACATGTATACGCCAAAATTTGTACAATGGCATGGCGTTTACCATGTATACTAATGGCAAAATGTTTTGTAGAGTTTCCCTGGAGATTAGATCTGTTGGGATTTGGAACAATAAAAGTGTAATTAATATTTGTATAAGTGTTATATTTTACGCTGTTGCAAATTACGTCGCTTTATATTGTTAGTGTGATTTTCGTCGACCAATAGAGTTTGGCTGGAATTAAGACTTTGGAATAAATTGTTTGATATGTGGACATTAGCACAGGGCACTTAATTCGTTTCAGGCAATTAGATACGCCACGCAGACAAGCAGGGCAAGTCGCCTGATTAATGAGGAAAATTGTGAAGACACTCTCATTCTTAGGCAGTTTAACTGTCTGAAAACATACGCTTCCTAGTTTAACAGGGAATGTTCCCGGTTTGAGGAAGAAGGAAGAGAAGTGTAGGTTTTTTTAAGAAGCCAACTCGATGAAGCACTTAACACAACAGGTTTTTATCAGCTTGCGATATTGTGCCGGGTTGTCGTTACGGTTACAGAGTAGTTTTAAGTCCAGGTTTCCATGTGCAGCGAAGGCGCTTCTGTACGCAAGGCAAACTGCCCTATTATACGGCCCTATTTACTAAGACTGTTTGGAATGATTATATTCGTCTAAATGAAACCGGACTTAGAGATGATTAAGCTAATCATGCAGAAAATTTCCGCCTATTTCAAATGCAAGCAGCATATTCTCTTCACTTCAGTTCTGTGTATACCATTTAACTCGCACTTTATACCATTTAACTCGCACGAATTTCGCACTAAGACCATAATTGACAATGTATTATCGCGAGGAAGAGGGGTCAGGTTACTATTTCTAATATGATGAAATCCAGGAAAGTCCTCTGATTATGAAATTTTCATATGAAATTGTATACCCAACAATAACATTTTTAACTAATAAACATTTGTATACACGTGGCACGGTTCAAGTGAAAAATTTCCTTATGCATAGTTTTGGTTGGTTTTGTTGTTAGTCTTCGGAATCCAATAAGTGGGAAAAATTCAAATCAGTTTGAAGTGCATGATAATAATGCAAACTACCTCTCAGACCTAAGTCACCAAACTATCACTGAATTAACTCAAAAAAGGCAGAGGCATGCAAAGGTTTTCGTCTGGAAAGTTCTTGTCAAAGAGATCGGTCAGTCTGTTTGTATTTCTGCCGAGGACTTGACATCCAGAAGGCAATGTATCATGTATGTATAATGCATTTTCCAAGTGACCACCACATGACTGCACGTTGACATGTGTAAAAGTTTGCGACAGCTGCGCGCATGCAGTCATCACCAAATGAAAGTAAAACGGAAAAGTTTACGAACAGAAAATATAAGTACTTTATATATGCAGTCATATGACTAACTGACCGCTTTTAAAACAGGCAGTCAATATAATATACAACAATATCACATTTTGTAAGGATTTAGGATTACGTGCCTTATATAGCCGGACTATATCAAATCTCGAATTCATAATGTCCACTTCCAGCATGCCTTATATGGTAGTCACATTCCTAGAAATGACAATAGATATAAATGTCGTAACTCGTAACGGAGTTCCTGGTATCTATTAAAATCAATATTTCCATTGAAGCAGTTTTCGTCTTAGTGCATTACTTCGAAGAACAAGCGCCGTTTATATAACTGGAGTTAACCAAATAAATACATTCATACCTGTGTATTGAGCCACGAAGTAGCGATATATTCAGACGATAAGACTTAACAGCAACCTGCATTGCCATTGAGTATTGTGAATATGGCGTGCTATAGCAGTTCCAAAGCCAAAGGGCTGAGTTTAGTGCCTCTAATTGTTCACTTTCAGATCACAGTTTTATATATTTTGTCGTCAACGAAGAAAGTAGAATCATGTAATAATTCAACACTGGGAAGTTCATCCTGTATTCGTATTTCTCGCTACAGCGGCGAGCAGTGGTCGACTTGTGTTACAGACTTGTATATACGACAAAAATCCAAGGGTCGCCACGGCTGCCTAAAAGGTCAACAAATTTGCATTTATCAGTGCATGTTAGAAGTTTACAGCACAAATTCTGGAGCAGTGTCGAAACCATGTACATGTTCTACGGGCGAAATATTGAAGACTGACGATGGGTTTCTTTCCGTCACCTTCAAGCCGAGTATTCCTGCATGGTGTTCTAGTCCAACCGGAGCAAATTGTGGCTGGTTCAAGACGTGTTTAGCTCAACGATTTCCATGTGCTGGAAAATTCAAGAACGAAGTTATAAAATTTGGAGAAGTCCTTTGTAAGTCGTATCTAAATCCTTATTCACACTTGTCTAGAAACGCTCATATGTGGTTAAATGGTGTACGGAAATGCCTACAAGTCAACTTGGTACCTTTATTGAGAATATGGCAAGGAACAAGACGGCAAAACTCATGTAAAGCACTAACAAGACGCGCAATATCCTTGTACAGACATTGTTTTTTTTCGCCATATCCTGCAACAATTACAACAATCTGCAAATTACCTCTTGTCGATTTGTGGCGAATTTTCTGGCATCTACGACAAACACTAACCGACCAAAATGTCCAGAATAGTCTTATGGAGATACTAAAAACTATCGAACGTTGTGATGAATTCCGGAAAGTGAACTTAAATCTTGGAAAAGTGAGGAAATTCTTATTCCAGGTAAACCTTGGGACATTAAAGAAGCGAACGCTTATAGCGAAAGAATTAAGCATAAAAATTGCAAAACATTTGTGTTTGGATAGAAAAGGCATTTCGTGGTTTGCCTATTCTAATATTACTCAGAAGTCTGAAAACAGTACAATCGAACTGGTGTTTTATATTGCCGACGAATATGAGCATAGAATGAGGCAAAAGTTTGGCGCGGACACCTTGGTTAATCTTAATGATACAGTGAAAGCGTTGACCGAAGCGGTTCGCAAAAATGAATTGTGTTTTCAAGTTTTTGACGGAGAGCACAAGTATCGAATAACAGCAACAACTGTTTGCAACGATATCGAGTGCCAAAGTAATAGTTGGAAAGTGGTAGCAAGCGAGTTGAGCCCGAGAAAATCATCGGTGCCGATGGTCAATAATTGTAGACCAGTTACTGAACCATCTAGTATGTTGCTTTTAGTTGCAGAATTCATCTTAGCTATGGCTGTAATAGCCACAACACTTATGACAAAGTAAGACGTCTGTTTCTGTCTTACTTTTACTACAGGAGTTAAGTTAATTTTTAGATTTAAAAAACGTTCATTTTCGTTGTCTATTTGTAATGTGGAAGTCAAGTCCCTCTGCACATAATTGAAACTGAAAAAGTGATCTTTACCGATGTGGGATAGTCTGGATGGAAAGTTTGTATTTATGTGTGGAGTGCGTGCTCTGCTTTCAAACAATGCAGTTTCTCTGAAAAAACAAACTCTGAACTCTATCGTTTCTAAAACATAAAGATCTTCGCAGAAGGACTTGGCAGCCTCTTTATATTTAGCACATATACAGTAAGAGTGTTCACATTGTGTTCAGAAAAAAGAAACTGTATTGATATTTAAGAACACGCTGCCGGAACTATTAATTCCTTTTTTAGTATTTTTCGATCTTCCGTTTTTCTTTGGTTTTCCAATATATTTCTTTTAACATCGTACTAAAGATAATGGACGCCGAAAAATTTCGAATACAAAGAGAAAAAGGAAAAAACTGTAAAAGGGTTTATTAATAGTTTTAAAGCGTCACTCTATTTCGGATGTATTAAAATTATACCACTAAATTATACTAGTATAGCTCTAGTATAGATCAGTGATTACTACCTATGATGATATCACACAATATGCCTGGTCTATCTGTATAAGGTGAACATTGATATTTATATAAAGAACGAGAAACGTCTTGTACAATCATATATAGCTACTTGTTGGATTATATGCCAAATGTTTAAGTTATGTTGAGTTAAAAGTTAAAACTGGAATACAGTCAGTAAACCGTGATTACTAGACAAACCTGAATGACAGCAGTTAAACTGTTTATGAAACACAAAAAAGATGATTTATGTTGATTTATGTTGTACAATTAAAAAATATTGTATAAATTTCAAAATGCATGGTTTAATTGTCAATCGCAATTGTGCTTTGCAGCTAACCTGAAAGCAGTCGTTATTTTCGATGGCAATCCCAGAAACTACAACTGTAAAATCACACAAGATTAATGATTTTCCACGTAGTGTGTTTAATTTTGTTTGTAAAGCCCAGAAATCCACCCAAAACCCCACCCATAGCAGGACACCAGAAAAATCAACTCGGATCTATAGGAACAAACGAAACTTCGATCTAAAGTTGTGAATCCATGATATCTTAATAATAAGTTGAAAATATAACTCGTGAGAAAATGCAAAGTAACGGTATTCAAGTAATTCTAGAATTGTAGTGTTATAATATCATGAGGAGAATACGAATCTAGTTTCTCAAAAGCTATAATAAAATTTAGGGTTATGTTCAAATTCACTTCCCATTTCAATTGTTGTTCTTTGATTCTAATTCACTTTAAAATAGGATCAAAAGACTGCATGTATGTCAAACAACCACACGTATAATTTTTTTCGCTTCAAAGGATGGGCGAGTTCTCGGTCCGGGTACGGTACATACTTTCGAAACAAACGCTCGTTATTGTGTATCTTATCCTGAGATGTTTACAATAGTCAGCAATACAAGACAAAGGACTTCAATCTTTTCTCTTTATCGTTAATCAGGTTTTTGGTAATTGTCTTCAATCGCACAGGTAGAAAATAAATCATGTTAATATTATTACTAAAAGCAAAAAAATTGTCTTCACAATTTAAAATTTCACTAAAATTTCAAGCAATCTGCAATCATCACGAGAACCAATCCAAATCATCATCGTCATCGTCATCAAAGAGAGGTGGGGGGATTGTTTTCAGGGCTGGACTCTGAAAAAAAAAAGCAAAAATTGTATGTCACCCTCTTCTAGGAAATCATGTGTAACTGGATTAGAACATGGGGGATACCCAGGGGGTAGCACCCTAACGATTTAAAAATAGACTTCGATTGCAGGTTAGCACCCCCCTGCCCCCAATTAGCGCAACGACTCCTCACTACAATCCCTTGCCTACCTCAGTTTCCTTTTTCGCAGGTTTTAAGTTCGACTTCGGTTCAGGGGTGTCGAACAAGCCTTGAACATCATCTTCGTCGTCACTTAAGAAACTAAAAGATTAAGTAAGAAAAAATCATCACTTGCTGCTACTTCAGGATTTTTTTTTAGAAATTTTTGCCGTATAACTCCATAAATTCCAAATTGTTTTCTTGAAGCTCATCCTAAAATCATCGGGTTTTCACTAAGAGTGAAAGAGAATCTAACCTACAGCTTCATTTCACTCCATATTTAATCGTTTCTCTGAGGTCCATGCAGTGTGACCCTCTCTTGTTAGTTCAATCCGTTCTGCATTTTAAAACAATATTCTTTAAAAATTATTCTTACTCTGATAAACTCTGGACTTTTTTCTCTTTGCCTTTTTCTTCAGCCACAGTTTCAACTTCACCTTCCTTCTCGCCGCCCTCGTCACCGTTTTTATCCATTTCATCATTTCTGCTTCCTACTTCAACATCCGATCCCTTCGAATCAACAACATCACCACTTTTGCTATCTTCATTTTTTTCAGATAATTCGTCAATATTTGGCAAATTAGACACCAGAGGTTCTTGATTACCATTATCTTGTCCATTTCTATCCACTATATTCCTGTCGGTCTCATCATCGGACGAGATATCAGCCTCTTGCTCAGAGCCATGAACCGGACGGTTTGAGACGGTTTCAAGATCCTCGTCTGAACTAGCGCCATCTCCTACATTCTCTGAATGACCAGCACCTTGCTGTTGCAATATCCCCGAATGATCACCACTGTCCTCTTGTGTAATTTCTGTGTCATCATCACTGATATTGGGTTCCATCAAAGGAGGAACTTCTTTTATTCCTAAATCCTCTTCATCACTTTGACTATCACTATCCTCTGCTGGGTTTAGTGGAGATATATCCTCAGATTCGCCGCCATGTTCTTCGGTTTCATTTATTTCTCCTTCATCGCTTTTCCGCAGCGCTTCCTCCGCGTTTTCACTCTGTTCATTGACTGCTTCACTTTCATTGGTTTCAACTTTCGGTATTTCTTCCTCATTTTTTATTTCCTCCTCTTTCATTTCATCCTGACCTTTATTCACTATTTCACCATCGTCTTCACTTGAATTTTCGATACTTTCTTCTTTATCACTCTCTTTACTTCCATCTTTGTCAATTTCCTCATCCTCTATTTTCTCGATGATCTTATCTTCCGTCCTTTCAATTTCGATATTACCGATTTCCCCTTTTTCACTTTGAGCCTCCACGCCTCCCTTTTCCTCATCATTTTCACCTTCGTCTTCACTTTCTTCCTCCTTCACTTCTCCTTCTTCTTCTCCACTAGTTTCACCCTCTTCTTCTTCACTCTCTTCATCTCCACTTTCATCCTCGTCCTCTTCTCCGCTTTCTTCTCCACTCTCACCTTCGCCACTGGTCATTTTTAACGTCATGGCCTGCAAAGAAAAAAGGATTAAAAATTCAAAACGCGAACAAAGCGTGAATTGAAGACAAAACCAGTTAATTTCGTTCACAAAAAAACTACTGTACTCTTACTTTGATAACGTTCAAGACAACAGAAATAATTGACGAGCCTTTGTAGCTATCGTCAGCGACAAATTCTTCCCGAATTTTGAAGAATACTTTGTTCATAATTTGCTTGACCTCTTTAATAATTACATCTCTGGATGGTTCTGCAGCTGATTGTTGTAACGCGACTTGTTGTTTTTCTTCGGAAGACCTCTGTTCGACTTCCTTTACGGCTGACTCCTTTTCCTAAATTATTAAAAAAGGCACTCGATGACAGTAAAGCCGAAACTTTGGGGCACTATTGAAAAATTTCAAAACTGATTTATTGAAGAAATTCAGCCCCTGTAGTATTTTATTGGTAGAGTTAAAGATGAAGATAGTTATGAAGCAATGAATTCGTTGGCATAAAGGTTCAGTTTAAGTATTCCATTTAAGACCATACGGGTTGTCATGCCATGTATACGTTTGAGACACGAGTGCACCTCCGAGTGACTATTCATACAATCTAGGACTTATGGTAGTATTTTATATTATTACATGGCTGATTGGTTGACGAGCGGTCCGTAAGAACCCATATCCGGGCTGTGATATGTATATTCGGTATCCGGATCAGTATCCCGGTTGTCTCATGCAGTTCAGCCATAAAATAAATAGATTATTGACCTCGCTTGTTCGGTTAGTACTGTGAAATATCAGACCGATGTTTTTTGCATGGACCTTGCTTCTTCGTAGCTCGGTCTGATATTTCACAGTACAGACCTCACGCTCGGTCAATAATCAGTTATTATATGTATGTACCTCAATCAGCTCATGTATTCTATTTTCGTATTTTTCTTTCATTTCAATACTTTTCATCCTTAGATCTTGATACTGTTCAAAATAAGCAAACAATAATGTTGACGGTGAAGAAAATAAATAAATACCTAACCTCTCAATTCTGCGCTTTCGGGGGACGCGCGAAGAAAAATACCTACTTTTTTCTGAGTGTTTTCAATGTCTTTAACTTTTTCCCGAAGTTCATTCATTTCCTGTTGCTGTTGACTCTGCGAGTTCTTCATACTCGTGTACTAGGGTATAAAATAATTTATTATCATATCGTATTAGCACAAAAAACGTTTATAAAGTGTAGTATGCCATACTTTATTTTGCGTTTCTTCCAAGTCTTTCAGCTTTTCTTGAAGGTCTTCGATCTCCTGCAAATGCTGAGCCTGGGATGTCTTCATAATGGAATACTATAAGAAAATTTTCAACATGAAATAACGAACAAAACATCATCTAGAAAAGAGTATTTTCGACACACCTTCTCATCACTTTCAGATAACTTTTTCTTTAACGACTCATTTTCCTCTGTAATGTCGTCATATTTTCTCTTCCACTTTTTTTCACATTGATTCACCATTTGTTTTGATTTCTCTTGCCACTTTGTCTCCATTTCTGTTTCCAGTTCAGAAATCTTAAAGACAACAGATTATAGAATTGTGACACTATGCATGTATACGAATAGATTTAAAAACTCTTTTACTCCCTGTTATGCCCGTAAGGCAACTTTGTAGATATAATCTAATTGAACTCTAATAATTTTAAATTGTAGATAAAGAGTAATTAATTTTTAAATTATCAAAGAAAACTGTATTAGTTATTGAACAAATCCTTGATAGTCTTAGTGATAAGAAATTTTGTAATCTCTTTTGACTATTCTTGTAAAATCAATTTTATTAAAAAAGCAATTAGAATTAAATCAATTCAGTTATACGACTGTAATTATTAATTAATTAAAGATTCTAGCTATCTCATCTCTCTCTCTCTATTACAGACGTAATGTAGTAAGTTCAAAATATTGTAAGAACTCGGACCACATCATGTTGTGAATACACTCTTTAATGAAAACTCGTTGATTCCAGCCACCTTGGATCTCATCACAATTAGTAGAAAATGCGTTATCCAAACAATAAAAAGCCTATATACCTTATTTTTCTACTCGCGCATATAGCAAGACATTGACAAAATCATCAAAATTATACCTGATTTGACAAGGATGAACTACTTGAAGTCAACTCCCGACGATGTCTTTCCTTTAGGCTGTTTAGTTCTTCCTAAAAATATATAAACATTGTTATTACTGCACGAGTGACAAATAAAAACGACATTTCTCGAAATTTGGACAACATGAAAGGTTTTTTACCTCTTGGCTAGATTTAAGGTCTTCAATCTCTTCATCCATTCTTTTTTTAACCTCTGCATGTTTCTTTTTACGATCTAACAAACTCTGTGAACAACATTTTTGAAATTACAAAAATATTATGCACAGTTCTGAATGACCTAGTTTTTTCTTTCCTATGAAGGTGGAAAACATAAATATGCATGCACAGAAAAGTCCCTTGCACACCAAAGAGAAATCACAGCACAAACCAAACACAATCATTACTCGAGTCGTTTTTATAGAAGGAATTACTACTTTGTAAGGCAACGATAGTACGGGCTAGCACACTAACCTTTTCTACAGACTCTTTCTCTTGTTTTAAATCACTGACAGATTCTTCAAGTGCAGTAAGATTGCCTTCTAACTTTTTACGTTCTTGTTTCAGATTCTTTACAGAGGATGATAACCTTTCAACCTCCTCTTCTCGCTCTAAAAAATATTCAAAACAACATTGGCGGATTGTTCAAATTGATTGATTGATAAACTAGCTCTTTCATATAGCACGGCATTATACCCACACGTGGGGTGGGTTGTACGAAAGCTGGATAGAGCCATCCATGCAACTGGATAGTGGTTCTCTCAAACGTTTCATTGTTCGGTATATAACCTTGGTTAAACCTTGGTATTCCGGATCTATAATTTTATTGCTGTTTCAATCACATGAGTAGTTTCAAGGATCTACCTAAACTGTGGGACACCCTACGCGTTTGGAAAGCAAAGGAACGCATTTTGGAAGGCGTTCGGTTGCGCTCGGAACGCGATTGGAACGCGAACGCAGTGTTAAGTTACTTTTGAGCAGTACTGTAACTGAAGAGTTAGCTGCGCTAAAAGACAGATCACATTCAAGAGCATGCACAATCTCATGATCCACTCATGCTAAACCTAATACTAGTACGTTCAACTGCATAACACAAAATTACTTTGGCGAAGATTACATTCATGGCACAACACAAAAGAAACATGCACCACCCACTGTACTTTCTCGGGATGGAAATATTAAACTTCATAATCACCTGCTAAAGCATCTTTTGCTGTTCCTAATTCAGATTTATTTTTCTGCAACTGCGACGAAGTTTTTTTCAACAGTTCTCGATTCTCTGCATCTTGTTTTCTTAAGATTTCTAACTCGGTTTCCATTGTCGCCGCATTTTGTTTGTATGTTGCAAGCTCAGTTGCCAATGTCGTCTGTGTATAATTGACGAGACATGAGTAATCAAGAGTGGCAATATAACTCAGTTGCAAGAGGGCTGATACGTTTGTCCGAAAACGCCGTTTTAGGCCAAAAATGAATACAACTTTTGAGCGAAACTAAATCGTTCTGCGAGGGAAGCTGTTAAGTCCGCGGCGTGAGGTTCCCCTAATGGTAAGAATACCCAAGTTGTGGACATTCAAAACTATGTTGAATAAAACAAATTGCGAAACAGAACGATTCTGGATTTCTGCTGAGGACATAAAGGTATATACAAATGTTGACAAACCACGACTGCCTATAATTCACTATGTATAGTATCTAAAGAAATATAGGTGATAGGTAAAACGATAAGTTACCTTATCTCGCTCCAATTCAACCAGTTTTGATTGGGAATAGGACGATGATTGTTGCAAACTTTCATTTCGTTGTTCCAAGAAAATATTGCTTTGCTCTACATACCTGAACGAAAGATAAAAGATCAAGACAAAACAACCTGGAAACAAACAGCAAAGAAGATAACAGTCATTCCCACCTTTGGCTCCGGTGTAACAGTTCAGAAATCTTTTCATTCAAACCCTCGATCTTAGCTGACTTTTCAACATTCTCTCGCTTCATTCTTTCGTTTTCCTTAATCGTGAATGACAGCTCAGGATTCATATTTCACACAATAAAGATAGACAGGGGATGTAAGGTGATTGATTACCTGGACAAGCTTCACGATACTGTTCATCAAAACGGAAGCTTCCATAACATTTTCATCCGAGACACCAGGCATCACCGGTTTTATAGCGCCATTGCTTTCCTCATTCGATTGCTTCAGAAGATCAATCTGAGGAGAAATATACATTCGTCAAATTTATTACAGTTGGCAACAGACGATCAAAACTCATTGGAGTATCCAGTCTACTCTAATGCAACTCTTCACCTCATTGTAGTCGTACCTTTGATAAAACCTACCGAAAGTCATCCGTGTTGTACAGAGCACAGTGATGAGACCCGTTGTACAAAAGGTGGTTTACTTTTAAGAACCATTTAACTACTGAAAATGCCTATTTCGGTGAAATAACTCTCGTTCAATAAGTTTAGGACGATGTGATGTGTGGTTAATCACTGATGTGCTACTGTTCATATCCGATTGATACAAACCTTGTGTTCTAATGCATCAATTTTCTCCGAAACTTTAGTTATTGATTGTCTCACTTCAGTTTGATGTTGCCGGCTTTCTGTCATCAACATGGGCATCATGACGTCACTAGTACCACCGCTGGTTGACGGCGGGGGTTGTACCGGGGGCGCAGGCTGGAAGACGGGCTGTACAGGTTGTTGATAAACGGGTTGAAAATGCGTTTGAGGTTGAGGAATGGGAAATTGTGACGCTTGTTGGTAGAGCGGAGGGTTCTGGTGAAGTGGCGGCTACACAAGGAATGATTACCGTAATAAATAAAGTCACTTATAAAATTGGGGGTGTTACTCGATAGCAAAACACAGTTAGGTTTAGTGACTGTTGCAATTCAACGCACATGCAATTTTCATTTAAATCAAACATTTCACCTGGTATAAGGCAAGTGGTTGTTGTTGAGGTGGGGCTTGTGTATGCGCAGGTTGTGGATTTTGAAATTCTGTGGGATAGTGTTGTGGAGTCACATGACTGGGGGCATGACTTGGGGATGCATGAGCCATCCTGTTCACGTGTGCAGAACGTGGGGCTATCTTCGGCTTTCCCGGGGAATGGGGATGGGGGTTTCCGCTAGAATCGTGGTATTCATTAGATTGGGAACGAGGCCGCTCGGCAATAGGCTCTGCTTGGGTCGGAGTCCTGGCACTAGTATGACTACCAGCAACATTCTACAAAAGTACAACAAAGATTAAATTTAGTATCTCCGAAAAAAATAACTAGCAAGCGACCTGCAGCAGATTTGTTTGGTTAAGAGTAATATACCTCTGCGTGAACCTCGTGGTCATCTTCTTCTGGTTCAGCAGACACAGCTCCAGGGAGTTTGAGGACATTTTTTCCCATTTTAGACATTCTTGCCAAAAGCTTGGCCTTCTCTGACCCTTTCTCTGGTGACTAATGAAATAAAAGAGAAATAAAACATTCATTTCGAGGATAAAACTATAGTTAGTACTGATCTTTTAGAAACTTTCATAAGCCGTTACAAAAGGCTAGCCTTAGGAGATGAGAACAGAAATCTGTATGGAATCCCTGATGGCATAAAAATAGTTATTTACTGTTATTTACCGTTGTTATTTCTTTGTTCAGAGAAGCAGTTCTTTCACGCAAATCTTCGTCTCCTCTACAACAGAAAATAAGGCACATATTTCAAACAGGTAAACTGCTGTAGTTCCTTGTGCCAGGGGAATACGAATTAAAAGGCTTCTCTCAAAACATCTAAAAACATTGTTTACTACGATGTTTGAAGTATTTCATTGACAGACAGCGGAGCTTCAACACAGCTGAAAAACCAAAGCTGTTAGTGGGTAATACTCAGACGATATCGGAGACTTGGAATGGCGAAAAATTTGGGAATGCGAACTTTGAACCGCAGTTCTAAGGAAACTACTGTACTAAGCATTAAACACCCCCCCCCTACTCCCCCCACCATGTCCTCATCTTTGGATTTCACGTACTTGGGGTTCTCAGAACTTGGGTTAACGTCATCTTTATGGCTCTGATCGCTTGCGGGTGGCGGGGTTGATGTATCACTGGGGACATTCTCCGTCTTTTCCTTTGTAAATTTAACACGCAATATTTCTACTTCAAAAAGAAGTGCGGACTTTGCAGGCACCCGTGATGGCACTCCCTGTTGGGAAAAATAAGTTTGATGATTGTTATATTAGAAATTTTTACATCTGACGTTTGAACTGGTGTAATTTCCAATAAAGCGAGGCTCAGGAACTGGAGAGAGACATGGGCACCATTTTTTTAGCGCAATGCATGACACATCAATGGCATGACATGGAACTGTGCCTTCTAACAGAAGAGTTCTGAGTTCAGATTTATAGAGTGGTATGAAGTTGGCTACACACTATTTCATTTCTACTCTGAATTCTAAGTGTTCATTTCTAATTATGTATTTTTTTTTATTCAATTTATCCTGAAAATTTGGTATAATTTAGGTAATGGTGTAATTTAAAGTACGAATTACAATGGTATAAAGGTACAGAATATAAAAGTAAATTTACAATTACCAACACACAATACACATACATGTGTACAATATACCTTATCTCCATATGCCAAATCAGGAGGAATGGCTAACAAACGTTTTCCACCTTTTTTCATACCAAGAACTCCATCTTCCCAGCCCTGTAAGACAACTTTATCTAATATGTTTGAAAATAAATGCATGATTAAAATTGCTTCTCAATCATACCTTGATCACTTTTCCTTTTCCTGGCCGGAATTTCAATGTCTTATCTGTTGAAGCATTTGAATCAAAAACCTATACCAGTGTCCAGTAATAAAAACAATTATGATTTTTGGCACTTCACTCAATGCAGGTAAATTCTAGAGGTTCAAAAGGTCTTGATTTCAAGTGGAATTGTACACATTTCATAGTCAAGCCAGAAACAGTTGAAGGAAAAATTAGTCAACTAACGGTGCTCCAGCAGGAATCAGTATAACAAAAACAGTTAATTTTCTAGTAAGCATCATTTACGGAAAGACCAAAGAAATAACACACTTACCTTTCCAAAAGAATTATTTGTCCACAAAGAGCCAGTGTACTTCACCTCAATTGCATCTCCAATTTCAATTGCCTGCAGAATAAAATATTGAGTCTGGTAAATAATTTTTTGAAAACAAAAATGAGAATGTAATCAGAATAAAAATTAATGTCTCATTACTTGACCATCACCAGGTTGTAAATCTTGCTTTACCAAACCTCCAGGAGCAGAGTTATATTTTGCTAGGCCAATCTATAAAGAAAAACTTGATTGAGCTTGACAAAGTGTTACTTGCTGGCGTGTTGCTGGCTGAGAATAAAAAAAATCAGGTTGTGTGCACAGGTTTCCAAGTACATTTTGTGTTGCTTTACTATAGGGTACAATGTAATCAGTATGTTTTTCAAACTTACTGCCTAATATTTTGTTGTATAAAGAAACATGTATAATGTCACATACTGTACCTGTTTCGCAAAATCAACCATGGCTTGTGAAGAGTCAAACCTAAGTGACCATGATTGTCTAGCATCATCATAAAATGATGAGTAGTTATTTGCTTGAACCTATAATAAATATGTTAATATAGGTTACTGACCAATGTAAACATACAATACATAGTTTATGCCCACTCATTTGGATGGAAGCTTACCACAAATGAAAAGCTACTGGTTATTTTTGCAGCTGTAACTTGTTGCTTCTTGCTAGCATACACCAATAAACGATACTAAAATTAAACAACAACAATTGCTTGTGACTGACATTTTTAACAATTTAGATAATCCCACTAGTAACTATCACATACTGTCATCTATAATTTAAATTACCTCTTTCTTAGTGTGACTTCCTAAAACAGCAACTCCCAGTTTTCCTTGACTAGCATACTGCCCATTTACACTGCAAATCATATCGCAATCAAATGGGATCATTATATACATGCAGCTACATGGAGGAGATAATTCAAAGTATTTCTATAAATGACTTACAACTTAAAAGCTTGGGCTGCAATAGCATGTATGACAGCTGGAGGCGTTTCTTGACCACTTGATGCTGAAGCGAATAAAACATCTTGACAACCAAATAGTTTGATATTACAATGAGACTATAATCCTTAATTTGTATGCTCAAATGTTTTGCTCTAAACATGATCATAGTCTCTGTCAGATTCATGCCCATTAGCCTCCTAACAAATGGCAATTTTCTTTACAATTTTCATCTTTTGATAGATGCAAAAAAGTAAATAACATTTGCTGATGTACAGTATAGGGGCAACATTAATACTCAAGGGAAAACAAAACTCACTATTTCCCAAGGTAGTGTACATTATATAGGAACAAAACATACATGTTACACAACAAATTCATTTCAAAAAACACTTTGTTACAAAAATATGCGGGGTAACAATTTTTCACTTGTTTCCCTGGCGGGAAAGATTGCATACATTGAAAGTCATGTGACTACAAATGCAACAATCACATTTAAATACACAGCAACTATATAACAATCACATTTATTCACACTTATGACAAATAAAATTGCAGATACATTTGCAAGCATAAACAGGCCTTATTGAAAATGGAACTTTTGCATTATAGAACCAATAGATCTTTCATTTATCTATTACTTATATTGCACCTTTTTACATGTTAAATATGATCAAGCTTGCATAAAGAAGCAATCATCTGATGGTATAACATTAATGAATTATGCAACCATACAAATGTCAGTGGGAAGGGAAGGCAAGATTTAGAAGTGTACCTAGTGGTGCCATTTCAACATATGAAATATTACATGCAGCTCAATATGCATATGCTTTAAAATATGTTGAATTTACCCAACATATATCATAGCATATTAATATATTCTGCTGCGGTGTGTCTCCTCTTTATATACATACCAACTTGTTTCTTGGGCTGTTTTGGTGCAGTGTAGGTCAATGATTCATTTTTTGATGAATTGAATGCAGCCTGATCGGCACCAAAAAGCGACGATAAACTTGATTTACTAGGAATAGAAAATAAATCTAGTAATTGGTCTGTTTTCTCATTAAAATTGGCCATGTGATTGAAACATATAATACAGAATGTATGGTAATTAAATGCCAAAACACATAAAATTTCTACTACTGGAGGTCAATCATTCGAAGTTTAATGCTTCGTTTCAACCCCTAGCACATTCACTCAGTGGCACACTTATAATGGTAATTGACCCATATATTAAATGGTATATTGGTATATGGTAACTTATTTACCGTCCGGAAACTAGACGACATGCTATAGCATGTTAAAACGAAAATAGTAAAGCAATCTTACCCGCCTGAACCACCGCCAAACGATGGAGAGAAATCATCGTCATCATCAGGATTGAAAAACATTATTACACTAGGTTGTTAAATACATTCTGTGCAGAAAAATACTGCTATAGTAGAATTCATAAACGAAACTTCAGCCCCTTTCAGCCTTTCCTCCTGCGCTGTGTTTCGAAAGTTAGTTCAACTTTTGGTTCAACTTCCGGGAGAATCACCCGATGCGCACTGCGCAGTTTATATGCTGCCAAAAATGTCCAGAGACCGGTTGTTCAAAAGCCGGTTTGTGATCCTGGTTTAGAGCAAATCTCCTAAATAAATTTTTTTAAACGCTTGTTTAAAAAGTTAACACATGCATTTAAACCAAAACAGTTGATTAAAATTGACCCAGGGTTAGCGCTATGCCGCTAACCCTCCAAACGCAAAAAGTTGTCAATCACATTCTGTAGAAGCCTAAACTATATTTGCCGGGCGATCATGGGAGATGAAAAGAATACGTATATTTTGAAATTGTGACAAGTTGAAAAAATGCGGAAATGGCGAAATATTGTAAAATGGGGAAAAAAATGGAAAATATTACCTTGCCAATTTTACGTACTTTTTGAAATTCGGACAGCCGGAACTTGTTACACCACTTTTGGACCGAAAATGATAACAATTTCCGTACGTACTAAAAAGTATGTACATTATTATGCGAAATTTGCAGGCCATATTTTGCGTATTTTACAATATTTTGCCCTTAATGCAAATTTACGTAATGCAATTCAAGTATGATCGTTTTTGCTGTGGTTCCGTTTTTGGCCTAGATAATAAATTATTTTAACATGCAACATAATATAAGGCTCAGTGACCGGACCCACACTCCCACAGACATACTTTTGCACATTTTTTTGGCGAAATATTCGAAGATTTCGCCGCTAAACATTCGTGGAGTTTTCATTAATATTAATACTTCTGGAACTGTGCTATTTCCCACACGAAGTCACGAGTGGCAGATGCCAGGTGAAGTCCTGCTGTGAAATTACGTATGGTGCACTGCTGGAAAGTTTTTATCACTTCAACGCGATGGGGCTCTGCGCGCTATCATGATAATGCCATGCGCAATACACCAAAAAGGGGAGTAAAGCCCTGGTCAAACTAGAATAAGAGTTTGAGAGTTTATGAGAGTTGCAACTCTCGCCAACGTGTTTGACCGCGAACTCTCATGCACTCTCATAAACTCTCATCGACTTTGAACTGGTTCAAATTTTGATGAGAGTTGATGAGAGTTTGGGCGCGTTTGATCGGTCATGAGAGTGATGAGAGTTGCAAAACAGCTAGCGGTTTTTGCATTTTGTAGTAGCAGGCTTAGCAAAAAAATACAACATTAATACAAAATAGTATAAAATATAGTCCCTGCTACGCGCGCTGTAACATCTGGTCAACTCTCGCTTCTCAACTGACGAAAACTCTCGTGCAAACTCTCGCTCAGGACGCGATTTGGCAACGCGGCGCGATTTTTCAACGTTTTTTATTTTCCAAAAGTAAATAAATTTTATCCTATCATAGAAATATTCTTGTGGATTGCTTATTGGTAATGCATTTTGACTGCTCTGGCGTCCACCTTTAAGGTCGGATCGAATCTATGGGCGCCAGAGCAGTTAAAACGTATTATCGTTAAGTAAACTACAAGAATATTATGATAGTTTAAAACTTATTTGCTTTTGGGAAATCGAAAACTTTGAGAAATCGCGCCGCGTTTAGACGCGTTGCCAAATTGCGTCCGGTTTGTGCGGAACAACACCTCACAAATAAGGCAGCCCCAGAACAATGTGATCCATTGAAATAAGAGACCAAAGTCCATCTGATCCCAATAACTACACAGTCTAAGTTGTCTAACAGAGCCTTGCGTTACAGGTTGTTTATGAAAATTCTTCTTTATTTTTTAAATTTATTTCAAGTAAGCTTGGCATAGATGATTGGTAGCCATAAATCACCCCAACCTAAAGCCGGTTTTCCACTAGCGATATTTCTCGTGCGAATCGACATTCTACTTTTGGTCCAGAGCTCTCAACTGCAACCATCTGGAACAAATTGCTCAAATACAAAGGAATAAAGTCGCTTCGCGCGAAAAATATCGCTAGTGGAGAAGTCGGATTCCAGTCATTTGCCTGAAAACATTCACAAAATGGATGGTAATTTCACTTTGTTACAAAGTTTAAATTTAGACTCCAAATGCGTCGTAAAAGAAAGCAAAACAAATCGAACTTCAAATAGGAGGTCAAAGCTCAAGTGCTACTGACTGAGTGCTACCATTGAAATTGGAAACTCTTGAATACGTATTTGTGACGTAATCATCAGAAGGATATAATCATCTATGATATAATACACCTCTGCTAATACACCGTTCGTTTCAGCACTGTACGTCTGTACCATTTCTGACTTAGCGAAGCTGCAATCTTTTTTTGTTGTATATACAGTCCAGAAAAAGTCTTTTTCGCACCATGGTCAACTTAGGAGACGTATTTCCTGATTTCCAAGCTCAAACTAACTGTGGACCTATCGAATTTCACGACTTCTTGGGGGACAGGTTTGTACAAAGAGTTCAAATATTTAAAGTAAACGCTTCTGTGAAATATAATATGTAACCTAAACCGAACCATTTTATCACAAAACAAGGCCTTTATATCACTATGTAGGACATGACAGAGTATGATTAGGGTTAGGGTTAGCCGTTAGGGTTAAGTTTGTTTGCAAATGTCTCAAATTTGTGCAGATACATACTGCGAGGGCGTCTCGATTGTGCCACGTGGCAATTTTCTAAAATGGAAATTCAGAGGCACTCCCAGATAGACTACTCATTAGTTCAAAAAATCACGTTTTTATATGTTGTTCAAAACACATTGAACTTTCACCATTCTAGCTGGGGAATTTTATTCTCCCATCCTGCAGATTACACACCTGTATGTACCACTGAGCTGGGTCGTGTGGCACAGCTTGCACCAGAGTTTGCAAAACGAAATGTTAAATTGATTGCACTGTCTATTGATTCCCCTGAATCTCACAATGGTTGGATCAAAGATATCCAGAGTTATTGTTCTCTTGGTGAAAATTTCCCATTCCCAATCATTGCTGATGATAAACGGGAACTTGCTGTGAAATTTGGCATGTTGGATCCTGATGAGGTCAATGCACAAGGATTGGTTTTAACCTGCAGAGCTGTGAGTACATATGTTTTATAATAAGAAATGGAATATATTGTTATTTATCACTATATTTGCAGCCTATATAATCTTCCGCATAAATTGCATTTTTTGTTTATATAGACACTTCCCGAATTTGTTCTCGGGTTATAAAAACCACCCCACTAACAATAGATTACATTGCCTGCCTCGTTTCCAAGCTATTGTTTTGTGTGCACTCAAGCAATTTGGGAAGTTTCTATTACTGGCTTCTCTTCTCTTAAACATGGCTTGTTTGCATTTTTACAAAGGTATTTATTATTGGACCAGACAAGAAATTGAAGTTGTCTCTTCTTTATCCTGCCACAACTGGGCGAAATTTTGAGTAAGTTATGAGCTGTGAAATAAAGAATTGAATGTTTACAGAATGTATCAGATCTTCCTTAGAGGTACATGCTCTCCCCTTTTCCGAAACATTTTAGCGAGATACTACGTGTCATTGATTCACTCCAACTGACAGCAAAGTTCAAGGTTGCCACACCTGCAGACTGGAAGGTTTGTTAGCTGTGTGGAAGTTTAATCTCCTATTGGCAAGAATATATGTCAATATGTTTACATTTACATTTTTTAGGATGGTGAAAAAGTAATGGTTGTTCCTTCAGTTAAAAATGAAGATTTAAGCGTGCTGTTTAAAGCACGTGTAGAAGAAGTCAAAGTACCTTCTGGGAAAGGCTATATCAGGATGACTGAACATCCAAAATAAGCTGAATTAAGATGGGAACAAATAACCAAATAGATAAAATGCATTACTTAAAATATAAAACACTAACAATGTGATGCATAATTTAGTATCATAGTCCTAGTACACTTTGTCTAATTTGTGTTGTACATGTAATGATCCAGGGTTATAAATAATAATCATAATTGGTATTTGTGTTGTACACCTTCTGCACAGTTTCTGCTATGTTTAGTTTTTGGTTCATTCATTTACATAACAGTTCTTAGTCTTTAGGTAGCTGCATAGCAATTTGACAAGTTTCTACAGTTTATGCTGAGGATGTTTTGGTAAAATAAGCTAGAAACAGCCCAAATTTCTCCTTATTCTACTCTGATAATGCTATATATAATTTATCAATTAGTGGCCATATTTACATGTTTAATAGTAAAATATTATGATCATTGGGCACAAAGGTATTTACATTTGCTTTCTTATGGCTGAATATAATGCATATGGTATTAATCTAGCTAATATAACATTCATTTGAAAGTTAGTCCCCCCCCAAAACTTTTGGCAGATTAATAATAAGTGGATAGTAATAATAACCAGCACACAAAAAAACAGCGAAATGTTGATAAAAGAATACTTTTTAATCAACACAACATCATCTGACAAAATCACAAACACAGGTGGTGCAAGGAGATGTAAAGGAGGAAGTAAAGTTCTTAAAGGTAGATAAACCTTTGTATGTTTCCCCATGATTACCCCCACAAACCAAACACCACCATAGTTGAGAAGTAAGAAGTTCACCAGCAGCTTTAAAATAATATACACCTTCAATAAGGTGTCCAATATTTCAATAGTTCCCTCGTTGGTCTCGTTAAAGCATGCCCACCCATATATGTTTGGTTAAATTAAACCCATATCTGTACATGTAATATATACATAAGAAAACACAATCTGTATAAAATACTCGCATATAGGTGCGTTGTCAAAGAACGGTATTTACAATGATTAATTGTAGGATCAAAATAAAATCAACGTCAGATTAAAGTATAGGCAACATGATTTCGCAGATCACGTGAATTGAGCCAGGATAAATGTACTACATTAGCTTTCTTAATATTTTAAGATACGACTTTTCCGGAGCTGTTCGGGGTGAAAAGAACCAGGTGAATTTAGCTTGTACGGTTGTAAAATCTATCTAGAACCAATCAAAAGAAACTAGTCAATAATGCAGTACGCTGTAGAAAATACTAAAACAAGACACTGACGTTATCTGTTCATATTTGACATTCGCGGTATTGAAGGCTGTATTTACCTGTGTGAAATAGTTTATGCTGGATTTTCCCGTAGAAGAAAGTATAAACCCTTTTCTTTGTTATTTGTGGCCATCGCATAGTAGACATTCGCATTTTTAGGAATGACAACTTCATCTGAAAAAAAATACGTGAGAATTTAATCCTTTTTAAGTGGATGATATTCCCCATCGTTAGAACTTGGCTTTTTTTCCAGTGGCTGGTTGTTCGAATGGCGTTTAGCTTAAACGGTGGATAAGCCAAAGTTTAAAAATACTCTCATGGATCTTGTGAATGACTGAACTTGCATCTTATGCGTTTAATTTGTACTTCCATTGAAAATTAAACTTCTTACATCAAAATATTTCAGCTCGGTTGTTCAATAAATCGATAATTTTGTTTTCCATTTTGAACTTATCCACCGTTTAAGCTAAACGCCTTTCGAACAACCGGCCCCAGGCGTTTTCGACTCCTATTTGGCAGGATCCATTGGAAGGCTATTATCATAGAGTTTTGGCGATGCACTAAATTTAGTGGTTTATATTTATTTACTTACTTCCATTCGGTAGTATTTGTACTAATGTCCAATTATTTGGCTGTTCCCCGTCAATATGATGCTTCGTTAGAGACTTTTTTATTACCGCTGGTGTTCGATCACCTTCGTTGACCTATGAGTGGTAAACATTACATACAAGACAAAGTTAATTAGAAATTTTAGAAGGTCACTTGAGGTCATTCAGTTCCTGCAAGTGAAGATAATGCTGAAGTAGTGTTTTCCAGCCAATAGGTAAAGCATACCAGTCAAATAGTTTGCATACAATCACGTTATTGTAAAACATACCCGTATACTCTTGTACAGATTACAACTATCATCGCTCTGTAGCGAGACACGAATAATGTGTCCATCACTGCCAAACATCATTGGGCATCCCTCAGAGCGTATTGACGATCCGGAGTTTTGTCGTTTGTGATTAATTGAACCACAGCCATCCGTCAGGTCTTCTCTGAATGAACTTGCTTTGACCAGATCGTTTTCACTTTTTAATTTCCTGCAGAGATACATTAATGTTAGTTCTATAACTGAATTGTAACCAATCCAGCGCAACCATGTCTCAGTGAGCGGGAAAAAAAGAATGCCCTGGTTGAGAACTGTTAAAAACAATTTCTGGTACATCGAGTTATAGCCTGGGAATCATGCACAGTGGCAAGCATGGGAAGTCAAATCTATGGATGCTATAATTAGCAGAAAGACTTGCGAAAAATGACCTTCTGGTGCCGGGTGTATGAATAGTACTTTTACCATTTTTTCGTACCCATGCCGATTGGGGTATAGTTACGTTAACTTTTCACTACAATTAATCGACAAAACTCAGAATCGTTTTCTTAAAGTTAACTACGACTTGTAGTTCAGAATTTTATACAACCAGCCCCTGAAAACAGGACTCGATAGTGCGGGTCTAAATGTTCTTGCAGCGTTCTACCCAACTAAACTGAGTAACAGTTAGCAAAATTCTCGTAAATGCAGTTGTTTAAGCAATGTCGGATGCAGGATTATGTATACATAATGAAAACATAATTGATTACATGGTTACAGAAAAAGTACCGATAACAAAATCTATCTAAAACTTGCCTGGATCTGAAAAGTGAGGCTTGTCTCTTTGGTAAAGAACCAGATTCCAAGCTACATGACAGAGTGAAGCTGAAAAAAAAATTATGACAATCAAGTCCTGGTATTTGAGCTTAGCGTTTTTTCTCGTATTTCAACAAATTGTCTGCTGGTAAAGATTTTAATTTATATTAAATATACTCACTATTCGTTTTCTGTCAGCGTTTCTAGTGAATCGAACCAATTTCGAAACTCATTATTGGGTAAAATGTAATAGTTCTTCGCTGCTTCTTGGAATAATCTGATTTGGGCAATGACTTCGAATTCCTATTAGAGACATGATGAAAAAATTTGAAACAAATAGAAACGAAAAATACAGCCAGTGAAAAGAGAAAACTAACCTTTTGCCTCTTCTCATAATTGATTAGATTTCCCTGCAAGTATAAATACAAAAATGTTCTGAAAATGTATTCCGATTAGAATAAATCACCAACACAAAATCTTCAATAGGGTTGTTAACACCATAGTTCAATATGAATATCAACCAATCAAACAGAGTTACCACAGATTAATACTCTACAGATTATTACTCACAAAAGTTTATACAACCGGCCAATGGATGTTTAAAGGAACTTAATCCCAATACCTCTAGCAATCCTAATAATCCTGTATACTAAGCCTTAACAGGCAGTCCTAATCGTAATCTGCACATAATTTAAAAAATAGGAAATGCAATGGCCCTAGAGATAAACCAGTTCACTGTTATAAACTTACGTCAATCATGTCGGGGTAAGCTGTATCCAACATCATCAAATCAGTAAGAAACGTTCCTAGGTACGGAACTGTTCCACTAATATTACCCTATAAAGAACATATATCATACAGATTAAATAAAAATTACCAACCGAGCTTAACAAAGTCTCAACTTGGTGAACGAGAAGTAGAGAGTTGAAACTGTTAAATCAAACTTGCGCTGTAAAAACTTGAATCAAACTTAAAAGAATTCACAATATCAATAATATGACGTATGATTTGACCAAGGCAAACTGCCATAAAAATCGTCCATTGAAATTTCTTATCAAATATCAATCCTCCATGCATCCTCGTAGCCTCGTTTAACGAAATAACTACATACATTAGTATTTGGTGTTCGCTGGTGATGAGTTCCTTTTCTCGTTAGTGAGGACTTCTTCTTCAATTCAACAGTTTTAGCCGTACCTTCCTGCAAGGACAAAGATTATTTCTATAAGTCAATGTTGAATGTTAATTTTGCTATCCTCTTTTAAGAAATGTCACAAACCTTCTTCAACAATTCTCTCACAACGTTTTGGTTGCTCTCCTCGGACACAAGTGCTGACAGCTCCTCGAATGACGAATGATGATTCCTATCAAGTTTAAATAAAATCATATTATAACTATGATAACGAAAATTCATATGTCGATTTAATCAGTCAAATGATAAATACCCTAAGTTACCTTGATATAGCGCACCAGGTTTTCTTAAGACGATGTATAGGAGCTGATTGTAACGCTGACATGATCGCTTTTAACGACGAGAAGTTCTTAAGATCTCGGCATCCCTAAATGCAAAGTGAATGAATCGTCTATATAGTATATACTTGATGTGTCTATAAGTTAGAATTTTTACATAAAGAGTTCCTCGACATTAATTCTCTTATTGTCCAGTGTCTTAGTGAACTGTTTTCCCGACTAGTTGACCAGTGTTTGCACCGATGAAAACAGAAATTTTCAGAAGAAACTTCGGTTTCTGGTAGTGACACACATAGGGTACGCACCTCACATAAAGGGGTGCAGGCATGCAGTAACCACTGAATCGCTAACATCTCGGGATGACGTGAATCGGTGAATTCACACTTAAAGTATCTTAAAATGCTACCTGTGCTATTTCAATCCAGGCTTCAAGTCGTTTTGATCTTCGTGCTATACTCGGGCTTCCCCGTAAGTCTCCGAAAAGAATAGTTGTCGTGACTCGTCTAGAGACGGCGTTGAATTGATTAACCGTAGCTTTAACACTTAACGCCTTTTGTTTGTTTTCTTTTTTATCCCGTCCTGACCACACACATCCCACGCATTCCCTTGGTATCACAGCTTTGAAGAGTTCCTAAAGGTAATCAAAAAATGAACTCACAAGTCGCCGACTGAAGTGGAATGGAAAATATTTCCTGAGGTATTTTTTTTAATTTGTGAAGCAAGTTCTATTTCAAGCAGAGATTGATCTATTTCGTTTTCTACGCCCATATTTTTCGGACATAACTTACATTTTGGAATTTCACTATTTTCTATTTGGCTAAAAATCTGATAAAAGAGTGTCTGTAAAAATATGAAACACATACAGCGTCTATCAATGTCAATTGTTCAGCAACTTCAGTGGGGGCGAATTCCACCAATTCCCTGTTTTCCGAAAAAGAGACACTCTCCGCACTTTCACCACCGTCACTTTTGTCGACATTTGGTGAACATCGTGATACTTCTGAAAGGAAAAAAAATATTTTAGCCACTAGCCTTTGATTTACTGTTACATATACACGCCAACAAACCTTTCCTATATGGTGCTATATACTCACATTCTTGTATAGCTTTTCCAAAGCTCAAAGTCGGCACTAAAAAGTCCCCAAGAGGAGCAGACATGACTGTATATATAAAGTGTGACAGTCGTTTTTGATACCTGGGGAAATATCTTTCTATCCGGACCTCGCAGTCGGTAAATAACATATATGTATTTGAACTTGAATATGCAATCATACCATGTTTAAGAGAAGGTGAAGTATTTTCCAGCAATTGTTGTGTCTTCCGTAAGACTTCCTGACTGCGTTTTTCCTTCAGTTCATTTTTCGCGAACATCTGGAGTTGTTTCAGTAATTTACAGTTCGAATCTTTTGTGAAATCTCCAGGGAAGTTCTCCAACCAGACCAACAGAACATTAACGGTTACCCTAAACAACAAGCAGGTAATGGCTGATTTAGATAAAACTCATAAAAGTTCTTTTTGAGCTATATCCTTTGACTTTGGGCCGTACCTTATAAAGTTCTCAAAATCACGCGATAAATTTTTCTTCTTCACTTTTTTGAATCTAAATAAATTTATAATCAATATTGGTAAAGTGGTTGAATTATTGTGAGCGGAAATATCGGGAATTTTTTTATCGAAATGATTCTTCTATTGACACAATTATTGATTACCTTTCGATTAAGAGTGCAACAACTTCCTCGGATGTTGAAAACGTTGGATGCATAGTAAGAAAAACGGTCAAGAAACCGGTATCAATATCATCAATATGATCATTGGCTGGAGCTAAATGTTCAATCAACTTCACGAGAGTCCCAGCTTTAATTGTTCGTCGCTTCTGCGTCTCCCATTCCAAGTGCGAGACAAACTCGTCATTAAATGGTAGTTTGTTTGTTGTGTGGTAACGAACTTTCTTTAAAACGACACGATATATTGCGCCGTCCTCTCTTTCATCACCCCAATCTCTGGTCTTGTAAATTGAAATAAAATCAAGATATAGCAAAGTGCTTACTGTGAAAATAGTTGCATAGAAAATACATCAAATGTTTGGCATAAGTGCAGACTAGACTGTGTTGTCGGATTTTACTAACGTTATAAAGTAAGCCGAACGTTCGCTGAAAAGATAGTTCAGTATACATATTAAAATTAGTTCAAGAACCTCGCCCCGCATAGCCTACTCTTGCTTCCTAGCTTGTAAAATTCCTTTCACACGTTTCATGAAGTATATATAACGCTAAATAAACAACCAATATTTTCAAACTTTTACACCTTACTTCTTAGCACGATAACCCATAATTAAATGCTTACAGATACAGCCTTTTGACAAATACACAGCAAATATTCTCATGAACTAAACGGCGCATTGTATAATGGTACTGCACCAACAAGCTGTCTGTTGTGTTAAAGTTTAACGAAAGATAACAAGCTCATAATAATGGCAGCTGGTAATTTGGGAATTGTATATTACAATGGTTATTATATTCAAGAACTATTTAAATTGTATGCAATTGGCATGAGTAAGGCTTCTTTAGCGTTGTGCTTCAATTATGAGACGAATGCATTAAGAACAATAAATAATCATTTTAGATCTCTCATTACCTATTGTTTTATATGCGCATCTCTTAGTTGTTGTTTACTCATTTTAAGAATATCTAATATTGATAGCCTCGAGTTGACTTTACTCCGTCGATTGGTCAATTTAAAATATCCAACCAATCACCTGCGTTCATTTGACCCGACGATACTGCTTAGCCAATGAATTGCACGCATTTACAGACCCATGCAAACTCTGAAATCTTATTCCCAAAGTCAACCACTTGAAAAGAGTACGTTGCAAGAACAAGATGTGTGAGCTGTGAAGCGTTCGAGAAAAGCTATCTCATCTTCTCCATGCAGGAAAACCTTTTCAAATAAACTGGTGAGTATTTTTATCATCGTTAGTTCTCTTAAGGAATAGCAGTTAGATCCTGATTCAACCCTATTTTTCGATTGAATTTGCTCCTAATATCAATTTACGTTTCTTTTTTTAACAGACAATTGCTCGTTTCAAATCAGAGAGTTAAGCTGCTTGTCAAGATAACTTTCAGAATATATAAGGATGTACTTCAAAATTGAACACCGATTCGAGATCGCCTTCAGGAATCTCAACAAAGGACTTCTCCGCTATTTTAATAAAGTAAGTATATGCTTTAAGTTGTTGCATGATTTTTATCGAACTTGAGGAGCCTGTGTAATTGAGACATGTCGTTCCCTAATGTTCCCCTTTGAACCTGATTCAGGTCAGTTTTTTCAGGCATTAATGAAACAAGCACGAGTCAAAACCCATTGGAACATGAAATAGGACTACGTATGGCAATTTTGCCGGCAAGACCCTTACTTGTGAAATTGACTCCCTAAAGTAGTTGCGTTTTTACACGTCTATAAGGCCATGCATAAGGACGTAAAACGTTAAAAGCATAGACTCGCAATACCTAAATACGATATACAAGAAAGGACTAGAAGACCTTTAAAATTTAGACCGGATTGAAATGGATTGTAAAATGTACCGAAATAAAATAGGATTAAAAATGCATGGTTAGTTTTAGGGGGACTTTGCAGACCAAGTGTCTGAGGCGAATACTACGGAATAGAATGATTAGCCTGTGGAGACTTTTTACGTCGTATATCATTTAGAAAGAAAAATTAAAATTGAGTACTAAATATATGTACTATTCTTTCGCAGGTTTGCACAACAAACGTGAACTTCTAGAAGTGAATTCATCTTAGCTAAACCAGACCAATTTCAACAATATGGATGCAATTACGCACAGAAGATACCGATTTGTCTTCAGAATAATTGGGGTAACAATCGAATTTGATGCAGGATATTGAACTGACTTGATAAGCGAACAGTTTTAAAACACGAGATCCGAAGCGACTCGTATACTGAGAGCGTCGTCTGAGCAAAAGAGACGACGTCCAATTCAAAGTAACGATGGATCCTATATCAAAACGACGACCGAACAGCAACGCCATGCAAAGAATGACGATTAAATACTTTCCTATGAAAAACGATCACCGAATGACGACGACCAACAGCAACGTCATGCCAAGAATGCGGATTAAATATATTTACCCACGAAAAACGATAACCGAACGACGACCGCAGGACGACGACCAACAGCTACGCCATGCAAAGAATGAGGATTAAAATATTGCCGACGAAAAAGGGTTACCGAACAACGACCGCACGACGACGTGATGCAAAGAACCGACGATTACAGTGCGACTACGAAGTAGATGACCTGGCTTTCAAAGTTTGTGTTTTATTTGTATTTGGGGGCCCCTTAGGAGTTTTTAACATACTTTGCACTATCCGGACTGTTTATACCTACTATATAACTTGCAGTATTGCTGTGTTGGCGAGCATTTTCATAACGCGCGGAATTAGTTCGGTCAAAACGTACAACAAGCGGTTATATGATATAGGCATAAAGGGCATTGTAAATATAAAGTAAATACAAGCACAATTATATAATATTGCTAGCTTCATCAACCTTGTAAATATAAAGTAAATACAAGCACAATTATAAAATATTGCTAGCTTCATGAATCTTGTAAATATAAAGTAAATACAAGCACAATTATAAAATATTGCAAGCTGCATGAACCTTGTAAATATAAAGTAACTATACAAGCTTGATTTAGCTTTTTTGTAACGGGATCGTCGTTTTTAAAAGAGAAAAGGATGGATACAAAAGCTTTTATGACAAAGGAGGAAAAAAAAGTAAAAAAATGTTAAAAACAAAAAAAAATCCAAATTTTTTTTATGAATATAGCAAAATACGCTATATGGTAAGTAAAGCAGAGTTCTTAAATGAACTTGTTGCAAGTAAGTGATAAAGCTCTTTGTAAATGAACAATTGCTGTTAATAGAAATACTGTAGTTACAAAAGAAAGCATAATCTATAATTTTATAGAATATGGCTTCTTAAAACAAAAATGTAATTAGAAATAACTAGGACTTTCCATTTTAGGGTGGTTAGTTATGCACCTTTTTTTCAGGGTAGTCAAAATTTAGACAAACGATCCAGACAACTGGACATATGCATAAACCTTGTCAATATAAAGTAAAACAAGCGTAGTTTAAGGATGCTGAAGCTATGAAGATGGATGGCACAAACGTCGATCGTGGCTAACTTCAACTAACACTCGCTTTTCAGAACACTAACACAATTTTCTTTTTTAGAACACTAACCCCTATTTTTTTTTAGAACACTAACCCCTATTTTTTTTTAGAATACTAACAACATTTTCTCTTTTCTAGAATACTAACACCATTTTCTCTTTTAGAATACTAACCAAATTTTCCTTTTTTAGAATACTAACACCATTTCCTCTTATTTAGAATACTAACTCCATTTTCTCTTTTTTAGAAATCACTAACACCATTTTTTAGGCGAATACTAACAGCCCCGTTCTCTTATTTAGGGTACTAACATATTTCATACTATTTTTGTCTCTTTTCTAGAGTAATTAATAGTCTTACTAACCACCATTCTATTTTAGGTTACTAACTCCCTATGTCATATTACTATTGTCTCGTTTCAGGGGTGATGATTAGCCTCAAGGTAAGGTTACTAACATCTTTTTCAGATTGACGTCTGTGATGCAAATAAGAGCCACGGCAAGATTCGGAGCAGAAGAATCTTTCAACAGATAAAAGCCTAGTCTAGACCTGAGGAAAGAGATTGTCGTGAAGAGATGGTTGGGAAAGAATGACCTATTCGTATTGGATTCGTATTCCATTATTCAAGAAGCTGATGTGAAGTCTTCATTGGAAAGGCGTTTGAAACACATTATCAAACGGTAAATATATAGTTGACTTGAAACTTTTAGAATACTAACCAAACTTTCCTTTTTTAGAATAATAACACCATTTCCTCTTATTTAGAATACTAACAACATTTTCTCTTTTTTAGAATACTAACACCATTTTCTTCTTTAGAATAATAACACCATTTTCTTCTTTAGAATACTAACACCATTTTTTAGGCGAATACTAACAGCCCCGTTCTCTTATTTAGGGTACTAACATATTTCATATTATTTTTGTCTCTTTTCTAGAGTAATTAATAGTCTTACTAACCGTTCTATTTTAGGTTACTAACTCCCTATGTCATATTACTATTGTCTCGTTTCAGGGGTGATGATTAGCCTCAAGGTAAGGTTACTAACATCTTTTTCAGATTGACGTCTGCGATGCAAATAAGAGCTACAGCAAGACTCGGAGCAGAAGAATCTTTCAGCAGATAAAAGCCTAGTCTAGACCTGAGGAAAGAGATTGTCGTGAAGAGATGGTTGAGAAAGAATGACCTATTCGCATTGGATACGTATTCCGTTATTCAAGAAGCTGATGTGAAGTCTTCATTGGAAAGCCGTTTAAAACACATTATCAAACGGTAAATATATAGTTGAATCTACGTATTTTTGTCTCACTGGGGCCCCCTTGCGGTTTTATGAACTTTGCACTATATGAAGCAGTAGTGATGTGTTGTAGTATAAATATTCATTTCTTTTATAGTATCAATATGGCGAATTTCTTCCGATGCAGAATGTGTGAGCGTGTTGTTTGTAAACGGCGGTTCCTCGAAGACTTCTCGTGCTGTGCGAATCGTGGTTTTTACGGAATGTATTTCCATTCTAACATGACGAAAGAACTCTCGAGGTTTTGGACTATAACGGTGAACCTAACTGACGGTAAAATATATAGACATTTGTTTACTCCCGTTTCGCGGCAATTGATGATGAACAAGCTACATGCATGTTACTGTGAAAAGTATATATAATTCACAGCCTTCTATATTTCACAATTGATGAATTGTGCTTTTGTGTAAGACTCGTAACAATCCCAGTGCTCAACGCCAAGCAGAAGTCCACCATACCTAAACCAAAGGTTTGTGTGACTTGAAAAAAAGCATGATAACGGTATATTTTCGGTCATTGATCTTCACTGTGAATTTCGTCCTGTTTGGCTGAAATGTTTGCAGTATAAACGTTCAACTTAAGATGCGCAAAAAACAGGTTAGGATCAGCGATAAATCTTAAACTTAAACTTGAAATTAAACCTAAACAGTAAACCTAAACCTTCTAGGTTATTGTAGGCATTGCAGTCACTAAGGAAGAGATATATTCACAGTGAAATTGATCGTGAAATGATATATTTTGATATTTCGGAATTTGTTTTTCCTGTCGTTTGTGTCAGTAGCTACAACGAAAAAGCACTGGGATAGTTTGAAAGTCTAACACTCCAATTTCGATCCGAAATACGACGATTCGCGCCCGGAAAAAAACTGTTGAGGCCAACTTTGCTTTGAAATTGGTATCAGTGACAGGGATAAAAAAACCTCTGAAGACTTTGTTTATCCGGCTTTACGATTGCAAAGGCTCACAGCTATGTCTTATGTATTTTTCCCGTCAGTGTGGTTTGAATTTCGGTGTGGATTGAATTTTGTCAGTATATATAGTAATTCATACTTGTAATAACTAGTGAACTGTGTTCCCTCACAAGGAAAATAAGTGTAATATAAGCGTAAATTACTCGAAGATGGACAATCTTTTATACCAATTTAGGCAATTTGTAAAATATAGTAAACCAGGAGAAGTTTGTTCAACTATATGAGCACTTTATATACACCAGATATCCATTTCAGAATTGGCTGACTCAGACTAGGCTTGACTAGTCTACACCAAATTGTCAAGATTTTGAGCAAAATTCCTGTCTTTGGCAAAAAGTATTTAGGTTGTTTCGACCAAACAGGCCTGAGGAGGACCTTTCGAGGTTTTAGGCCACTATTTTTCATGTGACCTTTGGAGAGGGACATTTGGTGTCATTGGGTTCAAGTCCCAATTCACATTTATGAGAAGAATATAAAATTTCGAGGATGTGTCTGCTTAGATCGTGCATGATTAGCAAACTTGATATTAGTAAGTATATCAGGTTCTCACATGATTACTTCAACTTAGATTTTGGCATAGTAGAAAAACAGCTGGCTCTAACAACTTTGGAAAAAAAAACTTTGGCCATTACTCTAGATTAGTATAATAGTATTTTCACCATCTTTTTTACTTTCTACACTTCTGGGGGGTTGAAATGTTTCAGGCAAAAGAATTCCCAGGTGTTTGACCTTCAGGTCAAACCTCTTGTGCTTATCACAAAACTTGTACTGATAACTAGAAATTGATGGCAACACTAATATTGTTTCAAATGGATAATGTTTTCCTAGGTTATTCTAATTGTGGGAGAATTGCTACAGTCGAACAGATCCTAAATTATGATGAATTAAAACTAAGAACCTGCAATGTGTGTGAAACCATCAGCCCCTGTCTTAATATTTTATTTCTCATCATCACATCACATCTTGTTCAAAAGAACATGATGAGAGATTGTTATATAAATACCCAAACATGCATTGAGACTTTACCAGTGGTAATTTCTAGAAAGCTAACCCATGTTTGCCTAGACACTTTCCTCTCAGCATCTCTGTGTTTTGGGTTAGACAGGTGAAAAAGAGATTGAGAAAATAGATTATTTGCAATGTATAATGGTGTCATCTTGTCCATATAGTACATCTGTTATATTTATCTTCAGCTTAGTTTTTAAGAGAGCAATGTGGCCAAGTATGTTATTGTTATATAAAATGCAACTGCTCTGGAATAGGTTATACAAATTTCTGTTCAATTATTCTCTAAATTCTAAATTTATATCCTCTACTTTCCGCTTGAAAGATTTGGCTGGAATTTTGAGAGAAGGCAATTTGGCATGATTTTTTGCAAAATGTAGTTCAATTCACATCAACTTTGATTTCATTTTTGTACAGAACACATGGTAAACACATGGAATACAACACTTCAATATATATGCTTATAGAATTTCGTTGCATAAACAATGTGGGATCAAATATAATGGCATCGAATTTCCTTCCCCTTCTGAGGAAGCGATTTTCGCAATACTTCGAAGATATAGTATTATTAATACCCAAATCCTTAACAAACGGCTTGCCTAAAAAAATTCTCAAATACTTTTCTAGAATTAAATCAGTGCTGCTAGACATAATTAGTGAAATCAGTCAAGACCTAACAATGCTTCGCATTTCGCAACCAATATGTTATGGCCTAACACCGTTGACAAGATTTCGCTTTCAAAATGTACGAGAAATCGTGGAGATCTGTCACAATAATTATCCATTAAGAATATTTACCTGTTGTTCTGGACTTGGAGTGGTCAGCATGGCTGCTTCCCCATTGATCAAGGGCCGTGCAATTTGACTCAACTAGAGATAAGAATATCACGTCTGATTTTTACCAAATTACATCAAATATCGTAGCGTTAAACGAACGCTACATGTGTTGTTGTTCTTATCTTGTTTTCGAGTTTTACAATGATGCAAAAACGACAGGGTTCTAAGGCTATAATACCCTCGATCACAGTAACCACAATGCTTAACCCAGGGTATTCTTTTGCATGTCTGTCGATAACTCGGCTCGTGATGACTTCGCGATGTTACGGAATGTTAATATTCCAATGCAACATCTAGTCATTTTGTCACGTATATTTTATTTATAGGGAACTGCGATAGTAAAATTTTTACGTGTTTCCTGAACTTTTTTCTTCACTAGTGATTACATAAGGGTAATAAGTTAAAATAAACCGTATAAAATCATCGTAAATACGATCATGAATAATTTCTAAAAATGATTGATCCCGATATAACAGTGAAACCTACGACCGTTTGTGACATAGCCATAGCATAGGAGTTAAAATTTATATCGCAAGTAGGGAGAATTTTTTATATCTTATTCATTTCAGTAAAGCAAGCATTCAAAATAGAGCTGTAGACCGTAGATCAAAATTGAGACTGTTTTGGCTACAACATCCATATAGAGGTGCCTACAAAAATCAATTTATCTAGTAGCAAAATTCAAACACTGCCACTGGTTTAGGTAATTTGCCTTGACCAACCGCATTTTGGTTTTCCCATACAAATAACTCATACCTTTTAAACATAACCTTGGCTTGTATAATTTTATAAATTATTGCCCAAGAATATACCATTGTGCATATTATGGTTGATAATGAAGGGTTGGTATGGGTAACAAGTGTTTATAGAAGTAAATATTATGGATTCAAATTCAATTACCGTGATATTTTCGGTACTTTCTTGCCATTGTTGTCGTCGCAACTGTTCCAAATTCAGTGAATGGCGATTACCGATGAAACGGTTAAACGGCATTTTCATTCTTGTATCTCTTCGGCGTCTAACACGGCCATAATTCTTTCATCGAGTTTGACAAGGGTTTATATTGTCGACCAGGAATTCTATAGTAAGCGCAAAACCAATATAACATCAAATTCTTCGCGTTTGTGAATGTCAACGATAACCCAAGTAACAAATGTTAAACTTTTATTTCAATAGCGAAAATATAAGGCACATAGTCGCACGATACTCTTCAGATGTGCCATTAGATTAGACCAATATATCTTCCGGAACTTTTAGCCATATGCATACGAGATCAACAAATGACATAGTCATAGATATAAGTGACGTACCGATTAAAATACTTAGCAAAATACCGAAAACCTATTATAGTTTGACGTCTTAATACCATAAAACAATTAGAAGTGCTTTTGAAATATGGCTATGTAAACCTTACCGGCATGAACATGATATTACGAAGAAAACCAAAATTGAAACACAGAGAGAAATGTGAGGGATATCCGTTTTGCATCATTAATGATATGCATTAGCAGAAAAAATCCCATTCTCAGTATAAAATTAAATAATAATAGCGAGATAATGAGAAGGCTAAAGCATCACACTAAAGTTACACAAAAACGGGTTATCCAAAATTGGTTCGTAGGTCATCAGAAAAAACACGAAGGCATTATCATATACGAGTATTGCCAAAGCCAAAAGGATGAAATTGAATATTTATTCAAGAGACGAATATAATATTTCCGGGTAAACGCTTTGGAGTGGTCAGACTGCGGGTTGGGTTACTCCAAAGATTCTTTTATACTTTAAGGGCTCCTCTCTAGTTAGTTTGACACGCTAGTAGCGAGCTTAAAATTCATGAAATCTATACTGACGTCCGTAGTTGTTAACAAAAGTTCGAGCCTTGTCTTAGGGCTAGGCTATCTGAAACAATCTCAATGTAAAGTTCATCGAATTCTCGACCGACTAGCATCTTCACCAAAATAACGTCCGCGTCGCAGGTTGGATCCCTAGTATACCAAGCAACTGATGAAAAACTGGGAACAAATCGAATCAAAAAGTTTTGGGGGAAAATATTTTTTATATATTTGTACGAGCCTTACATTAACAAAATAACATCGTGTACGAAACTGCCGTCGATAAATATAATAAAATTTTTTTTCAATATGTTCAATATTTTCCCTTCAAAATATTTATATACTCTGACGCTGTCTCTTACACGAATTGTGCCACCTTGATTAGTTTTATAATGAACCGAAAGAAGCGTACGTGATGAATCTTACAGAAAATAATAAATCATTGTAAGATGTCCTTCAATTTCTTCCAAAAGTACAAATTTTAGCTTATATCTCTTAACCTCCGTTCACTCTGTTGGTTACACACAGTTCATCATGTATATCCCTTGTTTCAGTGTATAAACTGTTCGCTCAGAAAAACCAGTGGCAGTGCTTTATAAATTTCATGTGAAATGCAAATAGTTGGAGCAACGTCGTTTCTTGATTCATGTGTTACATAATACATTCATGTCTCATGCATATAATCCCGTAGCATTAATCCCATGCAGACACCCGTTATATCGACAGACAGTGTTGTGCCATATTCCAGTCATACTATTGAAACAGGTACTCGAGATGCAAATCAGCAGGTCAAACCAAAACAACTGAAGAAGGTAAATTATGAAACTAGAAATGTTCAATAATTTCCGCGTTCCCCAACCAGGAAGTTTAAAAGTCACACGTGCCAGGGTATATACGCGCTACAAGCACCGTTGAACTATAGCTCTTTTAAGACTAAGTAACGTGACATTTTATTATTGACACATTAAACGATTATTGGCGAAACTACACTCTTCCTTATATCATGCATATGTGTAAAATGGAAAGAAAAAATATGTGAGATGACTCTTATGCATTACTCGATAATTGACTACGATGAGGTCTCTTAAACGAATAAGAGACATCCTGTAAGCAGTTGTGAGAGGTTGGAGTTTGAGGGATCGCAAGCTCTTGTTACGAGATTGGAGTTTGAAGCGAAACACTTCCTGGGAGATTAATTTTAGTTCCCTCCTAACCATTCCTCCTCCGCTCCTCTCAAACCGACCTTCGCTTGTGTGGAGTTAATCGAAAGCAAAGTGGGTCAACTTGACCGCATTTGAAAAGAAAAAACAAGCGCAAAAAATCATCGAATGGAGGAATTCCGGCTCATGGAAAAGCGCGCTCAAACCTCGGCACAAACTATCCCGCGTATTCCGGAAGTGCTGAAGGAAGAGCACACAGTTTGGCATCATGACAAAATTTCTCACCTCTCTCAATTAAATAAATCGTAGTTGCGTATCGCCAGTATTCATTACATTTTTGAGGGTGTACATGATTTCGGTTATTGATTTCTCCATGGAAACCACCATTCATTGTAGTGTGACGTAAATTTCATCAATATGCTTGATCAGCAGAGACAATGGTCGCGAATAAACTGCTAAATGGTGTATAATCGCATAATGCTTTTATAGCAGTCGGTTCGAGCGTGTCGATAAACCCCATCACAGCTCTGGCGTGAATCCTGGATGAGTGGAATGGGAATAGATATACATGCAGAAAGCATTATTTATCAAAATGTCGACGTTTTTTAGGCATATCACGTCACGGCCTCGTTCGAAACTCAAAAACGTCCCCGGAGGTAACTTACTATACTTCAGTTTAGATAGTATGGATAAGCACCAAAATAGGCAAAAACATACCTGAAATTTTAGTTTTATCTGTCTAGAATTGTTTATCAGGACTGTGGGTATATATCATCAATAAACAAATGTAAATAGAAAGAAGAGAAACTACATAAAAACTCTTTGAATAATTTGTAGTTTTGACTTCGTGTCGTGATGCAAGTTGTGATGTGACTGATGTCCTCCACGTCGATACGTCGAAGACTCGAAAATTCTTTGATAAGAGTATGCGATAGTGATGTGCTCGTATATTCTTTTAAACATGTACTGAGTTATAAGTTCTAGGATGCCATAGTCATCACAGAAAACTATGTACCGTTACAAAAAGATTCGTGGCTAGTTTATCATGTCTGCACACCGAGTGTGTACTGAATTAAAATTCGTAAGGTTGACCAACAGACTGTGGGGCTAAGATGATGATCTTGATAACGAGTAGTAAACTGCACTTAAGGAAACATGTGAAGCACTCGTGTGAAACCGTATGATGACAACATAAATATATCATGCACTTTTAACGTTTGTTTACTCTTGCTTAGACCGCTCGTAGGCGGAACATGTGTGCATACAGCGAAAACGTGAGTAGTCACACGAATTTTATGCCGCAAAGAACTTTCTCGCGCTCTTTTTTGATCAGTTGTTATGGACACGACACGAAAACGGCGACAGACGTGGGCTCAGTTGTGGAACCAGGGAGGAGTAGTATGACGATTTCCTTCATGTACATGACTGCATGTATCCCACTAAAATTCGGATAACCCTTCAACCTTAAAACGGCAAAATCGTTTCTGCGGGACTATACATTTTTAGGTATATGTTCAGCAAAAAAAATTCTCAATCTGTTTGGATATAAAGCAGAAGTTACTGTGCAAAGAGCCAAAGTACGAATGTTCAATATCACAGGGGCAAGTTTATCTGCATGTCTGTGTAGACTGTGTTGCCTCCTGCACTGATGTTTCTGGTGATGCACTGATGATGATGTGATGTTTCTCCACTGATGTTTGATGATCGCGCAATCCCGCGCATGTGTTTCGAGGGTTTTTCGATATCGCGATAGCTGACATAGGTCAAACTTGCGTGGTCATTTAAGAGCCTTATAAACATAGTTTATCCGCGTCACAGCTGTAAATGCGATAATACACATATTTCGTAACACTACGCGATTGAATTTTGATACGCTTGTGAAATGTTCGCATTCTGATAAACCAGCTTAAGTACACACACAACACTTCATTATCGATAAAAATCAGGAGTTGCATGCTACTCAAAAGTACTTGTGGACCCTCAATCTCAAACTTGTGCGCCGTGTCGTGAGAAATTCTAAATTCATGAATGACCATGCATGCAGAGTCATTGTTGTGTTTATCGCCTCGGCCTCTGGTATCATTTTGATAACTATATAACACACATTTATATTTTACAGCCGGAGTTGCTGAGGGTATAACCACACGTATCTTCGAAATTTAAATTGTACCCAGTATTAGCGCATCAGACGGCATGCTATACTGTACAATAATGCTAATCACCACGGAACCGTCTTTGATTTTTCCGAAGACTAAAGTGGGGAGAAACAACCTTCATGTCTACACAAACTTAATGCCGTGACCTCGTAATCGACGTGATACAGTCTTCACTTTATAAAATCCCAACTCCCTAACCCTTAAAGCATATACATACGATCTCGCTGTTCCATGCTTACAGACAGGCAACGTCAAGATATTTCACATTTCGGCGCTGAAATAAATGGCTATAAGCCACCCTTGACAACAACGCATCATTTATTAACATATTTCAAATCAATGTATTCGTACAAACCTCTTATACACAGCCAATTTGTCTCTCATCAAAACATAATAATAGTTTCTGACTCACACATTCCCCAAATCTTCTTCAAGCGCAGAATTTTGATCAATATTTTGTTTTACATGACGAATATGGCATTGGTATATTGCAGTCTTGTGGTAGCGAGCTATGATGAGCCTATGACGCTTTTAATATGATGACGACCTAAACTGGTATCATATTACATGCACTTTTCAACACACGTTCAGGCCCAAACAAGTCAAATTATGGACAATAAATGTATGTGACATTGCGCAGAGTATGCAGGTTAAAGTCTGAAACACAGAAACCTAATCGCAAAATTGCGTTTGTATAAATCGCGGTTCTTTCTCAGCGCAAAGAAACACTATAAGTTTATATATATTTTTGTAGATTTCGCAATTATTTTTCAACATTATTATATATGTATATAAAACACCATGGCAAACATTTCGTGCAAATTGCTTCTGCAAACTAAAAACGTCACGGAATGCATCAGGAATGTGGTATATAGGCTTATATAACTAAAGAGTATGTATGTATGGCTGGCGCGCAATATTGTCCATAATATTATAGAATATAGCTACTCTGCATGGGGTCAATTTTTAAATCCAGATTAGGTCAAATGCGCATTTAAAATCGAAATGTTGTCTGGCTATACTATACCTGGTGGTAACATCTCCAACGTGGGGCTGCCTGGAATTTCGTAAACGTAGGCTTTATATAGTGCTATACTAGTGAAGTTTGTTTCTTCCAAGTGTCAAATAGAAAGGCCAACAATATGTAAGTTACTAACATACGACTACGGACTACCGGTTTACGCGGGGCCGAACGAATTTGGGACCGGCTGAAATGCGTCCATTTTCGCCTGTTGTCACCGAATAGGTTAAGATTTTGGCCTTTTTTCGAGTGTTTTTTTTTGCGGAATTTCGAGGGTTTTAAGTTCGTTCAGCTCCGCGGTGGCGGCTTCAGACTGATTCAATGGACACCGCGGAAATTGGTATAGACTTAGCCGAAATTCTCAATACTTAGACTTCCAACTTGGTGAGAAAAAAGATATATTTATATTCAAGAAAATATGTCTTGCACAAAAGATTTGAAGCTTGCACACGGTAAAAACGAATCGTCTGAATTAATAACCTTGTGTATACTTTAAGCCTTAAAATGGTCATTTCACAGCTGTCAGATGTGTATGATGAGCTGTCAAAAGATTGCAGAATGCGTATTCAGAAGAAAAATTGAACTTTTTTAAAAGGTTTCTCTTTGATAGCGGTACAGAAATGCACAATTGTGAACCAGCGATTATCAGTAGATTTTCGGGTTGAAATGTCTTAAACACCATGCATGCAAGATTAATCCATATAGTAGTTTAAAAACGTTAGAACAAGGTTACAAGGAAAAGGGAATGAAATAAAATTAAAAGCAGATTCCGCACGAAGAGCAAATCCTGGGCCAAGTTGCTAATAGCTGCTTTAATGTACATTGCTGGGTTTTTAGTGTCCAAAATTTCTGCGTTTACAAATTTCTGCCAAATCAGGCAAACTATCAATATTAACTCTTCGAATATTGAAACTAAAAGTAAACACGTCTACACCAAGTCGCCAACTAAGATTTTATTGTTAATGTATAGGAATAAAGCTATTTCACACCGAATAGACATAAACTTTGTAATTTTAAATAAATAAATACGAGTTTAATTAAATACACTATAATATAAAAGTAAAAATCTATCGGCAATTACAAAGAATCCATCAGCTCATATTGTCATAACAGCCAATGGCGAGAAGTTGTTTTATTCTAAGGCTAACGTGGCTCGCCGTGACCGTAGAACCTGACGACCAACCGCACTGTACTAGTTCATTCCTGGTGAAAACCGTCTGTTTCCCAACAATCCCGATATCAATTCCTCAGTAATACAGAGTGTCCCATTCAGTGTATTGAAATGGGCTCGTAAAGTCATCGTACTTTTGACAGTATGATTGAAAATCACAATCATAGGCATATTGCTCCAGTGACTCGAAACCTGGTGGTACTATTCTCGGATACTGAGAATCAATCTCCGGTGTACACAGCTGTGGAATATTATCGATCATTAATTGTTCTGAACCATTGATAGGGTTAAGAAGCTGATGGAAATGAGGGTAAATTGTGATGTCATTTGGAGGGGGAGGAGGTACGGCGTCGTGCTGCAGAAAGGTTTTCACGTGATCAGTAAGATCGATGAATGGCGCATCCTGCGATGTTAAGGTGTCCGGAGATGTTTTGCAACATGATCTCCTTGGCCTTTCTTCCCTTTCTTTCAATGAGCAACTGCGGTTCATATCAGCATTTGTTACGTCGTCATCTTGTTTTAGCTTTTTGTTAGCACACTGATCATGAAGTGCTTCTAGATTTCTAAAAAACGAAAAAAGCACAAGTGAGACCTATATCATGAGAGTAACGATGGCGGTTATGAGCATCCAAAGACCCTGGGTACGACGTGGCCACACTCTCCTGACGAAGGCTCGTTATATAACATTTGATGAGAAATGAGATTTTGCCAATGATTATGTTAGAGACATCCATTTACTGTATTTGAACCAGTTCAGTACTGCAATAAATAATTACCTCTTACGAGCAGCTCTACGAGTCTTGTAGCTTTCCCGGAATGCAGCAGACAAAGGATTCATCTCAATTTTCAATCGTGTGATTTTGCTATTTCGGTAGCCAGTCACAGCAATGAACTCGGTCAGAGGTAGTTCGATCATGCGCACGTGAGGTTGATGACAGTGTGAACAAGTAAGTTTGGTTACGATAACTTGAATACGGTATTTACGCAGACTTGACACGTGGATCTAAAATGAATAGAGAACTCGACCTTAACACTACAAGTCATCTCACAATCACTTAAACTAAGACATTTTAAACCATTCTCATATGCCCAGGTCAGTCCAGTAACTGAAGTATAGGTCAGTCCAGTGACTGAAGTAGTTATAAATCATTGCGGTATTCCCACACACTACGGTGATCAGCGGTGAGACCAGACAAAAAAAACTCATATATTGGAGTGCATGCATCACTGGATTGTCAGCGAAAAGAACGCTATCATGCTATTAATAAAAACAGTTCTTACCATATGTTTGTCAGTTTTATTTAAGTTGTTTATCAAACGCAGTTTATCAAACGTGAGCACTTGTGCCGTCCAGAACGCGCCGAATGCAGGGGAGTTCGGGTGCTCGTATAATCTTCGGCCACCTTTCGTAGTTACCTCGCGCTCTGCCAGAAAAAATTGATGCCATTCGTTCTTGGTCGGAAGATAGCGATACCTAGCCGTGTCAACATTCGAAAAGTTAACCGACACGCTGTATTTCTCGGTAAGCGATAGCCCTGCAAGTTTCACCATTAAGACTGGAAATAATGACCTAGAAATAAAGAGAAATTTCACGATTTAACCGAGCATCAATCACCTATGATTCTCATTTCACAGCAGACACAGTGCAACTTTCAGTGGGATTTAGGCGCATGACTGCCCAGGCTTGAGAAAATCATTAAATCATGATTCATAATCACTGAACTCAATGCTTTCTACAAATGAGTTATAAAAAGGCAGTGACAAAGACACACAGTCACACTAACAACATGCAGGAAGCTAAATATCCCTCCAGGATTATACGCCTCTCATAAAATTTTGTTAAATAATTGCATATAACACAAAGTGAAATTAATTTAGGGCGCTTTCCTTGATACGGAAAAAACGGCCAGACCGGTCCTGTTGCATTTCGGTACAAACAGATTACTGGTATTTTAGAGTGTTTCAAGAACTCTGCATTCAGGTATATCGTTATTTACATCTGACGAGCACGGGAAATGCAGTTTCACCGCTATATTCTTAACGAAATATTCGATTTCAATTTAAAATATGACCGGTCTGACCATTTTGGCCGCTTAATGGAAAGCGCTCTAAGTATCATTGAGGATTCCACAGATGCATATCATGTAACTCACAACAAATTTGCCTCAAGTCTTTATCATTTATAAATGGCAATAACGGAACAGGTTGAGGGCTCTGAGCCAACTATCGATATTTAGTTGTATAACTATCACACTTGAAACACTTCATTTCACCGAGTATATTTTAATGAAGGAAGAAAAATAAAAGGAAAATCATATATTCTCACGCTTTTTGTGGGAAAACACTTTCTACTTGACTCGGTGTCCGATCGAAGATCAGAAATTTGAGTCGCAGCAATAATTATGTCACATGTGGGCTGTGGCCGGCTGTACGAAGGCTGAATAGCGCTAACAAACATGCATGCAGATAGTGATTATTTTAACCGCGGTAAATACGATTAAAAAAACAGCAAGTATAAATATGGAGCCAACAATAATGAAAAGGGAAACCATAATTTAAGAATACTAAGGTTTAATCAAGTTATACTGAACAACGGACAATGTTGGAGCGATTGACAAAAAATAGCGCTATACACGTACCGTCCCGTGTTGGTGATTTTCATTTCGTGTCCCTCAGCGTGAAAAATCTCCCACAGTGCTTCATTTCCGAGTTCCGCCTTTAGATCAGCCAAATGCTTCATCTTGCAGGGCAAGGAATTCTTATTTGGTAAAAATACATCTTTGATTGAAGCCATTTGGGTTGATTTCTGAGCGATATCTTTTGCTGAGAGTATGCTTTGTTTGTTGTTTGTTGGCCTGACCGATTGTGACGTGATGGTATCGTAAACAAAACCTTCAGACATTTTTTGACGATGGTTCTTCAAAGTTTAACCTTGATATTCCAGCAGCTGCTTTTACTTCGATTACAATGAGACTGTGAATGTAATACCTGACTTGAAAGCTTTTTTGTCAAAACAAATTGATCAAAATAAGACAAAAACTTAGTCCTAAAAAAAGATTGCGATTTGCATAGAGAACGCGTACCGCCATACGTAATGAGCTATTTTTAGCAGCGCATACCATATTTGGCAGGGTGGTAGTCTTGAGTTATGGCTGAACTATCCGATATGAAAAACGTCTAAAAAATTAAACATCCCACTCCATGATATATGCTACCAGCTTTTTAACCAAACTATAGGTTTAAATGTAGTACATGCCTGTGATACTCAGACTTGTGATATCATTCATATGTAATACGAAACTGTAAAAACTGTAAAAACAATCACTTGACAAACAATTACTTTATCAATATCCAAAAAAACAACCCGTTTTTAAAGATTTCGTTAGGGTAAAGATTTTCGTGGTGTTTATACACGAAGGCTCGCTCAATCAATCAGTTATCCGCACTATAAAAGGTCTACTAATAGCTATATATCTCAAACATATAGTGTTATCAGTTATCTATCTATCTATGACTATATATGTTATAAAACCCAGGGCCGTCCATGCCTATAATACTATATGTATATTTCATCATTTTTTCTGACTTGTACACCCCTAAGAGATTATTTTGTCGCCTTTCGGAAAACGGATTACAATATTACAATATGTTGTTATCGTGATCAGTTGCCTAATTAAATTGCTGGAACGAGATGATACTGGTAAACAATATACGTAAACATTCGTAACAATGCATCGGAGCAACGCATAATAGATTAAGGTATGCGGGAAAAATGCAATGATTGTTGTAACAATGCCAAATGGCAGAACTCGTAAACAACATTAAGCCCTGTGTTGAAACTAACCAGCAATTGGATACAACAAAACATATTTGCCGCATGCTCTGGCACGTAATCACAAATAATATATACTAACATAGTGACACTTTCACTATATACAATACGATGTATTTTTAAACGGCATCTATATATATATATATAAGTCTTGCTTGTATAGCCTTCTTTTTCAGAAAAACTTTTGAATGAATGGTTTAATTACTTCATGCACCAAAAGATGTTTTTCTGTAAAGCCCTACAGTCAATTACACTAAAAACCATATCATAAAGACGTAAGTCTATAATGTCAAACATCATAGATAAATAATATCAATCTATAGGCCCATTAACCCGTTTACACTTGCAATTTTAGATGCGATTTTCTTCTTTTGGTAGATGTGAACGAGTGACTAGTTAGGAATGCTCTGTTGTAGAAGTGCTCATACTTGATCATCCGTAACTAATTCACTTGTTCACATCTATCAAAAGATGAAAATCGCACGTAAAATCGGAACAAAAACCGCAAGTGTAAACGGGTCTTATATATCAGTCTAAAATGATATCACCCGATAAACCTAAACATATTCAAAAATTTACCATATTAAAATTAGTTTCTAATGTAATTCTTTCGCTATGTTTTATTTAAACAAACATTAGGAAAAGACCACAGGCACTTTGTGTAATTATTCTTGGTCCAAATATAATCTTATGCTGAAAACATATGGATTATGGAATATGGGCAAACTAGCAAACAATGCCCTACCAGACACTGAAGTAACATCATCTTGCAAACTTAAGATTTGAGACAGTTTGAGCTAGAAGGCACAAAACTCACAAGACGCAGAATTCTGCATTCATTTTTTGTAATGGAAAACGCGATAAAATGTTTTAACCAAATCCAAAATGATACCATAATCTCTAACAACAAAAAGAATACAAGTCACTTTGAGTGATTGATAATTGGTATAACAAAATTTAATACTTCTATAATGAAAGAAAAAATATTACAATTGTCTCTTTTAATCATAAACCACGCGAATAACGAGCTATCACGCGCATATACTTTAACATTCAGCAACATTTGTCAGCACAAAGTCGAGGTCATCAAAACTATTTAGTTTGTCTGAAATACAGTTGATTTTGGTTAGTTCATCAAAAATGGACGAATCGAATGCTTCGTCTTTCTCCGATGTCTGGAATGGCGAGAGATAGGTCTCTATATATCCAAGAATGTCCTCGTCACTTTGAATATGTGCTTTTGGTTTCGTGGTCGGACATGTCAAAACATTAGAATATTCCGAGCGAGCCATCGTTTGAGAAAGGCTATCTTGGTTTTCTGGAAGTTTAATCGTTGAAGATATCACTGTTGTTCGCTTGATGGTCGGCGTACATACATTGGCTAGACCCGACATGATGGGCAACTGGGAAGTTGAGGTACTCGGGGTTGTAGAATGGAACACATAGGGTGTTAATATAGCGGAAGGCTGGGAACTCGATGCACTCGGTAGGACACTTGACGTGGCTAAATCGGAAACAGTGGATACTTGGGTACTTGGGGTGGTAGATGAGGTTTTGTTGTTAGGAATGGTCAGTCGGATTGATTCTGATAAAGTGATCTGTGTAATTTTGTCGAATGAACTCGCAGGATCTGCATCAATCTTTTGCTTTTTTGTTTGGTTTGTCGGGATATTCTCAGCACTTGATAAAAATACAAATAATGTTAACACATAGCGAAGAGTCAAATCCATCATATTCCTAATGATTTAACAAAGATGTAACAAATGTTGGCTGATCAGATTAACCAACTCACTTTTTCAAAATCAGGACTACAATTGGTTCAAGAAAAACAGAAACAACTATGTCACATGCTCACTACAGCAGCTTTAGCTATTTTTTATGCAGATACGAAAAGTCTCAAACCTCTTTCGCTGACGATTCTTTCTCTTGCGTGGATAAGTCACTGCCCTCATCTTAGCCATTGGATTGTGGGCTATCTTTAGTTGAGAGATTTTTAAACTGTAGTAACTTGAAACAGCGATAAACTCGGTCAGAGGAATGTTGATATGACGTGTATGTTTTGCATGGCAGCGCGAACACTGGAGCATGGTAACTACCACCTGGGCACAATGCTTTCTCATGGTTGGCGCAAACACCTACAAAGAGAAGACAATGGTATTTAACATCGCTGACGTAGCCTAACGAGTTACTGCAAAATCAAATATTTTAACAGTGCAAGAGGTTTATCTTACAAGAAATTAATTTTTCCTGTTGAATAAAACCACAGCTCAGATTAGGTGTTTTAAGTAATTACATATAGAGTTGAAACATTGATATACAAACTCTCTTAAAGAACCAAGATACAAACTCTGTCCAGCATAAATAAAGTTATTAAATCAACTCTCCTAACATGTTTTTTGTCTAGTTAATGGAAGCTGTAACACCAAATTTTATGTAAGGTTATTTAGTTCAATAATACGTACCATATTTTTAACGTTGGTTGAACGATTAATGAGTCGAAGTTCACCGAATTCCAACTGTTTTTTATTCCAAACCTTTCCGCTCGCAGGTGACTCTGAGTGTTCAAAACACTTCGAATGATCTGCGGTTTGTATCTGCCTAGTTTGATCCCAGCTCTCGCGTGACGTGTCGAAATAGTAGCGATACTTGTCAACACACACGAACTTCACTGCAACACTGTACATCTTGTCTGGACAGAAGCCTGAAACTTTCATGTCCAGCGTTGGAAACAATGGTCTATAAAATACAAGCAATACGTAAATTAGTAAACTAATTTGAGACGATCCACTGTAATGATCTATAATCAGCCTGGCATGTTTTAACTGAAGTTTGACATCGGTTGAAATCAACTTTAGTTCAGAAATGCATTTACTAAAATAAAATTCAATACACTATTGCAAATAACACATACAAACTATTTTAACAAAGTTCACACCATGTATAGGCATACACACCTAATAAAATAATTGCTAAAATAACGCTATTTGGTGAAGCTTACCTTCCTTGTTTTGAAACGATCATTTCATTTCCTTCTTCATGAAACAATTTCCATAGTTCTTCTCTGCTCAATTCCACTTTCACATCGCTCAAATTGCCATCACACTGCCCCGTTTGAGGAATGGAGATATTCACTTGTTTTGACCTTGGCTTACGAGTGATGCGAGTCTTCTCTGGCTTGGAAGAGGAACTGATTCCTGCGGATTTCGGGCTAGAAACACTTTGAGATGAGCTCGGTTGGATTATAGTATCACCTGAGGAACTTTTCAATGTCGAGATTGGATGAGTAGATTTCAGTTCTGGTTGAGATGGGCAGTCTTGCCCTTCGATCACACAATTTCTCTTCGAAACTTTAGTGCTTGGTGTTGAAACTGCGAAGACTGGGAGAGACGATGATATTTTCGTTGCAGCTGAAGCATTGTTCGAATTCAAGACTGGATATAACTGAATATAACTGGTGGGTTGTAGTTTGGTTGTCGCTGGACTAACATTCTGGTTCAACACTGGAACTACGTAGAGAGATTTCGGTGTTTGGTTTACCGACGTCATAGAACTGCACGCGACTGAAATGTTTGGTTTCAAGAGCTGATATAACGTGGGAAATGCGGTGTTTGATTCAGGTCTTGCTGTATTTGAAATTATAACTGTGTACACTGGCTTGGGTAATATATTCTGAAATTTAGCACCAGCGTCAAGATTACACGATTTTGGGTTTATGGTCAACTTGGGGAACACGTTCGGCTCGGTGTTCAGAGTTTGATGAATGTTAGGTATCGCAGGTGCGACGGTATTAGTATTCTGTAATACGTTGTTGGCAGGTCTTGGTATGGTCTTTGGAACCTCGGGTATAGTGGATAAACTTGAACCACGGTGTGTGTCGGTGTTAGGAACTTGGCGAGGAACTAGTTTCGTTGAATCCAACTTGGTTTTTGAGGTTAACATGGTATAGGTAGGCTTTGGTGGTGAATCTTGAGGTGAATCACGGCAGCCGTCCGACGTAGAGATAGCAGTTTCACACGTGCCAGGGTTAACCAAATCATTTTCATGGTCATACTGGATCCCGCTTTGTGTCAAAATATCTGAATGCATGTTATAAAAAAAGACATCGCTTCTCATAACTTTTAACAATTCTCGAATTCCTGGTAGAGTCGGTAACATGGTAATTGTTTACGACCGAGTTCGTTCAGAGAGCGCACCTTGGAAGACCTTGGTATTTACAAATTATTCTTTCTGAATAGCACGCTTTATTACATTCACGATCCAGTTATACCATTCAGAATGAGTCATACACGACGCAAAGTGTCATAACTGATCATTGACAATAACAACATTTATCAGACACAAAAACCGATCACCCATACAATAGGTGTGATGTCGCAATCCCTGCATCATGAGCTATATTTAGTAACGTGTTTTCCGTGGTCAATTTTGCTACGGTTGAGCAAACATTCTGATAAGTGCTTGAGGTAAACATATTTTGTGATCACAGTTTTAAATTACAAGGCTGCAATTGTGATCATTGGTGACATTCGCCCTGGATATATAACGTGCATTGGAATTTGTTTATTAACATATCCACTAAGGCACGAGTATAGGACTTTTAATGGTCCTAGCAATTAATGTCTGCATTTCAAGATCAATAACAATGTAAATGTAATGATTAGAGTAAAGAAATCAGGTTTATGAGATATGACAAGATGGGTCTTTTGAACAAACTGATTAGTTATACATGGAATTAAAATGATTATTTCCTTGCTTCACAGTCAGAAATCTTGTGAAAAGTTTAGTTTTTTTTCAGGTTGAAAACATCATTCAACCTAAACTAGCGAATTTTATGTGCTTTGAAAATGGTTTGTTAAGAGGACATAGGATAAAAATATTACAATACACAACATCAAAATTACTGGCTTGGTCCTTAAAATGCATTTTGAGTTATTAGAATTTTGTACCTACACCTGGCAGGTAATTCTGTAAAAGATATATAACACAATAAGTATCTAAATGAGCAAACAAACTCTCTCTGTTAATAAACAATAACTGCCACAAAAGGTAACAGTACTTGTTAGACCAATTTTGTAGCATTTCTGGTTGGTCCAAATCCTCACTATTATATACATCACTTGTCAGTTTATGGTGGCATTAATAAAGATATAAATCTACAGAGGCCGGTATAGATCTACCGTGCTGATGGCACTATGGTTAGAACTTAGAACAACCAGTAATTAATGAAAATATTTCTGTTCATAAAACATCAAATCCCAGATTGAGATATTGTAAAAAATACTGTATTTTATACACAATTACCCATAACACAAAAGAGACCTTATAATCTTATACCTTCAATTTCTTTGCTGTAACATCAGTCTCTTTACTATACTCAGTGCTTTCAGAAGCTCTCTTTACTCCACATGAGATTGGCATCTTTTCCAAACTAACAACACCTTTCACTGTCTTATTTCGAGCTTCTGCATGATAAATGATGCTTCGAATATTTTTGGAAACTGCTGCCTTGCTTTGGTCAGGCTTTAATCCAAATAATACCCCAAGATTTATAAGATCATAAGGACCTCTTAACTCAATTGTTCGTTCGGCGCCGCTGGATATAACAACATTTCGACCTTTGCAAACCCTGGTTAACTCCAATGCATTTGTAATAACATGTTTGCGTAGACCTTCATCTCTAATGGCTGGTGCATAGAGTATCTCAAAACTGATTCCACGTTCAATAGCTACGTTAATTTGAGGATGTTTGATGTAGAAGGGCATTCGTGATGTCATATCGAAGCTGATGACGTCACAATCTACAGTTTGGCATATTTGTTGAAATAGTTTTTCATTTGTTGGTTGTACACTAACAATGTCATAACTTTGTACAGTCTCCCCTGGAATAAAACGTACTTGTTGTTGATCTTGAATAACGACTGTTATTCTTGAAAGTAGTTTTAATTTTGGAAAAATTTTCTTTAATTCGTTCAAGCCTTGCAAATTGGTTAAGTTTGGAGGCCCTGGTATCTTATCTTGTCCGCCCTTTTGTTTAATTCCTGGTGAAATAGTTCTGTTTACAGCAACGGTTTCATAGCCAAGATTCACGAGGGCTGTTATGTATTTCATTAAAACACGAGGGTCATGTTGGAAGGGCAAAGAAATATCACCAAAAGACGCCATGTTCTTTTTAAAAACAAACTAGAACCAGACCCTTTACACGCGGATAAAACTCTGGAACAACCAAAGTTCCAAGATGTTTGCAACAAAAGTATATATTGAAAAAGAAAGATGCTCCATGATGAGTTTTATGTTTCACGTTGCTAATGGTATAGAAATAAAAGTTAAAATGCCGTAATCTCTATTCTATGATCCCTCTGTCAAATTATTTGAGTTCTTCTCTCTAGAATCTTCCTTTCTCTAATACCTCCTTTTCACCCCCTTATACACAAATATAGCCTCAAAACCACTGACTCAATTTCGTCAGTTGCTTCAATTTAGTAACCCCGAATTTGCAATCCTCGCTGCAGGCATGGGGTTCTAGACTTAAATTGCGCTCGGTCCTTGCAAAAACCTTCTTAAATTAGCCCAACCTCGAACGTCAGGCTTTTGGTTTCAATGGTACGTAAAAGAAATTAAACCCCTAGTCTTAAAATAGTCCATTCTCTGTAACAAATCCCAATTTCGTTAAAACGGTGGTTAAAAGACAGCAAGCCCCGGTGGATTAATAAATAGAATGGATCATCTTTTCTGGGCGCACAGGGAAGTCAAATAGATAAGAATCTGATTTTAAAAAGTTCTTCGTTCGTATTAGCCTGCTCGCAGACTGAATTAGGGGGCCGGAAATTAAAGGGGGGAAATATTGGCTTATGCCGCCATACCTCAAGTCGCAAATTTCAATCCCTCCTGGCTCCAGTCCCATAAAATATATTGGCATGATTTTTTTATATTTACAAAGTACATGAAGTCCTTTGAGAAATTTTGTATTAGAATAAATTTGAATATACGTACTACCACTTTCCTATACATGTCCTAAAATAAAATGACAAAATTACAGCAGTAGAACTATTACAACATAGTAAATATCTTCAAATAGTTAAAATAAAAATGAAATAAAAATGTTCATTGCGCATCTTTCATTCTTTTCTTGGTAGCGGATTAACAATCATACTCTCGATATACTCAAATACTGTATGAGGATCTTGATCTGCATTAATATGTTGTACGGTCCGTTCATAGTAATCGGCGATATCTTCGATATGTTCTTGATACGTCAAGAAACGTTCAGTTACACGGTCCTCCTGGTCTTCGGGGTGCTAAATTTGTTGAAGAATTTCAATCATGTTAACTGATTTGATATGTACAAGACTCCAAACTGTGCGTTCCTAAATGAGCTGATTACCCGGGATTTCTTTACCAAATGCGTTTTTCAAATGCAATATCCTATCACTCTTACCACAAACACCCCCCCCCCCGTTTCACACGTGCTTCGGACCACTGCCTGTTGACTATGCATTTGATTTCATCAACACTCTGGACCGTACTCTGAGGCGATAGCCCGCCCCCCCTCTCTGGACCAAACAACGCTGAATTCACCCTCTGTTACAAACTGTGTACAGTACAAAAAACCTGTAACTGAAGGGCAAATTCGAATCTCGCCATCTCGATGGCACTGGTATTCATCTCTCCCCCCCTAAAATCATTCAGTTTTACTTTCAAATCCAAACATACCGTTTGTAACCGTTGTTTGACTTCGGTGGTACGAGGTGGATTGTATAAAAGATGATACCTGGAAACAATCAAAAGTTGATCAGAGGTGCATCAGTCGAATCTTCAATGAACCTTATTCAGTAATTTAATAATGTATGTTCCACGAATAATCAACAATTATGAAAGATGGGGGACTTTTCGTTGCGGAATCATGCAGCGGAATTTCGTTAAAAAAGCAAATTGACATAATTTGAAGGTAAGACATAAAACTTGATGATATTTTCTTTGCGGCGCTTAAGGTATCTCATACGTAACAAACATCCGGCATCCCAATGATTCTCATACGAAGTGTGGCCTACCTTTCACCGGTCTGTGGATCTGTACTACGCAATGTTAAACGCTCCAGAATAGTATCTTTAGGAACATCAAGAAGAAGAACCCTAAGAGGAAACGTCCGTGGTGTATAAGAATTCCTGTTATTGAAGTTATTTAATTAACTGTATAATATAGAATAACGATAGAATAGTAAGGGGTGGACATCTAGATATCACAATGAAGAAACCAAACCAGGGGATGGTTTGAAGCAAACACAGTCAGGTTTAAAACTAAAGTTTAAGTGTACTTTAGGTTTCCCTCAATCCCCTGTAATAAATCGTTTGATTTCAATCTTTCTGCCTGGGGCCGGTTGTATCAAGCCCGTTTAGCTTAAACGGTGGATAAGTCAAAATTAAATAACACTCTTACATCTCTCTTGAATGAGTCACCTTGAATATTATGCACTGAATATGTAGTTGTAAACAGTATCTTTGCATTATGGTTAAAGACATTTAGTTTGCTTGTTGAATAAAACGATAGACTTGATTTCTATTTTGAACTTATCCACCGTTTAAGCTAAACGGGCTTGATACAACCGGCCCCTGTACTACAATCAAGCACCAAATATAATTACCATCAATCTATGTAGTTGGAAATAATATATAGTACCTGTTAGGTTCAAAACCCAGACTGGACAATGCCTCAGCCTGCCTTCGTGTCGTTGGAAAGGCGTGTAAGACCCAGCCCCTTGTAACACAATCAAGTTGACTTAATCTGTTTCGCAACAGTTGTAAGATCAGATCATCTGGTACTATACATAAAATATCAAAGTGAATAATGCTGTTTTAGTGGAAGGCCAGGAAGGGTACAGAATGTTACTGTTGTTGTTTTCCGACTAGAAAGATAAAGAGATAAACGATATCTTACTTTCCATTCCTTTATCCTTGTAAGATCTTATAGCTTCTCCAAGCTTGGAATCTTCAGCCAGAGACTGTTTGATAAGCACATCGCAATTTACTAGAAATAATCAAAAAATAATAACATGTATAAGTATTGCTGAATACGTATACTGAAAAAAAAATTCAGTTTATTGTGGATTGATACAAGCGATGTTTCATCACATGACTGACTTAAACTCACCACTGACAAGATTGTATTTCCGAGCAATAAGCGAGGCCTGGACACTTTTTCCACTTCCAGTGGCACCCAACAGCAGAACCCTGGGAGTGTGTGGTGCTACTGTGTACTGATTACTGCACAAGTACGAATGAACTAAAAATAGAAACCAAGCATCTTGAGACTTGGTTTATGATATCCTGAACTTGAGTTAATTTTCCCACTTTTTTCTTCACTAAAATTGTCGTAAGAATGTGTGATATACTCATACTAACACTCCTGACGAAGGCCCTCAGGTCGAAACGTCGAGAAGTGTTTTGTCTATTCAGGCAATTGTTATACCACATTTGATGCATACTTGTATAGCCTGCACTATTTTAATTTTTCTGTATTGAACTACCTCTTAAGCAGGTACTTTACTAAGGGAGGTACAGTATATAGGCAGGTGTGGGCTCATATATTGTGGGCTAAAGCCAAAGTGCCCAAGAAAGATATACCTGCAGTTCAACGCATGCAGTAATTAAACTTACCTTGCGAGAACACGTCTGTTTTTGGTTGATCTGCGTTTATTTTCTTGATGATTTTCTTGTAGCAAGATAAAACACCATCGATGTTCCTATAAAGAAGAATGGGTTAACACAAAAAGACAAGAACTTATAGTTTTGAATTCACTCTTCTTTCTCCCTTTTGAGATTGCTACCTGTTGTGCACTCAACATAAGACACAATAGCATATACCCATTGAGCATACCGTGTGACTCACCTGTGATATTGATTCAATCTTTGAATCATTATAGATTCAGCAGAGTTTGTATCTGGTACTAATCTCATTGCAACTTCGACCTCAGTGGCTGGATCAAATGTTGCATGATAAATATCTGAAATTACAAGAGATGATAACAGATCAATGACAACAGACATCTATTAAATCTTCTACATCTAATATGATCTAATAGACAGAGACTGCCTCGCGGACCGGGGCTGTACAGTTGGTCGACTAGGTCTCGTGGTTGTTCAGAAGCTAGGTATACTAGCGCTATCCACCTGATAATGATTACGTTGTTAATCGCTTTAAAATTACACGTTATTTGGTTTAACTGAGATTTAATTTTGCAGTATTCCTAATTAGAATTTCTCTTCTCTATAAAATATCGACTCCATTTTTGCAGTTTTATTACTTTTCGAACATTTTTGCAACATTTGAAAACCGTTCGACAACATTTATCCAGCTTACCTTTGTAAATCTAGTAATTTTCCGTAAACAGGAGAAACGTGTTTTTATCAACAAAATATTTAATATGAAGCGCTATTTTTTTTGAAAACCGATTCGTGTCCACGAAGACGATAAGACGAACGTTTCCTCTCTTCAGCAAATGGAGCAATTTAAATTAACTTAATTTTGGCAGTTTTTGCACTGTGAGACTAAGTACCTCCAGTTTGCGGGTCAATTCGTTTCCCAACCGCTCTTTCTATCAGCACTGTGTCTTGAGCATCCAGCAAAACTGAAAAATTTAAGAAAAAATGTTCTACTGAAATCCTTGGATTTTAATTAAAATAACAATTACAGCAAACCTACCAAAATGTTTTGGAATTATCCCAGCAACTTGCAATGCCAAAGCCTAAGAATAACGTATACATGATATTAAGCCCCTTGTGCTCGTTGGACATGAGACATATGGACAGAGGCACAAGCCACAAAGCATAAGGCAAAACTAACAAAAGTGTTCTTTTGGCCCACTCAAGAAATACTATTTAAACTAAAGCATCCAATCTTGTTTTATGACATAAAAATGCAACTGTCTGACAGCTGAGGGTTCAAGTTGCACGAGCCAACTCCTTTTCCGAGGCTCAATTCTTTTTGAATATCTCCCAAATAATCTCCCCCTAAAAAAAACAGTTAATTAATTCCTACCTGTGACCTGCTAGATGGAAATCCTTCGAGAACCCAACCCTATAATTAAAATAAATATTATTTAAAACATAACACAGTTGGATAGTGGTGATGGTCATGCCATCGCTATATTCATATTGTTCATCATTTATGTCGACATAAATGATCTGCACCAGTGAATAACAATAAGTAGCGTCATCACTAAACGCCAAGGCAATATTACTTACTTTTGCAATACAGTCAGTTTTCTTAAGTCTTTCATGAATCATTGATATCCACAAATCTGTTGGTACTTCCTAAAGGAGAGATTATAGTAATATATTTTATATAAATTTGGAATTCAGGAAAGTTAGTATATATTAATCAATTGTAAATGAAGAACTTGTACCTTTTTAGATTCGAAATACATCTGTGCCTAACAAGAGTGATTTTAAAGCCATTAGCAAAATCTATGTCAACTTCTGATTGCAGTGATAACTCATTTAATACATTGCAGTGGCAGCTAGTTTAAAGTAAGTAGTTTAAAATAATTATATATTGTTCAATTAAACTATTAGTCAACATGCAATTGATGCAAATGTCAGCTAGGACTGCCCAATTTTGTATTTCAATCTAATTTAACCATATCTGCCTGCATGGAACCAGAACAATAAGAACTATATTCATTCTTGTATTTCTGTGTATAGCTATTGTTCACAAAAATTTCAACCTGTTTCACATCAGGTGAGTCTAGATCCATGAATAAATTTGCCAGATTTATATGAACACATCCAAGTGTCTTTGCTATTGTCTTGGACTGAAATTACCAAAGAAAATGACTGGTTAGCATGTAGTGTTTTATGTCACATCTTTTAGGGAAGGACTTTTATTTTCAATAATCACCATTGTTCTTTTTCCAGATGCAGGAGGTCCTTGAACAACTATCTCTGGAACTGAATTGAATATGGAATATTAAACACCACATTAAGTTAAATGACGATAGCAGTTCACAAGAAGATAGGAGCAACCAGGAACATCCCAAAAAATTGAAACTCAGGTCCAATGATAGAAGTTGAATCACACTTTTTCACAAACCAGAATTTCAAAGGCATGCATGAAGTATGTTCATAAATTTTCGCTTTGAGGTACCTGAGTTTCATACTTGACACATTCCCAGTTTTAACTTACTACATCACACTACAGGTATTAACCTTTTTCATCATGTTCTAGAATATTAACTAGAAATGCTAGAGGATCATCTGGTTGATGGATAACAAGTTGCTTCATAAGATGCTAAAAGTAAACAAAACAGATCTGTCAAACCAAATATATCGAATTCAACTTGTAATACTAGCATGTCTAGGCTGTCATTTCGTCAACGATCAATATAATTCTGAATTCTAGATTTTTACCCTTATACCTAACAGTAAAACATCTGAAACACGAGAATAACATATATTTGACTATTTGTTGACAAATAGCAAGTCATCTTTGCACTCACAAAATCAAAACATAAAAACCTATACCATACCTCGATTGTTTGAAATACTTCATTTTTCTCTGCGTAGTTTGAAAACTCCGGTGGAATAAGCAGGGGTTTCCTCGTTTCATCCATTGCCAACAAAAATGTAAACTTCCCACAAATTTTCAAAGTTAGCAACCAAACATTACATCGAGCCTGCATTCAGGATGGCACTGCGTCTGTTGTCATGGCAACAGTAATGGCGACGATTGGCGGGCTTTCTGCCTTTCCCGCTTTTTCAAATATATTTTGTAGAAGCCCACTTTTGCAATATACCTATACGCAAATTTTTACCAACTTGATCAGTTTGATGTACTATTTTATATTATTATTTATAAAAAAAAACAGTACATAGAAGATATATTTTATATTTCTTAGGCCATGACGATATTTCATGACGATTTGTTCCCAGCTTTTTGCGGTTTTCAATTTGCAGCAGCGTTCGGTGTTGCCATGCCAACATTGAGCCCAAATAAACAGAAAAGCAAGGTTTATGCGCCGGTGAAATACTGCTGTTGTTGAAAACCTCGATTATTTCACTGTAAACCTGACTCGAGGAAGGCAGAGCAAAGCATATATAAGGTGAGTTTTAAAAAATGTGTGTTCGTAAAGAATTACAAATAAGATTATGAAGAAACTGCGTTTAAATTCTTTGAATTTCGTAATTTGATACTTTGGGACATCGATCGAATTTTTGGCTACATTTCTTCAAGGTATAACTTTTAGTTAGTATTACTAGAAAAAGTGTGTAAGCTTTCGAAATTTACGCCTCTATATTTTAGATTTAATATTATCGCGTAAATATATTGAGATACGAATTGAAAAGAAACATGTTACAGTATTAAGCGTCTTTTCACTCTTTTGTCTTTGTGTTTACTGTTTAGATATCAAATTTGAACATTAAACAGAACATGACAACCCTTGGTATCCAACGGGAATCTCTTCTAAACAATCCACTTCTTCAAAAGGTATTTACATATTTGTTAGTTGTGATGTGAAAATTTCATTGGCTTGTAGAAAGTATATGCTATTAATTGCTCAAGGTTCTAAAATAAATTTTCTTTATTCAGAGTGAATTAGGAAGACCTTTAAAACGTTGTTTTACACTACCACCTGATGGTTTTACATATGGGAGACCTAATCTCTACACTGGGAATGGAGCTGCTGAAGGTATTTATCAAGTATTATTAATTCACTGAACTGCAATCCATGGTGATATCTTACATTTATTTTATGTAAATAGATGGTATGCATGTCAAGAAAATTAATGCACATAAATGGGCATTCTTATAGAGTGAATTTCAAAGTATTCATTAAAGAATTACTCAATATAGTAAATGGTTTTATTATTCCTTCTAGCTCTTTGTTCATGGAATGTGGTGAAACCTAAGGTAGTTGCCACTCAACCAGAGGAACGTGATTTTGTCAGATTGAACAAGATGGCTGTGCAAGCTGGGTTAACATCAGCACCAGAACAGTATCAGTTCAGAGCAACTCATGATGTGAAAGTATCATCTGCATCAAAAGATAGATCATTGAATAAATTGAAGAAGATACCACCTTCTATGGTCTTTGGTGTACCCACAAGGTAGGCAGTAAAGTGATTATACATTTTGTAATAAGAATTTATCACATTCAGTGGTCATTGACCACACCCAAATTACTATCACCTGACCTCTATCTACATATGTAACAAGGCCCCTGTACTAGTGCTGAGTCTCCAAGCTACAAGAACTTTCTAACAAAGTCTTCATTTTTTCTTGCAGACCTTCCACACCAGTCTTTGACCTCCTAGCACACAAATATCAGGACAAATGGCTAGAGGAAAGAGAAAAAGCTGAAGAAGCTTTGAGAGCTAAACAAGACCAAAAGGTAAAATACCCTGTAGATTTTTCCATTATGATAACTGCCATACCAGCTATTTTACAGTATTCTTAATTTCTTCTCAATTATTTCAGAAGCGTGTTGGACGGGACATATATGAAACCAGAGCATCTCTCTTAAGAAAACATCAACCACAAGTTGATAGTGCACCATTATGGCACATGAAGAAATTTGAAAAGGTAATCTCATACAATTTTAAATATGTTCAAAATTAACTGCCAGTCAAGTTGTATATTTTGATGTTGATCAGTACTAAAAAATGTGTTGTCTTGATCATTTTAATTCCTATTATAACATATGTCTTTGTGACTTATTTAGATTTCACCAAAACTTGAAACTTTCCGAACTTCAGAAGCAAAAGCGCAAGCATTTAAACATCACAAATCTGACAGCACATCAAGGAAAGGAGTCTTTGGTCATGGTGTTTATGAAACAGCTAAAACATAATATGACAGACCTACATAGACAATTTATATAAAACAGAACAGAAAACTTCATGTTTATATGTAGAAATACAAAATATGGAAAAAATTGAAGGGCAAAGCAGTTAGAACAAACAGTATATTATATAGGGTGTGTGTGTAAATATTTTTATAAGCTGTATGTTGTAGTACAGAAATAAACGGAACTTTTGACTTTTATTAAACTATGCTCCAATTCCTCTAAATACAATAGTATTTTTAGTAAATAGTTTCTCAGCAATTTTGCAACATCCACGGTGCAGAAGGACCATTGGTTATAATTGTTTTATAGAATCACTACAGTGAGACATTGTTTAAAACCTTTGTTAAAAACGTGAGGGCATCAGACATGGAATTCTCTACATAAGAAAGTGTCCCATTGACACGGCTGTCGACTCAAGCAGATTGCGAGTTTCACAGCTGTAGTTATTACGTCAATCACCCTTTCCAAAGCTCGGGTTCTATTGTTTTTTCTTCATAGCACTCACTCGGTTCTACTCGCGCATTTTCACTACGTGAGATCACTGACAGGCTCGTCAGGCCTTAATGTCAATGGCAAAATTTTGAATGTTGGTCTATTACAAAGCCTTTTTCAATTGCATTTTTCTTTGCCAAGTGGCTCAAATAAGGTTGTCCTAGAATTAAACTCTAAGCCGCCTAAGCGCTCAAGGAAGAGTTCTCGTCTATTAGTCCAATGCAATAGTTAGGAGTATCATCCTTTAGAAATTTCGCCGTCTCGAATTTTGAAATAATGCCTTAGTAAACAGGTCCTTGGTTATCGTTGTAAATCGAAATTTCCACATTACCAGTCAGTTTCGCAGAGTTTTGCCTTTGGACAACCTGATGAGTGAGGTCGGTTTCTTTCCTGTAACCGCTTATCGCTTACGGGCGAAAACTTGCCGTGGAAAATGGTCTTGATGCTTATAATTAATAAACGGGTCCAAAGCAAACTCAACTACAGTCTATACATTTTCACCTATCTTATCAATTATCCAACTTTTCCTTTTTTGATGCTGGTTCTTCTATGCTGCCTGAGGATTCTCTCTTTTTTGGTGATGTTTTAAACCAATTTGTTATTTTACTTTTTTGCGCCTTTTTCTCTTCGAGTGTTCTAAAATGATTCCGACAGATATTCTGTCTGTGTGTGTGCGAACTCGTAATTGATGATTTTATTAACTTACAAGTCAATTTCTTTAATACAGTCTGCCTCTTTATATCTTGAGTTGCTGACAGCTTTCGAAACAGGATGCCAGGCCAGACAATCATCGGTGGAAAGAAGTTTCAGGGCCTAAAAGGGGCAACTGTTAGCTCAAGTGTACGGGCTTGGATTTTTTATCCGAGGGAATTGCAGGACACTCTGCCGAGAAGAAGAAAGTGCAGATATATTTTAATAAGGCTTGTTTTCACTTTAACCCTTAATTTAGCAAAACATTCTTCTCTGATTCAAAGTAATTTAATCCGAGTTTCCAGAAAATAGTGATCTACGCTACGTTTCACTACGATATGGAAAAACAGGTAGTTGAGTACACAAATTGGCTGACATGTATATTAGTCATTACGGCTCAATTAATATGCACTACCTGAATTTAGGATCCCAAGATACGATTCTAATACCTATTCAATAACCTACAACAACAGGGATATGATATGTACTTGGTATGGGCCTTATGGGGAGGGAGAGGCTGCAACCCCCAAGATTGAGCATTTGCTCTTAAAATTTGTGCTTAAAATAACCCCCCCCCCCAATTTTCAGGTCTATCTGCATATGCCATTGAAAAGTGAATTTTATGTGGGTTTAGCCAATAGCCAGGTAAAGGTTTATTCATAGAAAAGATAAAGCATATTTCATAGCCAGAACACACACTAAGGTGGGCATACCTCTAAACCACCCACATGGATATTATCAACAGAATTCACTAAAGGAGTAATAGCTGGCAATAATTTAAAAAAAAAACTATTTGGACATAGTGCAAACCTGTTCATACTTTATTTCACTACAATCCAGCCACTGCCTAACAGCATCTTCATCCTTCAAAATTGCCTGAAAAGATTAGAATATCCCTCAATCAAAGTTTGAAACTTTATGAATATTAACCACTAAAACAAAGCATCTGAAAAACTATTTAAATGCATATATAGTAACTTGTGCACTTACTGGCACTCTATGATGGATACTTCTAAACGGAGGCTTCGCTTCAAGAGTTATCACAGAATAACTATACAATGGCTCTTCTCCCTAGAGCATAGATACAAAAAATGTACTTCTTCAAAAATGTATCTGATTTTGACACTAAAACAATATGCATTCATTCTTTAATGATTTATCACCCCTGTATGTAAAACATTGTTAAGTAGACAGGTCTTAAATATACAGAATTTTATATACAAAATGATTGATGTACCAAGGATGATTGCCAAACATCAAATATTCCCGCCATAGTCAACAATGGTCTTGCTGGTTTTATCCCATCATTATTAGCTTCATCACTCCCTTTACTTTTCATATTATCTTTGAAGTAAATGAAATATGGCTGCTTTGGACCACCACTTTTTACCTCCTGCCATTCATAGAAACTAGGCAACAAAAATTGATTCTGAGGTGAGGCAACCTAATGTTGAATCAAACTTAACTACAAATAAAAAGTAGGAGAACCTAATCCTAGAATTCTTCTAATAAATGTCCTCAGGTTGAAATGTCAGACTTTTTGTAGTTTGTACATTTGATGGGAAGGTTCCTCAAAGTTCCTGCCAAAAACATATCTTGGGATATCTTTACTAACCCTTCAGCAAGCACCACACATCTTCTTCCCTTTTCTAAAGCCCCTTTAAAAGATTTTTTCTCAGTGATGGACTCAATTCTAGCGTTGTTCATTTTGTATCCAAATGAGGCGGGATCACCTCTATGCCACGAGGGAACAAGACCCCATTTCATAGCTTGAAGCTCTCTCTCCTCATCAGGGAATTCTTGCTTCATGCTTCGAGATCCAGTTTTACAGGATACTAGAACAGGTCTAAATCAACCACATTTTGATAAATAACAAATAATAATTAATGGGGTGTGGAGATTGGGAGTTCAGGGGAAGCCCAATCCCTCCCAAATCTTTTTGTCAACTAAAATTGTTCCTCTAGTGACTCTTGTAAGAAACTGTAATAGTTTTTGGTTAACCACACCCAAACCATGCACAGTCAATTTCCTATTAAATTTCATGCTCAGCTCCTCAAAACACACGATGATGGCAAAGCTGACTTGCATGATGATGGTAAGCTTGAAACTGATTGGCAAACTGCAAATCTCCGCTGGCAACTGGCGAATGCCTGCAAAGGATGCAAAGGAGATAGCATTTCTGCTGGTATTAACCATCACAGATTTGCTTACTGCAGACTTACGTGTAGGATTGTGGACTTATATTATACGAGGGATAATATTTCTGGGAATCGTTGCTTTTCCACTTTGGTTGCCTTTTATTCCCATTCTTATCCTTGTACTGACATGCCTTGGTTAGACCATCTGGGTCTAGGGTACTTTGAAAAAGAACAAATCAGTTGAAATGTTCAATGCACTGAGAGAAACTGCACTGTTACAAAACGTTACTTTTTGTAAACAATGAAACGGCAGCCCCTAGATCTTATTAAAAAACACTCACCAAGCTGTACGACCACACATTTTTACACGCTTTTCCAAAACATAGTTAAAAGACGGGATCAAAATGTGCTTTTGTTGTACTCGACCGAGGCCCTCCCCGTTCCCGCAGCGCGCTCTTTTCATGCTAATTTCGTACCATCAGTGTGTACCATTCGTTTACCAGTTACCACTCAAATTTACCCGCACATGACGTTTTGGCGTTTGCTGAGACCAGATGTTATATTTGCTATAAGGCACATTTCTGAGTCCGCTATAATAACTCTCCTGGGGTTTTTTTACGTAAAATTGAAAAAGGTTTTGATACATTACCAGTAGCGTACCCAGCATGACGATTTGTCCCGCTATGCTAATATTTTGGTGTTCAATGACTGTGAAAACAATAAGCCATAGCGGGGCAAAATTGTCAGGCTGGCTACACCATTGTACGTTACGTCGTGCAAGAATTTGCCGAAACGGAAATGCTACGTAATGATTAATGAATGATTCCACAACCAGTTAAAATTATTTTACGACAGTGTTCTGGGAATCGAACCCAGAAGCCACACGCGCGTTTTTATCACTACCAACGAACACGTTTTGGTTTGGCCCCAGACACGGACACTGTTTTTTAAAGCCAAACGAAAAGGAGGGAAACCGGAGTGCCCGGAGAAAAACCCTCCAAGGTAACCTGAATTTCAGGTTACCTGACCGTCGTTTCGAATTTGGTATTTTTTATTAGAAATCGTCCGCAATGACATTTCCGTCCGTTTTTATCTATAATTCACCATTTCAGTTCCGCTCATCCACACCGAGTCCCAGGAATTGCCGTGCAATTCTTGAGCTTCGTCAATGTGGTCAATTCGATCCTGCTGGTGGTCTAACGTGCGAGCGCGCGTATCGTCCGCTTATATAAGCGCCCTGGTTGCAAAACATTTGAACAGCGCTTTGTCTGACAATGGCAACAAAAATCATTTCAAATATTCAAATGTTCATTTTATTATAACCAAATGCTTCACAACTTGCATGTTGTTTTTTATCTCAAACAGAAATAGACAACCAACACTCTTCTACTATCCCGGCTTCTGAAGACATGCGCCTGATGTCGTTTTTATATCCTTTTTATTCTCTGGATTACGGTTGACCGATAATGGAGGAAATAAACGTAATCGGGCTCAACATGCAACTAACTCAATACACAATATGGATAATCAATGTCCCTTACCTTTGGCACCGTATAATTACCTTTGGTAAACAGTGTACCACTTTAATTTTACTTGCATCATGCTCCATTCCAAACATTTGGGTTCTTCTTCAACAACATCTCGACGGTGGGGAGTGGAAGAAATTGAAAAACATAGTGAGTGTGTCAAATGCAAAGAGTTTTCTTTAAAGGGTTAGCTTTTTGCTTAGAGGGGGTACTATACAACATTAACCTACAAACCTACAGTTCCTGACTATACCCCCAGATAACCCCATTATACAAGTCCAGTTATCATGAAATGTATTATCATGTAATATAGAAGGTATATATATTTTTCGTCTCTGCCAACTTCATCACTGAGTTGGCCAAAATGATTAGATTACGTTTATTTCCTTCGTGTTTAAGATTAACCGGATTTTCAGAGCTTAAACAGCAATCCGAAAAATTAATACAAACAACGGAAACAGAGGAGTGATAGTGTCTAAACATCAGATAGTATTTTTTTGTCATTTTAAACTTCAATAATTCGAATTTAAATGTCTGCAGACCAAAGTATAATTTTTCATGCATGCCACTGACAGACGGTCCTTCGGTCGCAAGCTGAACAGAGAACTTATATAATTATATAAGTACACTGGATTACCTTCGTATTGATCTAAAATTAGGCCAATACGAATTCTAGAATATTTTTTTTCGTTGCGTGCGCGTCCACCATGCTATATGCATTTTGCTACTTTCATTTTAACGTTTTAAAGCCATCTTCCGCTGTGCCGCAGCTGTTAAGCCAAGGTGGTCTTATACAAAAATATAAAGATCCAGTAACTTTTCGACAATTTGCGAAAAGCGTTCCTGAAATACTTTTCAATCGAGCTTTATAGTTTTACTTTAAAAAATTCACCAAATTGCTATAGTTTATTACCGTTTTACCCCAAGGAATGTTTTATTGTAATGTTATGAATATATGGAAAAATTCTATATCGTTTTTCAGCAAACGAAAAATCATAAAAGACTCGAGTACGATAATCGTCGCTAGTACTATAGCATCAGGAGATTTTTCAAAATAAACGAAAAAAGCTTTTTGTATAACTCAGTATAAGACCACCGCAAGTCGTTAGAATTCACACGCAAGTGACAACTAGGAATATGTTTCATCGAGAAACTTCGAAAACGCACTCATAAGAGCTGTGAGAAATTTCCTGTTATCATGCATTGTCGAAAAGGGTGAAATGTCACTTGATGTGTGAATATACTAGGTTAGACCACCATAACGAATCGATCCAAGAGTAAACCATGCACTACATTACCCCATGCATTACTCTAATCAGTATACCTATAGTATGTACCTCAACTAGCTTCCGCTTGAACACCCGTTTCGTCGTGCATCATTTGATCCTTCGACGATCCTTCAACATCTGATCCTGCGACGATCTTTCAAACATCTGATCCTGCGGCGATCTTTCAACATCTGATCCTGCGACGATCTTTCAACATCTGATCCTGCGGCGATCTTTCAACATCTGATCCTGCGACGATCTTTCAACATCTGATCTTGCGACGATCTTTCAACATCTGCATGATCCTGCGGCGATCTTTCAACATCTGATCCTTTAACGTAGATACAAAAATTGATAACACTAATTTCCAAGAAATGTACAAAGCACTCAAGATAAAATGATCACTCAAAATCCGGTTGTAGACCTTCAACATCTCCTACGCCACTCCTCCAAGGCCTTCGCATTGCGCACGCGAATACAAAATGTCATGCACGTTTTGTAGGAAATATTCATCGTTTTTTAATGGTCCCGAGAAAACGAGAGCACTCGACTTTTATCTCCTTCTAGAAATACAATTTCTCATGCATTTTTATGTTTTAGGCTCTCTGTGAGCGATATTTTTTGGCCGGACTGTTGTCGTTCAAGACTGGAAAAAATACAAGCGATGGGGCCCCAGAATCACTTGTATCTCCTCCGCATGCGCTTGACACGACCAGGTTACATAACTACATGCATGCAAAAGCCGTAAGCCGAAAATTTCAAAAATCAAGGAGGTAAACAGAAGAGTGCTCAGCATATCTCAACCAAAAGCCAAATCCATGCAATTTTACTCATGCATATTTTCACTGAAATCAAATTGAGTTTTATATTCGCGTGCATAAATGTCCCAAGGCAGCTCCGACATCTCCTATTAAACTCTGACGATTCTTTCATTCTAAAAAAAGAAAATCTTGGTAAAATAAAACAATTCACAGTCATATGAAGCCCAGAAAAAGTGACTTGCTTTCCGAGTTTTTTTTTTTGTGGTAAAACTAATTGACCAGGGAAAGCAAAGGAATCCACTACGGCACGATAAGATACTTTGGAAGTAGAAAACTACAATAGACAGGCTGAAATAGCTGATCATGTCAAGTCTAGCATAAAGTACGCACATATACCAATAATACCGAATTGCCGGTCTTCCCTGTGCAAAGCATGCATGACGGACGAGTATTTACGACACAACCGTTTCCGAAAATTGCGCCTGCCAGGAGGGTTTCAACGATTTGTTGGGAAAATTCAGGATGAAGTCCAAAAAAGATTCGATTAAACTATATTCTAGTTTCGCCCACCGTGTACAAACGTGTTATTTCAAGTCACAAATGCAAATATTAAGAGAACAATACCTATTATTCGCTGCGAGCAAGCGTTTGTGTTTCGCCTTCTCTACCTTTCGGCGCAATATAGTTCGTTCTAAAATGAAATAAGGAAGGAAAATCCAAATAAAGTTAACAGATCACTTGCATTTCACATTTTCAATTGAAATATACAAGATATAGCAGTAAAAGTCGGCAGGAATAAGCCACCACTCGCTAATGTCTTCTGGTTATATTTAAATCTACATGGCAATGAATTAATTTGCAAAACCAAAGATCAAGCCCACAGATTCCTTAAAAACCAACCATGGCCATGCATGTACCTGAGCAAGATTCTTCCAACTTTTCCTGAACTTCTTCGAGAGAGCCTCTGTTCTTCGAGAGTATCAAATTTTCAGTTATTTCTCAAATTCAACCACCTTTTATTACCTTAAAAACATTCCAACGGACAATGCACTTTATGCATCATGACACTTAACAGTTAGGCCTAGGTTAAACGTCGCATTTTCGTCGCAGCGAATGCATTTCAAACAATAGATAATGAGCTGATAAACCTCATTAAGCTTCATTGCCATTTCATTATCTATTGTTGGAATAATCTATTGTTGGAATTATCTATTGTTGGAAAGTGGTGTCCACAAAATCCATATTTAAAAAATTTTGTTTACAAGGATTTTGCCACCATATTGTTGGGAGTAGCGTAATTCGAAGTAGCGCTCGCGCAGCACTTTTGAAACGCAGATGTTGTGCGCAAGGCTTGGAAATTGGAGATTTGCCGTTGTAAAGAGAACATGGACGACGTCTAAAACTCCCATAGATCTTTAATTATTAATTTATTTTCAATGACTCATTGTATTGATAAATGCCGTCGTCGTGTTCCAATCCTGCATTGTTAGGGTCTGTTTACATGGAGCGAGTTATCCCGGCTGGGCGAGGTAAAAAGCGCACCACATCAAATTAGTTGTCATCTCCATTATATGCAGTTTTCACCTCGCCTAGCCGGGATAACTCGGTCCATGTAAGTCCCTTAAAGGCCCTTAAAGTCCCTATAATAAAATGCCGGTCCGTGAAGTGATCAGTGGTCTTTGATTTTTGTTAAAGTGTGAACGGGGAGTATTCATACACGAGAATGAATGCTGGCTTATTTATTTTTCGTTTGATATAAAGCCCTAAGCCCCCTTCAGATTTTTGACTTTGGCTTGTCAGGTTGGTCACGAGCGTGTTTAGATCTAAACGCGGCTTAGGGGCCTTTTACATGATCCCACTTAGCAGAGAAAAGACAAGTTCACTTTTACAAAAGATCAAAATATCTTTTTTTAATTTCCAAGTATCTCGATTACAAGCAAGTTAACAAACAGGTTTCAAATGAAACCATAAACTTGTCTACGAATACATTTTTGACTTGGAACTGCCAAATAGGCATTTGCTCTCATAATGAGTTAATCTTTGACGTAATTAGCGAAATTTTGTATACCCAGCCTCGTTTGCAGGCGCTTGCTTTGCGAAATATCGCTCAGGATTTCGAAACTTGCTTGGTTCAATCTCTGATCGTATCTAATGTGTGTCTATGTCAGGCTGGAAGATGTAGATGTATTAGCATTTGTACAGATCAACGACTGATTTGCATAAGGCAAAGCAAAGCAACGTATTGATCTAATTTGCTACATATCAAAGACATGGTTCCGACGGCTAACAGCCAGACGAAACCACGCAATTATTGAACGCCTAAGCGCGTTTAATTTAGAGGTATATGCCTCTCTCTCTCTCTAGATGTTCATTTCTAATAATTCGCTAGATTATTGATAGTCTCAGTAAACATTACTGGGCAGCAGGTGGGGGCCATGGACGACTTGCATTAAAGGCAATGAAACTTCACCGAGTAGAAACCCAATAATGAAAAAAATTTACATTCGTATAGTTTTTAGTGGCCATCATCTGTTGCACAATAATAATTAGTGAAAACCATCTGTACAAATCAATTTTTTACAGGTCAGACGATGATGTGCTATATGTCAACGTAGGAGCGGCAGATAATTTGTCCATTGTGTCTCATTGGTCTCGTACGAGGTTCCATACGAGTCTTCTAGTATATGAAGGTGTCAACACCAATCTGCAATGTAGTCGAAGTCTACAAACATTGCCTAAAAAAATGAAACAACATCCAGGTTGAGGCTCTTGAGAAAAAATTACGGATTAAATAAAAGGATTTTTATGGAACATTTTCATGGAACATTTTCATGCAATTCATCGCTAGCTTGTTCCATTTGTAACGTCCTTCCTTTTCTTTCAGCTGCCCTTTAGCGGTTCTTTCCTAAATTTTTGGTGATATTCACAAAACCTTAGCTGTGTATGTTCGTACCTGGTCCTCAACATTTAGAGGTCTGGGTTCTTTAGGTGGAGTTAGAACTGGATCTTCAGACGTGAACTCTTCGTCAAAATTACTGACATCTTCTGCATGTTTCTGGAAAAAGGAAAAATTAAACACCATGTCAATAAAATGACATCATTACAGCAACATGCATAAATTGAATGCGAAAAATGTTTATATAAATAACTTTAGCATACTGCGTACTTACTAAAGTTGGTACAAATGGCGGTTTTACTTTGCGAGATAACAAATCTTTCCACCTCACATCCTAAGATTGAACAAAAGAATTACGACGCCCGATTAAAAATCACTTAATCTTAACTGTATTATTCCTGTTTTGTAGTAAATTAAATGATTTTGAGTAAACTGAAATTACTTCATAAATCTTAATGACATTACCGCTGACATAAATAAAAGTATGACTTCACTGAAATAAATATATAAAGTCACTTGCGCGTATGCAGCAGATATTCCAGTTTTTCCAGCATAATCAAGCCCCTTATACACCCAACTTCACTGAGACGGATATAATAATATGTAATATTAACTAAACTAGCACTAAACATACCCTAAAGAACGGATGTTTCTTCACGTCTTCGGCGTCATTCTCACCCGCACCCAGTCTCCTATCGGGATTTCGTCGTAACAACTGAAAGTATATGACAGACTTTAGAAAGTATTTTCACAGCGTCCCAAGTGTATACAGAATGATCATTTTACACCACTCAATAAAAGCCCCGTTTACACTACAGTCAATTTATCGGCACGGCACGGCTAAAATGGGTACCCGTGCCATATTTCACTAGTGTTCAGGCTACCGAAACAAAGGCCGGGCGCAGATGAAATGGGCACGGGTACCCATTTTAGCCGTGCCGTGCCAATAAATCGAGTGTAGTGTAAACGGGGCTAAAAATATGTCAGCGCAGACAAAATATGTCAGTCATGAAGTTGCTGGTGAAAAATCATCGTCCAGTTGTTAAAGAGCATAAGCGCAACTGCACTTGTAGTAACGTGTGCCGGATTTGATCCCAGGTTAGTTTTAAATAACTGAGAGGACACAGTACAATTGCCTCGCTACAATCTTCCTTGTGTGATCACTTACCCGCCTCATTATTGTTACAGCTTCTGTTGATAAAAACTTCGGATAACGAACTTCGTCATTCACAATGGAATCAAATACCTCTTCCTCGTCGTCTCCGGGGAATGGTGACTAGTAAAATGTAATGAAGAATCAATATTAAGCTCTTGCTTACCAGAGCCGTGTATATCATAAAAGTAATGGCAATTACGAGTCAAAAACTAACCTCCCCCACCAGCATTTCAAATATCAGGACTCCCAATCCCCACCAATCCACAGACCGGGTGTAGGATGTTTCAGTCAGAACCTAACAAGAGAACAAGGGTTAGAATGTCTGATTATAACAGGGCAGTTGTACAAGACCTCGTCAGTGGACCTCCTTTTGTGTCAAACAAAGAAATACATTACGGCATAAAACGACCCATGCCAAGTGTAAAGACCGTTGCTTGACGGCAGGATATTACTTCTAAATTGGTGAGTCATTGGGGGGATATTACTGTAAAAGTCTACCACACATTCTTATGAGGGCAACCGTGACTTCTATATCAATTTTTTAAACTATATTTTGTATACTAAAATGCCTCAACGTGATCGGCTAGCCATCCAAAACCATTATATATACTCAGTTGTCAGACCATAATACTAAGATGGTTTTACTAGGACTTCAAACCCTGTCAAAAAGATTTAAAGGTTTTCAGGAACTTTTTAAAGTTTTAATCTTGCCTAAACCACGCTAATGCACGTGGACTAGGACATACCTCCGGTGCTAAGAACTCAGGTGTACCACAGAAAGTGCCTGTCCTCTCTCCATAACCCATTCCTTCCTTACACAGCCCAAAGTCTGCTATCTTTACATAACCCTCTGCATCCAGCAATAAATTATCCAATTTCAGATCTCTGTAGGGTAGAACATACCACACATTAAAGATTTAATGCGAGCTAAATTTTGTCTGTTTTGGCCTATCGAACGGTGGTTTTTCTCAGTTAAAAATCGCAAAGCAAAAAACGCAAACAAACCTGTAGACAATTTCATGATCATGCAAATACTGCAATCCAAGAACAACACAAGATGTGTAAAACCTACAGAAGAATGTAAAAATTGTTATGATTACCTAAAGTAATGATTATCATTCAAATTATGATATCAAGTGATGATTGTAATTTTGGTAATGATGATTATCATTTAAGTGATAACAAATGATGATATCATCACCGTCATAACGATTATCTTGTAAGTGATGATATCTAATTACGATGCCATCAAAAAGAAACTTGATATCTTAAGGCACGTTTACACTTGCGATGCTGCGATCCATTTTCTTCTTTTCATAGATGTGAACGAGTAATTAGTTACGAATGCTCTGATGTATAAAAGTTTTTATTTGAACATCAGTAACTAATTCGAAGAAAATCGCACATTAAATCGCAGCAAAAATTGCAAGTGTAAACGGGCCTTTTGAGTCAAATTTGTTATCACAACTGCCTGAATAGACAAACAAACGTCTCGACCTGTCGACAAAAGGTTAAAACTAACTCTCCTGAGGAAAGCCCTTCTCCTAGCGAAGGTCGAAACGTCGGTCTATTTAGACAGTTGCTATACCACATTAGATGCTTAGTTGTTTGAAGACGCTGCTCCCTGGTTATATTACTGAATATCTTACACTGCTCGGGGCTCAGAGAATACTTCATTATGTATATGCATCATGAGATCACCGCCAGAAGCATACTCCATTACAAAACAAACATGGCCCTAAATATAATAAAAATCACATTAATTTCTAAGCACCACAGTTGCATGCATCGATGTATGCCAGGTTTAACTAAGCAATTAAAGAAAGACGATTTTTTTAGAAAATGAGAAGTATCAGTTTAACCTGGTTCAATCTATTTGGTTTACTTTACAACACTGGTAGGCAGGTCATAGCGGGAAATGTGACAAAGCCCATAGGCCTTGACTGTTCGGAGTTAATCCATTCATTATAATAAAGTTCGATAAACACCGTACCTTAGTTTGAAAACAAGCAAACAGGTTGACCAGGAAGGGATGTCTCGTTTTGTTTGCGGCCAGAAATATTCTTTTCTCAGATTGTAAACTACGAGACACGCAAATAACACGAGTTACTACATGTATGCTTGGTTTTAATTGTTTGAATTTAGAACGAAGACGAATGGAGATATTATAATCCACCTCTCAACTTCATCTCTTGAGATAATATCAGACTTTTTCAAAGCTTTTATGGCGAATAATTCCCGAGTGTTTTTATACTCTGCCAAGATGACCTGGATAAAAAAAAAGACGACAATCAAATACGACATAGTTCAGTGTCTTGTTGATCATAACTATACTTTCTTTTTGTAGTTACCCGGCAAAAAATAAAAAAAATAAAAATACTTGTGTGAGAAATTAACCCAATTCCATCTTAATTATAAGCAAATCAAAAATCATTGTAGCTTATATACCTTTCCAAAATGTCCCCGTCCAAGCACGCTGATAGTTCTGAAATTCTTCATGTTCATGGTGGATGATACTGGAGATGTTGTTCTCACAGGTCTAAGGAATGAAAATTTTGTCTAATAAGAATCGAAGCTGTTGAAAGTTCATATGAGAGTTTCCACTCTCACTTTATTGATGAGATGAGTTTGTTTTTTTCACTTGATGCGTGAGAGGAAAGTACAGTCAACTGAACAGGTCACTGTAGTTGAAAATAACACCTTTAATGTTCACATACACTCACAACCACGTCCAAAATCTCATGCATTATAAGCTGAATATAAGGAAACACAAATCAAGCCGTGCAGCTTATTGTATTATACTACCTGGTTCATACAAATCTCTTGACAACTTATTGCGGAGTAATAATTATATCACACGTTTGAAGCAGTTTTGAAAACATTAATTAGGAGATTATTGTTATGAGAATATTAGTTAAAAGATTAAGTTATTCTACCTGATTATCTTATTAGAAGCTGGCGATGAAAACGACCTTTTGTAAACTTCTTCATTATTTGTATTGGCGCTGTTAGAAAAGTCCGTTAGTGTGACGTTTGTGATATGATTATAGTATATATATTTAGAATTACTACAATTGTTTTCAAAGTCGGGACAGATGTAGTTCAGCTTATAGGTTAGTTAGCTATACAGTTATCTTGTGGCTGGAATTGTGATTACCTTCGTTCTTCAGGGACAGAAGGAAATACTCGAGGATTGACATTAGTGATTATTTCTGAAGAGACAGGCTTATCGTTGCCAATATTACTGCAAATTATGGACAGTTACAGTATGTTAGTTGCGTGGTTAGTAAAACAACAGTCATTTCATATTGCCGCGCTTATTTCAGTGACTTCAATTGCGCACTAAAAATACAAACGATTTCTAATGCTCTATGGTATTTCCCTATATATTTTACCTCGCTTGACCAAAACCATATTTCTAGAAAAATCCCTCAGTTCAATATATTGCCCTGCCCTCAGAAGCGCAAATGCATGGGGAGCGGCTTGCCCCACCCTAAATCAGCGAATTTATTGTCTGTCCATAAAAACGCGAGTCCTTTATTAAAATCAGCCGGACATCTGAACGTTCGCTACTTGACAAATTAGCATTTCCGCCCATTTCTATGTTTAAAGATCTTTGAAAGATTTGCGGAAACAACAGCTAGACTAGTTGCATCACAAATCGAAATGACGCATATTATGCAAATAATTTGATCCGGCTGAGATACAAAAGCCTGGCTTGCGAGGTTAGCTAAGGTACAGCCTACAGGGGGAAACGAGTTCTTCCCAAAGATAATTAACCTACCTTTCAGGCCTTCGTGGTACTAATGATGGCGATTCTGGGGTACCCCGATACTGGTTATCCAGGAAACCAAACGCTGAGAGAGCGTCCTGTGTAATTCAAAATTGAGTTTTTGAAACTGATGGAAGATAAAAATCATTTTCGGCATTAAGAATCGATCTGAACCAAATATTTTCCTGTTAAAATGCAAAAACCTTAGGAAAACATTGCAGTTGCGCTAATTTTAAACACTAACGTATGTTTGCTGCAAAATTATAAAAAGAAAAGAAATCAAAACAAAATAAAGAAAAATTAACAAACTACGTGCAGTAGCTCAAACATGTTAAAGAAAGCCAATAGTGGAAAGGTTCTTGCATTTTGACTGAAAAATACTCGCTAAAGTTAATCGAAAAGTGACTTCAGATGGCAAATGGCGTCTTATATTCGACCTTCAAAAAGGATGTCTAAGGAACATAATTTATTCATGCACATCCTATTAGCTTGATAAACGCAATTAATAGCCATTAAAAGTAATTTATACGTCTATAGGCATTAGTAAGGCTATATAATAGAGACTAAGGCTAATATAAAACATGATTGTTTCGCGTTTTGAGATATAGCACAGAGACAGGAGTTAAGAGGGGAGATTGTTTTCTGTGCCACGTACCTGTTCAGCTGTTTTCATCTTGGGAGCTTGGATAGGATGTTTTTTATGAGGCATAGTTTTTGATCTTTCCTTGAACTCATCCGTGGGTGAAGGCGACTTACGGCGTTCGTTCAATATATCGTCTGTAGATTTTGGATAAGGCGGTGATGTCATCCCTGTTGGATGTGCACTGAAATGAGAGAATAGGTTATAGGTTGGGTTATATAGGCCGATGTTGAGGACAAAAATATTCGATAATCTTTATCCTAAACCCGATCCCTTAGTAAAAGGATTTACGGAGAATTAAAACCTATTATATAGGATGATGTTAAAATAATGTTTTAAACTGATCACGGTTAATAGAAGATGGAGACAAAACAAAAATGAAATCAAACACAATATCTTAGTCCATCAAACACCCAGGGATTCTTTTGAAATTCAAGGTTTTATATACAACTTACTTGGATATGACAGAATATGTTCCTGTTGTGCCTGGACTAAGGGTCGTTGTGTTGGTCTGGCAGTTCTGTGGCGTTGCTCTCTTTAATAATCTCGCCCAAGTCGCGACATTTGTGTTCATCTGTCCTGCCCGCAGGAAGTTTTTACCTGGGAGAAAAATAGACAATATTGTTTATAAATATTTAGAAAATAAAGATATAGCATACGGATAAGGCAATTATGCCGTAGGGAATGAAGTGAATGATAGCGGATGGTAAACATAGGAAGGAAGTCGAGAAAGCAAAGATTAAAAAATGGAGAATTATCGATAGACAATAATAGGTGATAGAGAATAGTCCCAGAGGCGAGAAGGAAAGGGAGGGGGGAAAAGGGGGGGGGGGGAGAAGTTAAACATTGCAGAAAAGACGGGTATAAGGAGAGGTTGTATATATGGTATTATGAAACTGACGAGTAATTTGAAACATGCTATATACTCCGCAAGTATTTTGTAAACAAAATGCAAGATAACATCTGTTCTACATCTGTGAATGCAATTATTGCAATAATGATGTAACGAGCACACATAACATTAACTTACCTCTATTGATTTTAAAGATCTTTCTCTGTCGCTGTAATTTTGGCTTTCTACTGACCATCGGGTTGACGAATGTGACCTAATGAAATGAAGAAAATAATTTGACAAGATACTTCATGATGTCCTCTCATTCTCTCCAAGACGAGCAGCTCCGACGGCTTCAACTAATTATAATATATTTCCAACAGAATGTCCTACTCATCTCTCCTGACGAATGACGTCTCTCAAAAGAGCGCAACTCTCTTCTATAATTCAAACGTCTATCATCAACAACAATCTGTCAAATTCACACCGCCACTGTTGCCTAAGGTTTGCACTATTTAACTTTATATATAGTAGTCTTGGAACGTAGAAAAACAACATAAAGATGAAATTGATCTCAGCATAGTTAGAGGACAACAACGTTGCACACAATCTCAAAGAAATATAGTCACTCTATTGATATGCCACATATACTTTAGAAACTCTTTGTACATTCATATCCAACCTGTTCCAAGCAATGGAAAGGAAACAAGAACATGATGACGCTGGCATCCTTACACAGTCCTGGCATGTATAGAATTAAAAATATTTCTAATATCTATAGTATATAAGTTCTTCATGAATATATCATCAATATAAATATATATATGGAAGAAAATGAACAACGCGTCTTGTTTTCGCATTAATATTTCATAAGACCACATGTACCTGTCATATATGCACTTAATCCATTTTTTTATTTTCAGACACAAGCAATACTCTATGAGATTGCGTGACAATGTTATTCTCGGTATAAGTTTATTTGAACAACATTTAAAGACAATGCAACATCATTAATAATGCTTCATGCAGCGGCTATACTACAAGGCCGTAGGCTGTTGCGGTTTGGAAAATTTCGAAAATAGGCAAATCGAAAAGAGAAAATAGGCAAATTAGCGAAATTACGAAAATGTACCTCAGTCAATATACCGCACTTACAAACAGCAGAAAAAAACGAAGTTGTGGAAAACTAAACGAATTTCAAAAGGTTTATAGGCGCTGAAATCCGGGGTAAACAACTACGTTAAATAGAATAATTTAAAAAGAGTAATAACAACTTTAGACTTGGCAGAATTAAGAGGCGCTCTTTTCTCTTTTACTTCGACGATGCTCGGTCGTTATTTGACGATTTCGCCGTTTGGTCGCTTTTTTAAGAGATTTTTTTCTTGCTGCCGTTCAATCTCGCGTGCACAAAAAGTGCTTAGCTTTCAGATGGGTCTTATTGTTGTCATCTTATGTAATAAACCCTTGCCCAAGCGTGTTTTCCAGCTATCGGGAATATAGTTTGATTTTCGATATTTTTTTTCGGTATTTCGATATTTTCTTGGTATTTTTTGATGCTTTCGGTATTCGAAAAATCAAATATTTATAAACTGAATTCCGACACCTATCGACTATATATAGATATAAGGCAACAGCTCACTACAGGGACACATACGCTGGGCGCATGTGATGCCTCGTGAACTTGTAATTGCCTTCACAGGACTTGTAAACTCACATCAATAAATGGTTATATCCGAGTTGCAGTGGAGTACTGACGACAGCGAGGTTGACAATAGTGACAATAAACCTTTCTTATAATGACGTCAAACGCGGAAAGTCTGATGTTACACGAAATTTAATTGGCTCCACAAAACTATCGAGCCAATCAAACTTCGTGTAACATTAGACTTTCCGTGTTTGACGTCATTATGAAAAAGGTTTATTGCCCTAGAAACAGCCCCATATTGCACTGTCGGTCTCGCCCTTACCAACCCCCCCCCTTCAACTTTAGAATGGTTGCTAGTTAACACCCCACCCCCCACTTCAACTTTAGAATGGTTGCTAATTACATTACCATGCCATCGAAAAGCGACCAGCGCAAATTCTTCACAGGTAGGAATTTAAGCCTCTTAAGATTGGACCTTGAACTTCTGACTAAAACACTCTTTACTTTGGGGATGGTATTTTCCCTCTGTGCTTCAGGTAACACACAACTAAGTAAAGTTCTCCTAGACTTGCAATAGTCAGGTGAAGTTCTACCATCAGGCATGTCCAAATCTACCTGAGGCATACCATCAACAATCGAAGAACCCAAAGTGACTGTAAATAACACCCACAACTCATGATCATGTTCTTTGGAGAAATGAACTTTTTGTTCACGCTTCACGTACGCAACATTCCTCTTGAGTAACCGCCTTGATTTCACATGTTTTATTTTTGCCACAATAGCGGAGTCTTCATGCAGTCTCATACCGTTCCTCTTGTTGACAATACCAACTTTCTTTTTCAATTCAGCATTTCTCATGTTCTTTTCCCGTAGTTGCTTGGAATAGCTCTCTCGTCTGTCGAAAGCTAGCTTTCTGCTTGATTTCTCTTGTCCATTCATCTTAAAATCTAAAGGTTTCTTCTCGTGTTGATATTTCGTAATACCTCCACTCAGTCGTCGAGCTGGGGAAACGTTTTTCCCATCTGCGTTTGTATTCGTGCTAGTGCGTTGGTCCTTCTCCATGGAATTCTTTCCGATGTTGTATCGACCGGTGGTGTTTGTTGTATCTACGTTATATAACCGTTGCTTTTTTTCTTCATTCTTGTTTCCGTAGTTTGATCTCTTTATCATTTTAGTTTTGTTGTTTCTTTGTAACTTCACATTTCCACGCTTTTCATCCTTACCATTGCTTGGAGTAACACAGGTTTTAGATACGACATCAAGTGCAGGAGTAATAGGAGTTGCATCATTGTCTGTACTTTTCGTGTTTGCATCCCTATCAATGTCCCTACATTGTATCTCTTTCACTTCACTTTTCCTACCGTTACTCTCTTCTTTATCCCCATTCGAAGTCCCTTCGCCTTGAGTTACACAGCCCCGAGTTTTCTCATCTTTATATGGTTTCACTACAGTGTCCGGAATTTGGGTAGAGTCGAATACTCTTGCAGGTCCAGAGCCCACCTTTTCCTGACATGTTTCATTGCACACTATGTTGTTTTCCACCACTGTTTGTAAAGAAGGTGGTTTTTTACTACCAGTAGGGTGTTTGCTGGACATGTTTTGAAAACCTTCATTAATTCTGTTACTCAACTGACTAACAGTCGCAGTCTTTTCAACATTTCGCTGAGCAGTTTCAGAATTAGATTTATCTTGTCCCGAGCTTTTCGAGGTATTATTGACGATGGATTTTTTAAAACAAGAATTCGTTCCATCAATTTCCCCCCCTTGTTTTGTTCTCCGAAGTGAATCAGGCCCAGATTCCTTAATACATTTTACATTTCTCTTTGGCGAGCTTTCTACTGCATCGTTTCCTTCCACAGGAGGACTATCCACACTTGGATTAACTTTGTCCACTTCTCCATCTCTCTCCAAATGACTTATTTCAGAAACAGCACACAACTCCTCTTTTTCTTTTACAGTTCTCTGAGGTAACGACAATCTATCCAATTTATCTCTTCCTGATGGAATCTCAATTTTGAAATCGGGTTTCTTCCTGATTGTGGAATTACTTGCACACCTTGCCGTATTTTCTTTTTTACTGTCTATAACTTTCTTCCTTCTAGCTTGTAAAATTTCCGTGTCTGTATTAGCAGACACGCTACCACCAGAATCCAGCGTTTCGTAATCTAAAGCTCTACTTTTTATAGGAATACTGTGTTCCAGAGTAACCGAGCCCTCAGAACTGGACCTGGAAGAATAATTACTACCGGAAATTGATAAGTCCTCTTTATTATCCCTTGTTATTGTTTGGTTTAACGCAAGTTTATTATTGAGAATAAAGTAATCGCATGGGTCTGTTTTTGCTAAATTACCTCCATTTGAGCAATGGCGTTCCAGAATATCCGATATATCCATATCTTTATGTCTTGGAATTGCAGTTTGAATATAACTCAAATCACAGCCATCTTTATGAGAGAATTTACTAAGGTCAGCGCTGCGGCACTTCATTCGTGATTTCTTCCCGTTGTCAATGCCCGTCCTATCAATAGTTTTGTTATACACCTCGGAGCCAATTCTGATTGATTCAGTTGCTTTACTGCAGTCAGTGCTGCGACATCGGTTCCTCAACTTCGGACGAGTTCGTTTACTTTCAAGACCATGAAAACTGGCTGATTGAATTCGAGTGTCTTTGGACTCTTTTTTAGCTTTATGCTTTTCCGCCTTCGGATCGAAATTCCTACTCTTTCCATCACAGGTATCATCAGTAATGCTCGATGAGCTGTATAAATATCCATCTGAGGGGATATATCGCCCTGCTCGAAACGGGGGTGGTTTAGTCCTTCCTCTAATCGTCCTTGATTTATCAGTAGAAAGCATCTCTTTCCCTGACCGACTGTGTTTGTTTTGAACAGTCAGATCATCTCGTGTCTGCTTCTGATTTGTCTGTTTTCCATTTTCTTTAGCATTTTCCCCAGAACTAATGGCCTGGTTCGCCTTCCCGCTGTCAGTTTCCTCACTTGTTTTGGCATTCACCAAAAAATTATCCAAAGATCTCAAGCTTTTTTTCGCACGTTTTTCCATTCCAACAACACGATAAAAGACGATAAATTTTCACCATAAATTCGTTCTAACATTGCCGAACTAACCCAAGCATAGCAAATGAAATATGATCAAAATTTTCACACGAATAACACGAAGTCAACACAGCACAACTCGTAGAATTTGCAAACATAATATCCTAACAGTTTGTATACAAATCAACAGAAACCGCGCTCATACACTCATTTCACTTCTTCATAAACTAAGGTGAAGGCCCACACAATTCTTTCGTAATAAACTTGATAACGTCCACTGATTTCTGTACTCGAAAGCTTTGCTTGTAGCGATATTTTGATAGGCCAAAACATATAACAGATTTGCAGGCCGCTAAACAAAAACTCAAAGGAAGACTCGTGTAAATTATTCATATTAACTGTCGCGTCTTATGATCTTATAATCGTACCACCTGTAGGCGCGTGTTTTGGGAAAAACTATGTCTAGGAGGAAGAAAATTGAGCTAGCGTTGAACTGATGATGATCATCTCTAGTAGGTCGCAAAGACTACAGTTTGTAGTACTTTCACAAGCAGAGTTTACAGCGATTTATTTCATTGTTACTAATATAGAGCCCTTTGAAAGTGTAAATAATATATTGATTTTTAAAAGCCGCGAATTTCAATGTCGAAGCATAATTCGATGTTGAATGCGCAGGTGCGACGTCAAAGTGATGTATATACTTAAATAATACCGTATAACGTTTGCTATAAGGGAATATAATAAGGATACCAAGATCGTATCTATAAAGTTGAATTGATGATTTAATCGATAATATAAATTTAATAAAGACTCTGACTTCCTGAAGCTCCCAAGCGAGGTAAAGACCGAAGCTATTTGCATATAGTGTCATATATTTAACTACTAAGGTTCAAGGCCACGGCACAAATTTTTTCAAAAATTAAATTGACAGTTGTTAAGATAGCTATTGTCGCGGCGATTAAATGTGACGCTTACAACTTAATTTATTTAGTTATTTTAAGCAAACGTGTTATCAAGATTCTAGAGTTAGAGCAATTTGCATGACAAAGTGATAAATTAAAACGCAGTTTGATTGCCATTCGCCCAAGACTATTATCACTCATATAAACGGCTTTGTTTACTTCTGCGAGTACGTTTGATTTAAGGGATTAAGATTATCCTGAACACGCCGAATCACACATGCAGTGTCTGCAGGTAGGATATAGTGAAAGAAATTATATATCTATAGCTTAAACGGTGGATAAGTCAAAGTGTAAAAACACTCTCATACATCTTGTGAATGACTGAACCTACATCTTATATATTCATTAAATATGTTCTTCCATTGAAAATCAAACTATTTACATCCAAATATTTCAGCACAGTTGCTCAATAAATACTGATAACTTTGTTTTCCATTTGAACTTATCTACCGTTTAAGCTAAACGCCTTTCCTGTGGTAAACGACAATTTCCTGTGGTACCTTTCTGGCAGATTAATCGAACAAGGATATATTGACATTGACATTTATGTAAAGACATTTTTCATTTTGATTGACATCGTAAGAACAGAGAGTTTTGTTGATGGTCATGACGCAATAATGTAGTTTTCAAGACCCAACATATATATTCTGCATGTCAATGGCACCAGGAACAAACAATGCCTGACAAGTTCCTGGTGGTTTGTCCAATTAAGGGGTTTATTTGTTAACACGCGGAAGCTGTGAGACCCTTGATGTATGGTTTCTATGTTCACCCTTTTTGGCTAGTCTTCTTCCGATGCAGTCCCTTTTGTGTCACGAGCAATACTTACGAGGAAGACAAGCCATAGGCGAAGATCAATTTACTTATGTTAGTTAGTTATAAGGAGTATTTTTACTTACTGTTCCGACAATTTCTCCCTGAGGTTCCAAAGGAACAGCAATATTGCGAGTTTTGTTATCAAGGAATTCCTCCAATCTTAGGAAGAGGACGCCACACATAGCTCGATAATCTCTCCAGTACACGGCAATCTCAAGCTCTCGTGACTAAAAAAAGAAAGTGGAATGCTGGCTTGTTAACAGGAGCTTTTGGGCAATCTTACAGTTTGAGAAGATCAAACGTTGCTTTTCTCATGCGCAAAACACACTAAGTCAACTGTTAACCAGTTGGGTAGGACAAAATTCATTTTTATCTTTTGTTTTTATGATTCGACAAATAAGAAGAGCAGATTTTAATCCTGGCGTCTCGGACTCCAAATAATGAACTTTTTATACCCAAACTTTTATATCTTTTGCACGGAGACGGAGTATAAATTGGTATGAAGCATGAGCATAATTTTCCCCCGGGCATTTTTTCCCTACCCCCGGGCATTCATGTAAATAACATGTTTTTCAAATGATGTGAGTGGCAAATGATTGTGAGAAGGGCATTTTTTGGTCGAATATAGAATTGGAACTTTACATTATACAGTGATTTTGTACATAATTTTACTCCAGGCATTCTTTCTCGACTCCCGGGCATTCTTTCTCGACTCCCGGGCATTTCCGGGCGTTCATTAACAGGACCGTGTATGATCGTTTGAGAATTTCAGTAACAGAATTTGACCGAAGTGCTATTACCTTTGGCCGAAATTAAAATGTATCAGCTGTTATTTTGAGCCGTGTTGCGTGAACTTACCCTTTCTAATTCTATTCTAAATTCCTGCTCCCAAGCATCTCTAGCGAATGGCTTCCAATTTGTCTGATTCATATAAGTACTATCTAATTTTAATACGGCACAAATTTCATCTAAAAAAGAAAATATTAGAAAACTATCATCAGTTTCTGAAATCACTGTCATTATCACTACCATCATCATTTCTGATAAAACTACCATCATTGACCATCAAATCATCCATTATATACCAACACCATTAATACCAATATCACTGCAACCATCAATCATCACCATTTCTGATATTACTACTATCATTGACCATCAAATCATCCATTATTTACCAACACCATTAATACCAGTATCAGTGCAACCATCAATCATCACCATTCCTGATATTACTACCATCATTGACCATCAAACCATCCATCATTTACCAACATCATTGATACCAGTATCAGTGCAACCTTCATTCATCGCCATTCCTGATATTACTACCATCATTGACCATCAAACCATCCATTATTTACCAACACTATTAATACCAGTATCAGTGCAACCATCAATCATTCATTACCATCACAATCCCAACAATAAAACACTGTCACTACGACACACATATCTCAACATACTTGATTGGTTATCCACAACTGTAGGACCAGCCTTCTTACTCATTCTAAATTTATCTGGACTAAAAACAGAATATGCTGAGCCTCTTCTTGGATCTCTGTTTGGGACCTGCTCTAGTAAATTATCAGCACCTTGCAAATTGACCTAAAGATAAAAATTTATTGTGACACCTGTATATAGGTATGGTCAAATTGTGTAACAACAGAGCAATGAGTGTAACTATCAGCATAGTTTTGACCTGATCATGGCACACATACGTAGGAGGTCTACACAACATAATACACTCACCCTAACAGTTACATTTAAAGCCTTATTTACATATGCTATTTTAGATGGGATTTTCCTCTTTTGATAGATACCAACAAGTGGTTTAGGTAAATCTCAAACACGAGTATTTATACAAAGGATCATTCAAAAATAGCCACACATTTACATTTATCAAAATAGGAAAATCGCACTGAAATAGCAGCTTACAATTAGTTTCCCAGTAAGTTGAGCAGGTTTTGGTAATGATCCATATGTACTGTCACCACCAAAAGAACCAGTAGAGCCTTTGTGACCATAACTTTCTTGATATATACCAACAGCAGCTTGCTTTGGCGACATCTGACCCATACGTTTCTCAAGTGAACATTGTAGCAGGTCTAGTTTTTGTCTTGATTCATAGATCTTCTTTTCAGTCTAAAAATACAAGGGCCCAAAGAAATGAAACACCAGATCCAGCAAAATTAGTACGTTTTAAGAGCATGCATCAATGCATACTATGTGTCAAAAAATAATCAGGTGAAAATAGTGAGCTGGTGGCAAAAGGCTGCTCTTGTTTGCCTCTGGAAGGGAAAGAGTGCCACTGTGGTTCTGAGGCCTCCAGTGCATTCAATTATAGCAATGATAACATATTTACCTCCTGCATTTGTTTCTTATCTTGTTTCTCCTGCAGAAGTTTCCTCATGTTATTCAGACCATCTGTTACTCGTGACTCAATTTCAATGTGGTGTCGTATTTCCTCAATTCTCTGTTCAAGCCTGGACAGTTTAGGGGGAAGAGGTTTGCTGGAATGATTATCATCACATTCCATTGCATTGTGCTGCTGGTGTTCTCGTAGTATTGCCATTTTCAAAAAGTCTATTTTCACTTTGGAATCATCCAACATTTGCTGTGCTTCAGCAAGCATTTTTTTATCCTTTGAGGCACTATACATGTGAATCATATTCTCTGCACCCTTATAGACTTTTGTCTCAATAGCCATCTGTTTTTCTAGTGTTTTTAAATGTTTGTTTACTTGCTCATGATCATGGTGGACTTTCACAGGTGAAAAGGGCTCATCTTGGTCTATAGAAAGTTAACATAAGCATTAAATGACATGTCAACATTTGTATAGACAATTGACCATGAGGCATGACATTTTACATAGCCTCATTGTCTCATTTATTGATATTTTTTGAGTATTAGGTAATATTCCTGATATCTCACTTTCAAGGAGTCTTGTCTCATTTTCATGAATTGATATTACTAGAAACAGACATTACATTCATTATTAAAGCATTGCATCATTATGTCTCTAGATATTGCCACTCGTAAGTAAGGTAATATTCAAACATGATATCAAGTTTCTTAAGAAATACTAGACTGTGTATTATATAATATACACTTAGCATTACATTTTTCAACATCTATTTTGAGTTTTAAAAATCTTAGATAAGGTCTCCTACTGGTGTATAGTTTATTTAATCTTGATCATATATTGTATATTAATATCATTGCCAACTAAGTTCTGCTGAGAAATTAATTTTATATTAATTGATCAGCTCATGTAATTACAAAACAACTATTCACAGTCTCTAGGGAGCCATGGAATAATTTAGTTAATTGTTCAAACAACAACAGGGCCCATAGGAGGTCTGCTTGCATATCTAATGCATAAACCAACAAAATACTGAGTAAAACATTCACAAAAAATAAGAGTTTTGTTTAGTTTAATTCCTCGAAAAAACATAGCTATGATCTTTTAAAAGCAAACACAATTAAATAAAGCAGGCATAATTAGTTGTAGTTATTAATCCCAAATGGCAAATGCTTAATTCTGTTTTACATGACAACCAAATATTATGCCTCCCACTCACTCCTGTGCTCTTAGTGTGTTTGTGAATAATTTTGTAACAAATATACTAACTTGCAGAGCAATTGCCCAGCCTGAAAATTAATTCACAACTGCAGGTTTGTGTATAAATTTGTGTGTATCAAGACTCCTTAACATAACAGTGACTAAGCCATAACAGGTTGATAGCATATCTCCCACTCAGCATTGAGTTGGGTGGTCAGAGTGAAAATCTGTACCATGTACATACATGAGTCATTATTTTTTTTAGCTGTATGACACACAAAGTAGATTATCTAGTAACATACGCACTAATCTGGGGTCACAAAAACTTCATATGCATGTCTTAATCATTTGTCCTAAGTGATTAAAGAATTCAAAGTTTGTACACAAATCTGAATGACACAAATTCCAAAACGGACAAATCACAAATTATGATTAAGTTTACGGTAAAACATTTTAAAATTTGAAGAATATATGCCAAATTTAGCGCACATCTACCACTGGAAGCATTGAAGTTTTCGGAATAACTTTCATACTAAGCGAAGCCGCGATTGAATTATCACTAGTTAGAGTGTAATATCGATCAAAACAAAAACAAAAAGTTCTATAATATAGGTACGATTGCCTATATTACACTCCCCAAAATAACCTTTCTGAACCTTTTTTGGAATTTAAGGATTCATTACTTAATACAAGATAGATATCAACTAAACAATTATTATATATCCCAAAATTTTCAACATCAATTTAACCCTAGCAAAACATATTTAATGCATATTTTAAAACAGTAAAGTTTGAAGCTTCAAACAACAAACACGGGCTAATATCAAGATCTAAATTAATTATACACGGATAAAATAGAGTCTGCATTTATAGCTTATCTGTAAATGCCAAAACAACGTGTAAATACGGGCCCTTTATGTAACACGGGCGTGATAAATCTAGAGGCCATTTAGTGTTCATGAATGTAATGAAATTAACAAGTATTTTGATGAGAAACTTCCAGACATCCGTAAGCATATTTCAACACGAAAATGTGCGTCTGAACGGGGTTTTCAAGCTTTTATATATGTACCTAAAACTGTGCTTACATACCTAAAGGATTATCTACAATTCCTGCATTCATATCTTGTAGTTGGTAGTGTAGCTCCTGTAATTTGGTATTCGCCTCTTTCAAAATAGAATTGCATTGTGTCAACGACTTTTTATCTGTTGTCGCTTTCTTAAAATTTTCAGCTCCTTCTTTGATCTTAAGCTGCCGTCGTATTTCTGTTTTTAAATCATCGACATCGTTGAATTTCATGTTAGAATCGGAGGGATCTCTTGGAATCGATCGAGCACTTTGACTACCTCTACGTTGATAGTCATTCTGCACGGTGTATAAAAATACCAAAATGCATTAATAACTTTGATCAAGTATTGATAATAATTATATTATTTTAATTCAACGGCATCTAGTCAAAATGCCGACACTTACCAAAAGGACCCCATCGGGGTCCATCGTGCCAAAGGAGACGGCTAAACACAAAACAATCGACAAACACACTGCAAATTTTTCATTATGACTTCATATTTGTACTCCTTTCCACCAAATGTAAATAAACTCGCCTCAAATTTCGCGTCGTAAAACCGCGCCAAACGGCTAGAATCTTATGAAAAATACAAATATACGTTTCAAAACTTTTGAGAGGTAGAAAAGAGGAATTATTTCGCCTAGGTTTGTACAAAAAACAACAAAAATCAAAGGTTTATAAGTTGACAGACTTGAGTACTTTTTACATAAAGAACCATCGAGAGAAGAGCGGAAGTGAAGAGAGCTGGGGCGACCGGGCGATATCTCTAAATAAATAACATCGCTCAGAATCACCTGTAGCATAGAAGAACAAGCAGAACATCACTTCCAATCGGAACCATTTTTTTGCATAATCGACTTCCGGACAGGGGCGTGGAAATCCTATTGTCATATTATACCCTGCCAGCAATAGATCTGCTCATCACCCAGAGCGGTGCCTGAACTGTGGAATTGAGGTTCGATAATAAAAATTGGATTAGGATAACTGTGCCAGGAAATGTAAAATACATTATCATTTAGTTAGGTAAAAATGTACACCCACCAATTATTCTTATAATTCTGTGTAATTGCAAAGTTATAACTCAACAATTTATCTATTATACAAATTATAAATTACTTAAGTTCTATGAAATTTACGCAATGTAAAGCGTAATGTTTTCATTGTTTTGAATCAATTGTTTAATTACAGTTACAGTTTGTACTGAGTTGTTTGCAAAAATAGTATATTTAATATCATACAGCTCAAATTTACACTAAAAATGGATAAATAAATAATAAAAAACATGATTAAATCTCGTTCATCAGGCAATGCGTGTACGAAGCCGAAGGGTTGCATTCTGTCTTAATACCTTCATCAAGTACGTCAATCCACCGGACTACCCCAGGCGGGGACGAATATCAAAATTTCCCCCCAAGTATTACCTTGTTTGATAAATCATTTTACATTGCGATTCAAAAAGCGATATATAAGCAAAAAAAACAATACATTTCAGGCAAAATAGTATGCGAAAAATGATAAAAGGACTATAATTAAGCATTTTCGTCATCTCGAACCTCCCCAAATAATTTAAACTTTGTTCACCCTCTCCCCTTTTTTTGCCATGGATTGACGCCCTTGGCCTTTTCTAACGTAATATTCTTCCTGTATTATATGCATTTTCCTATATTTTCATTTTCATAATAAAAAAGCCTGATGCGATACCATTGGTTAACCATCACCATTACACGACTCGTATTCTTGCAATTTTTTATCCAAGTCATCATTCAATGTTTCTAGTTGTGTCTCTAACTGGTCTACCTCAGTTGTAAGAGAGTCCATTTCATCCCTCTGTGCGATATAGTGTTTCAGAAGGTCTACAGAAAAGGACAAGGGCCAGGATTTAATTTATAATTCTTACCGGATATATCATCCGCTATGTACTCGGTATCCTCAATTAAAAGAAAGTGAAAAATGGACTGAAATAAAAGCATAATAAAAACAGCCGATATAACTTTATATATCGGGCACACTTTCGTAACCTAAGTATGGAAGAGCTTATTAAACCTAAAATAATGTGTCTCAAAAAGTGAAAATGAAAACCTTTTCCCACATGTGAGAGACAAAAAAAGCCTAACACACTGTCATAATACAATACACATATTATAAACTCATTGACTTCGAGTCTACAACATCGTGTCGCTATTAGGTGACAGCGCAAAACGACGGTTTAATAGCATTTAATGGCAATCAATTCATATACCTTCAGCTTCCTTGACCTCGTCATAAAGTTTGCTGGCATCTTGGTAAGTGGCAGTAATATTACGATACGATGTCATGGCTATAGTATAAGAGGTGTTTAATTTTGTCTCTATATCGCGAAGCGTTGTTTCACTTTCGTTGTGAATCTAAGAAAAAGTAAGATTGAATTACGGTTACTTCCTTGCTTCATTCAGATCAACGATTAAACTAATAACTCTCTTACGTTTGACGCAATAATGATTTGATTATAAGCAAGGTTAGCCATTCTGCTCGCATCCATTACAAGTTGTTTTGACTCGTTGAAACAGTCCAAACTCTTGTCAATCTCCTCAATGGTTCTGTTCAGTAATATCAATGTCGCTTCTCCAGCTGTCTTCGCCTCTGAATATTCGTCTTCAACCTAGAGAAAAGATTTATATTATTCTCATATGCATGAAAGTTCTTTGTAGAAGTTGTAGAGGTCACTGTCAGTTGTTTCACTACTTTCTGTTACAAATCAATAACCACCCAATACAATTTGCCGTAACAAAGAAGATGGCGCCATCTTTTTTATTAACTGCTCCAAAATTCTAATAAAGATCAAGTAAGGGTCACTCCCTGTTGGTCGAATTCCTGAGTGATTGGACCCTATACCAGTGTGTATAATTTTGTCCGCAATAGGCTGTTTTACCGAAAGGGAGAAAGAATTTTAATTTCCAATGTAAGGTAATGTTATATAATTATGAAGCGTTTTCATCGCATTAAAACTAACTGATAATGTTATTAGAAATACGTTATCCTGTGGACCTATAAGTCTGTGTGTACTTATAGCCTCAACCTTTTTCGTTATCTGGTTGCCAGGTAAAATATATATGTCCTTTTCTAAGGCTCTGTCTACCTCACCCCTCCCAGGCTAAACTGCTTCGGTGCCCCTGGGCGGAGGTACGCTCGCTCATATACAATGGTGGTTACTACACCTGTGTTCCCCAGCAAAGTGAAAGCAATAATTACCTGTTCTGTAATTCTATTAATTTCGGTAACCATCTGATCGGTGGAGTTTTGCAATTTCCTTGCCTCTTGGCGGCGCTGATGAGCTTCCACAATCTTAATTTCAATTTCTCTTACTTGTTCAAGTGTTGTGTTTGAAATATTCCTAAAATATACCACGCCGAATACAAAGACAATATTAATAATATTGCGCAATACTATAAATTACAAATAGATTTAAAATGCTATGTATTTCAATAGCACATCAAGGTGTCCTTGGAATTTTCCTATTTAGTGGGACAATAATTTGAACGGGAAAAATTTCACATGGGGGGAGGAGCTACAGTAGATCTTTATATCAAATTTAATTTTCCCCTTTCTTTAAAAAAATAGGATATTAACAAGTATCTCATATTAACGGCGCCAACAAGTGTTTAACACAATATGATTGCAAATCCAGTATATTTTCAGATCAGTGACTTCACTTACACAGCTCTCTCAGCCAATTGTTGAGCTTCTTTCGCAATCTCCAGTCTTTTCGTGGCGTTCTTCAAGGTCTCATTTACCAAAGCCCGGTCTATTTCTATGCTCAAGATCTGTTGCGATAAGTCATTGATCGTTTGCTCTTTGACAGGAATGGTCATTGCGAGCACTTCATCGGCAATCTCCGTAGCGTTGCCGAGATTGCTCCGAGCACGCGACATGTCGTCAATACTAGTCTTAACTTCAGTTAAAGCGGTCTCGACTTGAGTCAAGAGTTTGCTGGAGTTTGCCTGCAAAATGAAAAAGAGGGAAAAAGGTCACGGTTGATATTGGAGAGATCCGCTAGTTACGAAGTGTCCCACCTAGCAATCTAGTTTGCATGGGGCAAACCTATCCTATCCCCATTCAGGCATGGTGGTTTCAGGCGTGTAATGCGGGGCGGGAGAAATCTGGAGTTTGTCTGGCGAGAAAAAACAACGATTGAAAACCCGATATAAATACTATAATATATATTGCGCTTCTTTTTCACATGCATATTATGAACAAAAAACCCATCGAATACCAAAATTGGAGCCTCGCTTTCGTCTTAAAGCTCATTTCCACGTTTACCATGCGGTCAAAATAAAGCATGCATGTTTTGAACAATAATTCTGGTCAGTGCATTATTAAGGTCTGTTCACACGATCCAATTCACTTTTGATGGATGTTTTATAGTCTGTTGACATGCCAAGTATATGGGCAGCAAATCAACTAAAGCCTATGCAGTACTGCTTTACCAATAACAAACTACAAGTTGGATCGTATAAACGGGCCTTTAAATCAGCGATATCTATACGCACACTGAAAATGGAAGAAATTTCAACCCATCCGATTTCAAGACCAACCTTAAACTCATGAGAGGTGTTCATTGCTTCGTACGACCTCTTCTGAACTTCTACGCTATCGTTGTAGGCAGAATAACTTTCTTTCAAGTTGTTCTTGGCTTTATCTTGTGCTTCAGAGATATTTCCTTGAGCATGATCTAACATTTCTGAGGCCGCGTGAGAAATTAACGAAGACTCATTGACCAGGCGACTGACCTCCTTGGAATCCTGGATAAATATTATATTTCGTTATGATAAATAAAGGGCTTTAGATTAATTCCTAATCATAACGGCTAGATAATCCTTTAATATAGGCTTTGATTACGTTTTCACCAACTTCAAATTCAGTCATGACGAAGTCTATGAAAAAGTTAAATAACTTACCTGACTAAGCTTCTCAAGTTTCCGGTTATTTTCCCGGACGTTATCATAGAAGTCTTGGTTTAATATTGATTTTGTTTCGTTTATTTTGTTCGTGATATCGTCCAGACGTTTCACAGATTGCTTTACTTCTTCAGCAGCCTCGGCACCGCTTGAATTGTGTTGCTTGATCTAAGAATAAGACATTCTTATAATTAGAACAATTAACTAAATCTTTTTTATAATTAGAACAATTAACTAAATCTTCACCACTACCAAAACATGTGACATATCCATCGATCACCATGCAGATGAGCACAATTACCACTGAGCACTATCATTATCCCCTTTATCGCTATTGTTACCACGGTATCCTGTCGAATCCAAACGGTATCCTCATCAACGCGACAAATCATGATACTTTATTATAAACTTAGGTAGGCTTACTTGATCATAGAGGGACATGATATTTTCATAATTCTGGTGGGCAGTTCTGTTATTTCTTTCAACTTCTTGCAATATTTGTTCAGCCCAGTTTCGAATAGTGGTGTAATTCGCTTGAACAGGTGGAACTGTTGAGTTGACAGTAACTGTTCCATCAAAAGGTGAAATTACGCTGTCTAGATACGACATAATTTCTGTTAAGGTCTCGTTGGCCTTGTCTAAGTCACTTGTTAAGGTGGTCAATTTTTCCCTCGTCTAAAAAATACAATTCAGAGTATTAATTTGGCTGTAAAATGAATCCAATCTCTTTTGTTGGTTTTCTTAAAAATAGATTTTCTTAGGTAGCGAGGCATTATGAGGTAGGGGAGTCTGAATTTAAAGACGTGATAGATGGTAGATAGTGGTTAGTTACTGGATAATACTATCTATTGTACACTACTGCAAAAAATAAGCATGCACCTATATTCCACGATTTGCATTCTAGACAATGATTACTAATGGACACTACCATTATTACCACTTTATCGGACATATGAAGCATGAAATAATGTATACTGCCATTCAGAACACTTATAAAACTAAGGCACTTAAAACTTTACAACATTCATAACTTTTTGTAGTTTAACGGAGTTGTCGAGCATTGTGAGCATCTTTTGTTACCAGTGACTTCACATAAAGCCATATGATATAGAAAAATTAGCCCATCCAGTCTCACCTTATTATACTCGGCGTCTTTGTATGTTAAATTGAGTTCCGACCCTTTGAATATTTTTTCCGAGTCAGCCAACTTTTTGTTCAGTTCTGATAATTTTTTATTTATATCTTCGACAGAATTACCGTCGAATATTTGTAAAACATTCGTAACGTTTTGAGACAGCTCGTTAACTTTGTTCCTTTCCTCTGCGATGAGATGATACCAATTCTCGTAACACGTTTCATTGCATTGAGCACATGTTGGGAATGAACCTGTGGGGTGAAAATAACAAGGATATCATTCCTTAACTGATCTTACCGTAAAAGCCTGGAATTAGCAGTAGCAAAATTCCGTTTTGCTTTATTCCATCGCTTGGAAAACATGCATTTCATTTTTCCTCGTCTTTTAATCTCACCTACGGCATCCCAGCGACAATCAGTACACTGCCTCCCTCCATAGAACCCTCCAGCAGAACTTTGTTTGCACTGACACTGACCGTTCCGGGGATCACATATGGTATGATTCGAGTAGGTCATATTACAGTTGCAATCTGTAGAGAAAGATAAAATTATGAATTTATTATTTTGTGTAGTGCAGTGGTCAGTCACGCACAATTTATGATGTGAGATTCCTCGTTGAAAATACTTATTAAGCATGGGTGTGTCATAGAATCCACAGCTGGGGCAGTTTGTACAAAGAATTCTAGGAAAATTTTAAGCTGACTGAGAAAGGATTCGAAACTCTAAACGTAACTATATTTTACTTTGTTTGCCTCAACCAAATCTAACAATGGACTTGACCACCAGTTTCTCCCCTTAACTCCCTCTTCATGGATGGTCGCCTCTCCATGAGTTTGCGCCCCTGCACAACCCCAGTGTAAATAAATTAAGAAGGTCTGAAGACCCGGGTCAAACGCCGAACCTAAGAGTTGTATTAAGTTGACACAATTGATTAGGTTCGAAACCTGCTTAGAGCGGCATTTCAGGAACTGGCTATGATGCATTATGTGCCGAACATAACTTTGAATTTCTCTAAAAACTCAATCAATCAATCAATCATCCAACAACTTCTACATATTAGCAGCGGCATGATAGTTGACTTCGCAACAGCGTCGATCTTTGAAAGGCATCGATCCTTGACAACTGAGGGGACTAGTATTCGCCCAGTATGAGTAGAGGATGTGCTGTTAATTTTGGATTCTAACAAGAACTAAAATATGAAAACCATGGAGGATGGTAAATATATTTAACTAAACCTACCAACACAGCCAAGACTGACACCAAAGAGTCCATCAATACATCTATCACACTGCGAACCCGTCACGTTCACTTTACATGGGCAAATTCCTGTCGTCTGTAATTTTTCAGAAACAACATTTGTTATATAATGGAATACATTTTATAATCTTTTTGTCGGAAAAGAACATTGAGAGTTACAAATGACAGCTGCCATAACATGCGATGCATGATTTCATTTGGCAAAACGTTTTCTATGGCATCGACCTCGGTAAAAGTGAAAATATACACTATAAGGTTCTAGAAGGCTTTTTTTGCCATGCCAAAAAACAAATTAAACAATCAGGTTTTGGGGTATGGGCCGTATGGCAAGAAAAGCCTCCTAGTAATCACAGTTTGCATTTCTTTTTAAGGCCATCGACGATTAGCTTTATAACAAATACTTTGTGACTTACAGCGTTGCACTGAAGTTTACCAGAGTCATCTTTGAGTGTACCATCTGAAGAACAGCCACAATCTTTGCAACCAGTTTCATTATCGTAGTAGCCCCAGGCCTCTGGTTTGCATTTAGAACATGTGCGTCCTATAACGTTCTGGAAACAATGGCAGTCTCCGGTAAGTCGATCACAAGTATTGTTCACGCTTCCTTGAGATGAGCAGTTACAAGCTGAAAAGATAAATAACGAGATCAAATTATTTAGAATAAAATTGATTCCTACAAAATTTATAGTTGACTGATCAACTGACTGTTTTTGAGTGAATTATGTCAACTCCTTTTATGAATTAGTATAAAATCTTGAATAAAAGTAACAGTTGTGTATTGTTGAATTTTTTGACTCAGGAAGTATTAGCATTCAAGACGTCACACATAATTTACCTTGACATAATACGTCACTGGTAGCATCGCCAAAGAACTTAGCTTTGCAAAACTGGCAGTTGAAACCAGCGGTATTTTTTTCACAATATGGCGAACAATCTCCTGTGGTTCGATTGCATGTTGGGGCATTTGAGTGACAATGACAAGAACGACAGATCCCGTTAGGCTATGCAAGAGACAGATTAACGGTTCAAGAATAGAGAATAAATATCTTGACTTGATAGACTACATGTAATGTTATTTATTCATAATTACATAAATACTAGATTGCTCTATCAGTTCTAATTGACTGTCATGCATATTAATTTATAATGCAGATTAAGAGAGATATTGCTCTATCGGTCTACAGATGTTGGGAGAAATCTGAACTAAGGTCATTTTGATAATATAGTTCCGCCGATATAGAAAATTTAGATCAACAGAAACCCCCCTTTTTAATATTACAAGGGCAAAAAGAATGATATTATAATAAATTAAAATATCATCAGACAAATCTCCCCTGTACACCAGTCATGGTCTACTGCATCACCCCTCCCTACACCCCATGATGCTCTACGATTGCGCTATATACCTCAGTTGGTATTCCATAGTGACCATCAGTACAGTTCTCGCACTGGTCACCCTCATAACCAGTACTACATTCACATTTAAACGAACCATCACTGGTCAAGTGACATGAGTTATGACCACCATAACATAAGCACGCTTTACATGGATGTTGAGAGCCTAGCGTAGCATTGCCATAGTAACCGGTTGAACATCTTTCGCAATGGTCACCTAGAAAAGAATATATTTCATGAAGTATGGTAATAACAAAGCATCAATTCTTCTACAGTATAACCCCCATTAATATTTTCAGACTCCTAAACTAGAGATAAATCCTAGGTAAGCCAGAACCATTTGTGTCCACTTTAGATTGGGGTCCGTGACACGAGCTCAGCTCCTAAGCCTCTTTGCGCGTATTTTATATTTACGTGATGTAAATAAGAGGTCCAGGGACTAGGCTGTTGGCATTTCCAATGGAGAATGGAACTCAGAAAATATCAACTCTAACCTGTAGTGTTGTGTTTGCATCCTATACAAACGCCGATATCCGGGTCACATCGATCGCTGTTACCATTACAACTGCAGGGCACACATGTCGTATAGGGACCGGAGTTTGGCACCATACGAGTGAAGCCCTCGGCACATCGTTCACATGAATCTCCAGTAAATTCTCGTGGACATTCACATAACTCGACAGATTTCGTCATTCGCAGATCAGATGAGACTGCGGAACTGTTGTATTCTTTACTAAACGCCATTGCGATTCTGGCGATCGCTGAATCTGCTGGCGTTGTCTGAAAATACATAAGTTATTTCAATCACTTAAGGTGGCTCGATACAATTTTTCGAAATTTTTAGATGCACATTTTAAACAGGGATATTAAGCACCTAAATATTTCACTATAAGGCTAAAAGTTAATATACTTTGCAGGAGACATATCTAGAGCGGAAATATTCTCAGAATTTTTGCCTGGCACCCGTTACCATGGCAACAGAGACGTTTCAAAATGGCCGCCAAACAGGGTTTAATCGTGTTTATATCGCAAACGAGTTCGGTGACCCCCAATTTTTTTTTCATTAAACGTTTACGCCATAAATGCTTTATCTACAAAAAAGTTTTAAAAAAATTCTAACATGGGGAATTTTTTCTATTTACAAAAACGTTATTTTTGCTTATTAAAAAATTCCCCCATGTTAGAATTTTTTTAAAACTTTTTTATAGATAAATAATCTATAGCGTAAACGTTTAATGCAAAAAAAAGTGGGGGTCACCGAACTCGTTTGTGATATAAACACGATAAAACCTTGTTTGGCGGCCATTTTGAAACGTCTCTGTTTCCATGGTAACGGGTGCCAGGCAAAAGTTCTGAGAATATTCCCGCTCTATATATGTTTCCTGCAAAGTATATTAACTTTTAGCCTTATAGTGAAATATTTAGGTGCTTAATATCCCTGTTTAAAATGAGCCCAAAAAAAATTCGAGAAACTGTATCGAGCCACCTTAAAGCATATTATTAACGAGTATTCACGGAACACGAATGTCCCCCTCTCTTTGCCTTCAGCTTAGGTAGAAAAGTTCAGAAATGACAGAGAATTGCTTGCACTTACGTTTGACCATTTAGCTCTGATCCAAAGTCCTTCCAGTTCACTGAGTACCATTACCATTTCATAAGAAGTTGCATTCCGACCAGTTGTATTACCAACCTTCCAATATTCTTCACCGAAGAAAACCTATAAAATAATTTTTTGATTTGGGTGTTGAAGGAATCATCCTTGCTATAGCCGGTTTTCCACTAGGCAGAATTTTTAGCACGATTTTCTTTTCAATTGTGACCGGTGAAGGAGGTCTTCTACGGTCGAATTCTCACAATTGAGAAGAGTATCGGGCGAAAAATTTCGGTCGGTCGAAAAAATCCACCTAGTGGAAAACTGGCTTATAGTTGACAGTTTCGAAAAAAGAAGTTCTAAGCACAGTGGAGGGGGGGAGGGGTGCATATTAATACATTCACATAGAAAATTATAAAAGAGATTAGTTTGAAGTCGAATCTAGGAATATGCCCCCCCCCTCCCAACATTACACGTCTTGGTCCTAATGCTGGCTAGTTACCTCCGCTGATTTGGCGAGTTAATACAAAGCTTAATATGTATAAATACATATATATTAATGCAAAGCTTAATACACTTACCGAAAACTCGGAGAAATCATCACCAGGACTTTTGTCAAATTTATAAACCAGGTTTTGTGGGAACCACTTTCCTTTCAAGATAACATCACCTTTAATAGTGTCAAATGGATTATCTGCATGATCTTGTCTTAGAAAGAATGTGAAATTGTGTTGGTATGCCGTGCGTTTGTCTCCCAAGTATTTTGCTGGAGCTTTGAAGTACGCCACCTCATTTGTATTTGAAGTATATTCAATGAAACCGCTAAAAAGTAAAGATATTTCCAGATTATCAGCTGGCGTAAGTTTGTATATTCATGAAACAATTTCAAAATTTCCCGCACTCCTATCCAATCATATCGCATTTTAAGGACTGATGAGAAATTTATCTTAAAGTTATACGGATATCCAACCGTTTGTTTAAAACGTGACACAAATTATCACAGCTTTGCTATAGCCAAAAACAAAACCTATAACCTTTTAGAACAAAAGTGTTTTAGAAAAAAGCAAAGGAGAGGGCATTAAGTGCGCATCCTGATAACAAAGGTTTCATCCAGCATTAAAGTCTGCTCCAAATTTTCTACAACTTGTGCGCGTTTCTACGAGTGCAGATTATGGTACAATATTAATAGACTTATAAACTTACAGGAAACTACCGTTAACGACACCAATGCCAGATGTTAGATTTCCTATAGTTGACGTCCAGTTAAATTTAGTGATGTCAATCGTCACTGGATCGAGTTCAGTGGCAACACTGGATTCATACATGTTGGGCTTACTACTGCAGTTGACAGTTTTACCAGAACATTGACACTTCAAACAGCCGGTGGGATGAGATTTATCAAGGCCGTAGTAAAATCCCTTCAGACACGAATTGCATTTTGTTCCAACAGCCAGAGTTTTGCAAAGACATTCCCCAGTTTGTTTGTTGCAATTCAACGATGCACTACCATCCTCGTCACAATTACAATCGTCACAACCTAAGGAGGAGATGACAATAATTGATTTGATTAGTATTAAAACTAGCAATTAGTGAAATGTCGGTGCTATACTTTTGTGAAGGTAGCTACATTTTTTATCAAGGTATAGTTAATAATAGATCACGTATGCACGTTTTCCTGTATGCTATTATCCTGTCCTCCTGGGGCTGGTTGTATGCAAGCCGGATACCGCGCTATCGACCAGATAGTGTTTTGTTTCAATCGCTTTAAAAAAGTCCTCTTCAATAATTTTTGGTTTCAAAGCTGAAATTTTATTGCTTTTCAAGCATTTTTACAACGGTTGAAAAAATCACTATCCGGTGGATAGCGCTATCAGGATTTCATACAACCGACCCCTGATAACCAAGCTAAACTTTGTTGTAAAAAGGATATTTAAGTCAGGCTTGGTGGTAAAGACGTTAAGATAAGGGAAAACTTTATGCTATTATACATTTAGTACATGTTGTATCCTGTTTGAAAGCAACATTTTGCATTCAGAGTTTTTAAAAAACGTCTTCACGTACAGAGATAGTTGTATTAAGTAGTTCTTTTAAAAAACCTTACACTATTTATAAATTACCTTGTAAAGTGAGATTAAACGAAGTTTCATTGCATACGTGACACTTTGGTAATTTCACCCCAGGCAAACAATCACAAACCCCACTATTTCCATCACATTGAAGATTTCTCGAATATTGTTGGTCACAAAGGCAAGGTGAGCAGCCAGTACCATTGTTGAAACCATAATAATTTGCCCTACACTGAGTGCATTGTTGTCCGATCACACCTTCCTTGCACTGACACTTGCCTGTCAGCTGATCACATAGTGTCCCCTTCGATCCTACGAGGTCACAGTTACACTCTGGAATTGAGAAATCAAATTAATGAAATAAACAAATCTTAATTCATAATGAACGTGTTCTGTGGTCAATTTCACGACAAAGAACAATTTATTAGCCTGGTTGTTTCATCGACTGCCTAAAATGAACAAGGAAACTTCTACATGGAAAAGACTAAGCATTGATTACCGATTAAATATTTATTATTGTAGAGTGCAGTACCAAATTAAAAAGCAAAGCATAAATGTTTCATACGTCGTGACACTGTTCATATATTCTCGTAATGTGCGTGTTTCCATATAAGAAAAACATTAAATATTCCCACTATTGCAATATGCGTATCAAAACAACTATGCAGATTGAAAAAACGCTTTTCGACGATTCGATGTAAGAGCTTCAACCTCGTACCCAGTGTCGTTTTACCTCCATGCACTCCACTAGCCCCTACTATAACATAGAGAAATTGCTCTGGGAACGAGGTTGTAAGAACCTTTGGTCATTTTTGTCGTTTTCGTCAGAAGTGTTTTTGTCATTTATAGCCAGTTGTTATACCATATTTGATGAGGAGTTGTTACAAGACGCTGCGACTATGCTCCGTGTATGGTTATAAATATTACATGATGTGGAAATTACATTGCGTTCCCAACAAACGTACCTTTGCAGCCAGTGTCGGAAAAGCTATAGAATCCCGGTTTACAACGGTCGCAGTTGAGTCCATGAACGTTTGGTTTACAGTGACATTGGCCACCATCACTATCGCAAGAACTGCGATTAACTGATCCAGTTTCATTGCAAGAACATGATTTTCCGCCATCGTATAGATAAGAATAGTAAGGCCCCAAAGCTTTTTGGACGTTTTCTTTATTTCGTGACCAACTGTCGAAGGAGAACGCTTTCATGTAAAAAGTTAAAGTTTCGTTGTCTGCTTTAGGGTTGCTAATGTTCTTCACGCTTGGTAAAATGACCAACTGAATGAAAAGAAAAGAAGTTAGATTTGAATATATACATTACGTTGCAGCTAAAACTTTCATGAATTTATATCTTAAAGAACTCACAGAATCTACAAGTGCTTCAGTGGATTTCGGCGCTCCGCTTCGACTCGTTGCCAGCGCCGGGAAATCCAGAGTTATTCTGTAAGGTCCTTCGACGAGGCAACTATCTCCAAAGTTGATTGCGGTAGAGGAAGACGGAACATTCGCAGTCAGAACGAAAGATCGATTTGTTACTGGAGCATTTTCATTGCAGGAAAACGGTGAAAATGGATTTAACAACGATTCCACTTTTAGAGAAACATCTTTCCATTCAACTAAAGTCTGAAAGATTTTGTAAGCGAACATAATTTTAAAAAATTTAATCAACCAAAAGGTGTGTTAACAATTGTTATCTATGAGAGAAAACCTGGCGCATAACAATGTAGATTGTAGACTAATATAAACAGGAGTGGAATTATACGCAACTCAATTCAAGCCAGGAACAGTTGAGTTGAGAAAAATTAGTCAACTATCGCTCCTCCCCCAGGAATCGGACCTGTGAAACGCTTTTGAGATCCCGGTGCACTTGCCACTGCCAAAGGTAGCTGACAAGAGCAAGCGTGGTTAGTATGTATTTCAAGGTGGCAATGCCGAGAATAGGTTAGGGTCAATCAATTATAATTTTGTGGCACTTTACACGATGTAGGAAAATTTTAAAGGTTTTTAAAGGGTCTTAAATTCGAGTGGAATCAGACACAACTCAATTCAAGCCAGAAACAGTTGTAGCTCACTGGCAAGAGCACTACACCAGCATCGCATAAGCGTAGGTTCGATTCCTGCTGGAGGACCGATAGCCGACTAATTTTTCTCCACTGTTCCTGGCTTGAATTGAGTTGTGTATGATTCCACTCAATTTTAAGACCCTTAATTTAATAATCTACATCGAGCGAAGTGCCACACAATCGTAATTGATTTACCCTCTGATATAAACATGAGGCTACCTTGAGTATATTGAACTTCCTATGAATCTCGGCCATACATTCAAAAATATACCAGAAGATTTTTTCGTTTCTAGCGAAGGCACTTTTTGTTCAAACATTGTTCTCGTGAAATTCAAAGGGAAGGGGGAATTTTCCTCAGCCCATGTCACGAGAATCCTAATATTTGGTTTCACTGTCTTTCAAAGTTTGAAGAGAGTTGGTTCATTAGCGCGAGAGAACATGTACCATTATCACTCAAAAGGGGCAAATATACCAACCTGATATCTGACAACCAGCGCATAAACTGTCGTTTTCGGGATGTTCACGTTAAATACAACAGAACGAGAAGCGGATGTGCCATCAATCAGTACACCTGTAATGTTGGATGCCAGATCATGATATTCAGCACTAGGGTCAGCCTAAAATAAAAACAATTATGTAATAAGAATGCAGTACAGTCAGGTAGTGTTAAGAGAGCGCTTATCACACAAAACAATTTCATTGTTTTTGAACAAGTCAAGAGTTCTGCAGTTCACCGATTACAGGACTGCCTAATTTACGTTGTTACCACCGGTTGTTCACCGACTTTAGTCTTTACAACAAACAGAGAGATATACGTTTTGTAGCAGAGGCAATAAATCACGAAACAAAGCCACTCATCAAGGTTTCAGGATCATACAGCATTGAAGCGAATTCATGTAAGCCAATGTACTGCAGTATACTTTACCTGCTCTGCTTCATACGTCATCTCTGGCACTCCAGGAACATAATATCCAGTTTCCAAAGTCGAACAATTGTTATCGGTAAACTTTTCCCGGCAAAAACAGCTTCCAGTGGTTTGTTCACAAGTGATATTGACAGACCCAACACGAGAACATGAACAATCTTCGCAGGGGCTGGGATTTTTGTACGTCAAGCCAAAATAACCATCCTATAAGACGAGAAAGAAAATTATACAATAATTATAATGTCCATCTGATTAATCAAAACTTATCCTGGTCTACATAGTCATAGTTGAGATCCTATTAACAACAGAGAAATTGTCAAAACATTCACACATCACGTCAGAGTTCTGATTATATTGCATGTCTGTGAATATATTTAATATTCTTATGCAACTTTCTTGCACTGATCATCGGTAACGATTTACGCCAAAACATTTGCATAAAAAATTTACCATGAAGCCACGCAGCTAAACGTAGTTCAGTTAGACTCGCATTTTTAGACTTGCAATGTCTAGTAGTGGATGTTTACTTCTTACATCGGCTTATTGCTTTCAGTAATTTTTAAGGTCTTTTAGCCTTATGGCGAAAAACCGATGTACCAGGAAATGCTCGTGGAGCTTGGTAAATCAGATTTTACCACGACCATCACTTTTACTTACTGTACCTGATGGCCTAACCAGCCGACAATTTGAAAAGAGTATAGTAGTTGAAATACAATCCAAACTGTTTGACGTCATCTAACACATAGACTAAATCGACACGCCGAAAATAAAATTCTCGATTTAGGTCCTTTAACAATGTTTTTTAATCTTTGGATTGTATTTCGTATTATACTTTGTCTATCTGATCAGAGAAAAATTGCACATGAATCATGATAACTAGGTTTCTCGTGACGCCTCATATTATTCGATTCAATTTTTCATAATTATATGCGCTTTCGTCTCACAATTTTCAACGCCTTTCGACTCCTTTATGATCACTAAATTTGCCTTCCAAGCTTGAAACGACAGTTTCACAAACGTATGCGCGTTTAATGCAGGGCCGTAGCTAGAAGCTTTATTGGGGGGGTGCATATTCATATATTCGTCATATTCCCGAATGATTTCTTTTGTATGCTATTGTTCCTATGGTATATAAACATGAATATATGAATATACACCCCCCCAATTAAGCGGTCTAGCTACGGCCCTGGTTTAATGCGTATGACATTACCAAAGTCTTTATTGACCCGCACTCTAGCCACCTGCAGGGTGCAAAGTCGTATTATAGTCCATTACGAGACAGCGACCAGGACTACTTCATATCGCCGGAGTGTTGAAAGTGATTTCCTAGTCTTTTAATTAGGTATAATACGTAATATATTTATCATGTTATTACCTCACATCTCGTACATTCTAAGCCAACCAAATGGTCGCGACATTTGCACTGTCCTGTCTCTTTGTCACAAACAGTGGAACCGTTGAGTGTACCAGCAGGCTCACATATACACCCTAGTAGATAAAGCAGGAAAAAAGTTTTAAAAAATCAACAAACTACAGGTGCAGTGTAACACAAAGATAGGACCATTATAATTAACAATATCATCAATTCCAATAAAGTTTGTCAATGAATAATAATAGTCAATAACTATATAACACACCTACAGAAACTAGTTATATCCGTTCAAATTGGCTAAATTACTCACTTTGACATCCATAGGGGTTATCTTTTCTCAAGTTCCAGTAACCATTTTTGCACTCTCCACAAGTTCTACCAGTAACATTGCTCTTGCATTCACAAAGTCCTGTCGTTTCATCGCACAGGTCACTTCCTGGTTCTCCAGTTATACCAGCATCATTGCATTGACAAGCTGCAAATTAAGTTATTGCTTGTTATATCATAAGTCATTACACTTCCTATCACATTGTAAACAAAAGAAGGACAAGTACAGCAAGCAACTACTACAATAACTAACCTTGACATCGATCGGGATGTTCAGCAGGTAACAGTGCTTCATAATAATATGGTAAACATTGGTTGCATGTGTCACCAGTGGTGAAACCAGTACAGTTTTGGCAAACACCATGATCTTTGACTGGGTCATATTCGCAACTTAATGAATGGTTGTTACATTGACATCCTATTAAGTCAATATGATTACAGAATGAGATATGCTATTGACATAAAAGTCAAACAATATACTGTAGTGGCATATATAAGTTACAACAATATATAAATGACTCGATCTTGATTAGAGATAGGATATTAATTGGTATAGTTGTGAATCATATTAGGCATTATGAGAGTGATTGATGATCAAATATCCGAATATGATCTGTGTGTATATTCACAATAGAAATTAGGACTTCACTGGTAATCAAGGAAACTAATTTGATGTGTGTACTATGTATAACTGATTTTGGAAGACCTACCAGTACACGCTTTTCCTGATTCATACTTTTGATTGTTGAACAATGGAGAACACTTTTCACACTGATCACCAGTTGTATTTTTTAAGCAATTACATTTCCAGCTTTCCTATTAAAATCAATAGTTTGATATGAATTAAATACAAGATGGCACCACCAATACATTTTTCCATAACTGTCATAATTACTATTAGGCCATGTATGCACTAGCTAGAACATGCAGCCAAATGATTATTAAATAATCTTATTTATTAGTGGTAGCATATTATACAACTGACCTCTGCATTACATTCACCAGACTGCCCATGACAGTAACATCTTCCCCGAATATACCAATCCTGAACAGCAAAATAGAATATTCTTTCATCTGCTTTAGTAGGGTCAAATCCTGGAGGGACTTCAAATTTCACTAAAACCATTCTGAAGTTGGTAGCTAAAAATTCTTGTTGTAGCGTGTAATTTTGGTGTATGTTTGCTGCAAACTGTTGATCTCTCCATGGCTGGTAAGATGCCTGAAAAAATAAGGTACAAGCTATACATATAGGGTGTGCCCAATCAGTAACATATACATGAAAATGGTTGTAATATAAAACTATTGCAGCCTAATCAAGAGACCTTCGGTGGAGGGCCAAATAATTCTAGCAAAAATGGTCTAATCTACTCAAATTCCATCTTTGGGAGTATTGGGAACCTTATCTCATGTGCCTGAGGCCTAATTATAACTAGCATGAAAAAAGGGAGGAGGAACATTAGCAATGGTAAAAAAGGAAAGGATACAACTTCCTGAAAAGCACTGCCCAAAAAGTTTTAGCAAATAATGAAGGATAAAAACGTGTGGCAAATGAATGGGAGAGAAATGGGGAGAGGGGGGTCAGTACTAACAATATCTATACAAACCTTCAGTTCAGTCACTTTAGTGTTGGCAGAATCAAGTCTAAAACACTGCACAATAAACCCATCTCGATCATTATCTTCTACAGCAGTCATATTAAAATATTTCGCACAATCAGAAGAAAAGTATACCAAAGTTCGCCAGCTTGCCCCATGGTCGTCAGATGTTGAAAAATACATGGCCGCTGGATAACTGAACGCAAATGTAGCCGTAATCTCAACAAAGAAATAAGGGTGTCCTAGATCTAAGTCCAGAACAACATTTTCCTTTAAATTTTCAGATTTCCAGTAGGTATCATCGTTCACATTATCTATTGTTAGGTTTACACCGTGATAGTTTGAAGGGTCTGTATTGTCGCATTTGTAATCACAATTTTGGTTTACACAAAAATCCTCAGTTTTGTTTACACCACAGGTTGAATTCGCCCTAATTACAGCATCGCGAACCGCTGTAAGATCTATTGTCGATGGAGAGCATGATTCCGGTGTACAAACATTTGAATTTGCGCTGCGAAGTATTAAGCCTGAAGTAAAAATCACTGTAAAAATGTACACAACACAGGAATTCATGTCTGAGAGGATTAAAAACGACGTATCTCTACTCCACGAAGCTTTTCAAACCATATTGGTGTTCATTCAGTTGAAATAGATCTTCTTTGCTTCAAAATCCCTCAAATTCCGATACAGGACAGCACACTTTGAAAATTCGTTGTTAATTAGCAATTTTCATATTAAAAGAATGCGTATCTCGGACACCAACTAGATTAAGAACTGAACACGTAAAGAGAATTTAGTCATATATATATGAAGGCGAAGTATAATAACAATATTTTGGCACATTATATCAGATTTTCATCTTAGAATCACAGCAATTGCTCGAGTCGATACAAAATCAAACGACGTCAACAAAAAAACATACCGTTTAGGTATTACAATGATGTAACAAATCCCTATGTTTTTGATTCTTTTTAAATTCTCCCTACAGGCTCGACTTCCACTTCGGGAAGAAGACGCTATTATGGCGTCCTAGCAACAAGCAAAAAACAACAAAGTTTTCGCAATGTCAACTAAATTCGTAATCCGTAATGCACAATAACACAGACAACAGAAAAGGTAAAAGCCCTGTAGAAAAAACTAGGTCTGATTGTATCTCGCGGTATTTATTAAGTTTATTATTAAATTATCATTAATTATTGCGTGAAATTACAAACACCAGTAATTGCGGTAGACCAGGGCCGTTTAAGACTGTCGTAATTCACTAACTGAGAGTGCAGGTTGATGTGGGATTGTCTGAAACTATCTAGCAAAGGAGTGTAGTTAAAACAGGTCCCTCTAACTTGTCTATTTAACTCTAAGAAACGACTGAAGGATCATGTTCTTTGATAAGGTCTGATAATACAGTTATTGGTCACTCTCTCTATTTCCCTCTTGGACAAAGAGAGTTGACTAATTTGTTATCAAATGTTTGAACTGAAACAAATTAGCCTTTGTTTCATTTTTACAATTTCAGTTTAGATAATAACCGGAAATCACACACATCTGCAAGACGTTGCTGCATTCTCAAATCCACCAAGACGACGCTTTCTGCGGCAAAGCTGATTGCGACATACACAACAATGTCAATGTCAATAAATTAATCGTGAAAAAGACTTTGCTATAAGTACTTATTCTTGAAACCAATTCCATCACACTCAACAATGAACGTCTCTTTAGACGACTTCTCTTCAGGAAATGGCTTGATGTTGAATTTCACCTAATAAAAAAAGTTCCCTATATTGAGTTTATACCTTATGACGTAGTAAATGTAACTGCATCAATGGAAAAATGTATCCTTACGTACATTAGTCAATTTCTCTGCAATATGGATGGCGGTTCGCGTGTGAAGAGTAACAGGTCCGGTTTTAAATGAAGATTTTCCTTGTGCTAATGCCATCAATATGATGACCTGAAGTGACAAACATATAGAAAAAAAAGTAGCTACAATTCCAACAATTCCTTAATTTCTAGCAATCTTTTGCGAACTCACAAAACTCAGACACTATACTGGTCTGTTCCTTTCATAGTTCATTCGTAAGAGAAATTCTTAATTCCAAACCAAACTAGGAAACATTAATCTTATACCTGATCCTGAAGGTGTTGGTCAACACAACTGTTGTTTTCCAAGCCATCTTTTAACTCTTCAACTGCATTGGTCGCGACTTGTTCGGCAGAAACACCTAATTTATACCGTGTAGAGGTCAGAGGTGAGAAATAGTACGGTAAGAAATTTCCACAAAAACTTTTGCCGTTACAGAAAGCTTTCGGTAAATAATCAGTTGTTGATGAAGATTAATCGGGATTTCAATCTTCTTTCAACTCCTGACTCCTGTCATCATTAGTCTACTAGTTTATGCGACAAACTTTAATAAATTCTAAACGGTCTTGAAAAACTTTTTAGAATTTTAAATTCAGTATAACTCGAGCAACTGAAAGATTTGTAAACTGAATAATTTAGGACTACCTTTCCTTCCAACAGATGATCCAGCCAACCTACATCCCGTTGAAGTCTCGGCCACAATCCTATAAAAAATGGGAAAGAAAACTAAATGGTAAACCAATAATGAAAAATGTGAAAGGTCCATGCAAGACCCTGACGCCGGTTGAAACACGTTAGCCTAACTCTGGGTTAACGCAAATTTCTATAAAAAATGGGAAAGAAAACTAAATGGTAAACCAATAATGAAAAATGTGAAAGGTCCATGCAAGACCCTGAGGCCGGTTGAAACACGTTAGCCTAACTCTGGGTTAACGCAAATTTCCCTATAGTTTTAATCAGTAAAACCTGCATTTTCCAAAAGTCGTGCAGAAATACATGATCGAAACGTCGTGCATCTTTCGACAGCTCTTATGTATGATTGAATCAGGCTTTTTCCTCGTTTGACAGGCATGCTTGATAATATCCAGCTGAGATGACCAGCTCTAATCTGCTGATAATGTCTGTGTGTCAATAGACGTATGTTTACTCCGAACTGCGTAGCTAGGAAAGGTGACGAAGCTCAACTCATAAAAAACACGTGTTGAAAATTCGAAAATATCGCGGTCAACTCGCATTTTAAAACTTTTATCAGGGTCTAATCACTGCGCCGGTAAAACTCGTTATAAAAAAGGTTGAATTACCAAATTCCGGTTCCAGTACCAAAAGCCTTATGTTCACTTTCTTTGATTGGCTCAATATTTAAAGGTGTATCAGGATAATATTTTCCTAACAACCTTGTTGCCTCTTGTGCCATACGATGAGCCACCTGTAATGATTTAGACAGATAAAATCGTTCAAAATTCCGTTTTATTTAAAAGACTAGAACAATGTACACTACAGACTACGTCCTCTTTATTCGAAAAAGCAATTCGCTTGTATATACGTCTTAGTGCGGTGAATCAATTTATACCTGGATTGGTAAAACACCAGCCACGAACGCTTGCCCCCATATTCGGTTGATTGACCCTGGGTCCACCATAACGACAGATTTTAGTTGTGATGCTGGTTGTATTTTGACTTGAACCTCACCACCACCTTTGGGATAGTAACCTCTGATAATACAAAATATTTCCTTACACATTTGCCTGTCAGGAACTACTCGCAAAAACACTTTGTAAAAACTGTCACCTCATTGGAATGTCGATCTGAAAATTGAGACCAAATTTTTCTGCTAATGGTTGGAATACCTGTAAGTGTCCAAAATATAAATGCTGTTTCACTCTAAGGTATTCATTGTTTGTCAAGTATTGTTTAAAGTTGCATTAAATGTGGCACAATGACTGCCTAAAATAGACAAAAACATTTCTCAACTTTTTGACCCATTTGGTAAACAATAGTAATTACACAACATGTTATAATACACATTTAATTTTTCAAGCCTAAGGATAGTTTGAAATGGCAAAGAAGCACTGGTAAAGTAAAATAATGCACTTGGATTGCTTGGTAATTGTTTTGATATGGAGGGTTGCAATATGATATGCCTTTTATACCTGGGTCATAAAATCAATTTGTGGTGCCATCTCACAGTTAGTACCACCTTTAAGTACCACATTGCACTCAGCTGGTGCAAAAATCAGGCATGGTAAAGCAATTTGGAGAAGCAGACTGATACTTCCTGCTGTATGAGTGTCAGCGACATAATGCCCAGCAAGCACATTGCCAGGATGAAATTTTATAGAATTTGAACCAACTGATGCTCCTTCTAAATTCCCTTTGCAAATATCACGAACAAGATGCAGACCTATCAAAACATAAAACATTGTTGTACAATAGTCAGCATCCACCAGCAATTTAATAACAGTAGTGGCTATAATCACTGAAGTTGGTCAGCTATTTGTATAAAGGACCACTTTTAACTGTAGTTAAGAACAGAATTGGCCAATCAGAGTTGTGTATTTCTGAGTCAACTAGGATTTAACTATGCGAAATGTAGTTAAAGAGTTATATTACAAAATATTACTTTTGCTTTCCTTTTCTTGTATAAGCAGTGGTGTCAACAATGGGGGAGAAGGAGATCTGTCCAAATTCAATATTATTAAGGAGGGTTTATTAATATTATTAGGAATTATTGACATTATAATTAATTTTAAAAAGTTAATTTGAGAGTAAAAATTCTGATTTCCTTTCAAAAACCTTCCAAAAATTTGCCTCCTGAAAAAAAATCACTGCTTGAGCCTTGAGGCCACAAGTCATCAATCAAAAACCTGTGTAAGCTAGGTTACAACCAAGCTAGGGACAAATTCCTTATAAAATTGAGAAATCATTAATACTTTACACTGCAAGTTCTAGCAGAAGATATCTATACTTTATACCTGTAGTATGTTGGGGTCTTAATCCGGGATTGCTCCTACCAGCTCGGATTTTACAAACACGTATTGAGCGGTTTAAAAGACACGCAAATGTCACAGCATTTCGTAGGATTTGTCCACCCTGCGATAATGAATAACACAATGCCACAAACAACTAACAAAAAAATATTTTTCCAAACAAAAATACTTACTCCTTCTAATAAACTGCCGTCTATTTCCAACTCACTCCTTTCAGCCGCCATGTTGTTGCAATCTTGCAGAGGAAAAATAATGAAATATTTTCGAAGAGTGGAGGAAGAAATTTAACCAATCACCGAATATCCATAACTAATCTAAGATATCTATAACTAATCAATAATCTAATCGATATGTGACGGTCCGAACTCCGAGGTGTCCAACTGTTCATACATTTTTTTGGAGTCAGTTGTTGCTCGAATACGTTTTAATGGTTTTATAATATTACAGTACATTAGGCAATGCGCAAAGTCCATAAGGAGATTTTGGAACAAGTGTAGAATAGACAACAAGGCTCGTTTGATAGAGCCAGAGCTTACTCTGAGCTTAACTGAACAAAGTGTGAACGATGTACATTAAGAGGAGTCCAAGAGAGGTGTTTTCCGATTTTCTATCCAAAAATTGCAGAAATCCTTTAATCCTTTTTTGTTTCACAGAGTGTATGGTATAAAAAGATTCAGGTTCTTACAGCGAATTCAATTCTGCAGATACTACAGATATTATACAGGAACGCCCGAGCTAAGCGGAGCTGGGGCAGCTGCCGCTCAGACCCGCTCTCGCCTTTAACCAGGAGGGGCAAGGGGTAAAAGATGCCTTTTCAATTTAATGACAAAGTGCGCTAGCACAACGTTGGAAATACCGCAAATGAGCTTCAAGAATATCCTAATTACTGTATAATACAGAAATGCCCCACTGTCCTTTCATCGGAAAATCTTCTCCCTTTGCATGCCTTTCACATCGTTCCGCCATCCCTGAATTACGGATGTTTTTGTTTTCAAATTTTGTTTTGTCTTGCTTTGATTCCAAATCAATTTTCAAATTAACAAAGTTCACATTTCTTCGGAATCTAATGGGTTTTCGAATTTTCTATCTGCCGTGCTTATGTAAATATACTGGGGCGACCACCATTTTTGTAATCACATTAAACTCTTCGTTTTACTCAACGAATTTGAAAGGTATCACACCAATAAAATTAGTGGTAGAAATGAATGCGACAAACGCAATCAGCTATGTTTATTGGTTGCAACATCTCGGTGAGGAGAAGAAAAGTTTCACTGGTATATTTTTCACTAATATGATCTTCACTTATATACCGAAATATTTTCAATGGAGAAAATATGTGAAATATTTTCGAGGGAAAAAATATAAATCTTCTATTTGCGTTTTTATACTCAAATATTGTCTTTATTATCACGTTATCTTGCATCGATGGAAATCAGCAAAACATAAGTGTGATCTTTTGAAAAGGTTAAAAAAATGACCTTCACTCTAACTCGCAGTACCGTTTGCAAAAGTAGCCTTAGGAATGGGCAACCATGTCCGTTAGGATATTTAGTTACAAAAGGATGACTGAAAACTCATGTTCCGGCCCATTTTCGGATCGTCATTGCCATTGACGTCTCGTGGTCTTTGGCTAACCTTTCCATTTTAAGCGAACACCTACCGCGACCAATATTTGCATATGTCAATTGATATAGCAACGTAGATACACTAAACACAAGGAGAAGACAATAAGAATCGCTTACTTTAAATGGTTATGCGGTCTGATGCGGTTCCCCCTCAACAACAGGGTACTTATTATGTATTCCTTGTCAAACTGGTGTGGGTATTTTAAGTTCTACGAGAATGCATGTCAAGTCACGCATTTCGACGATTCAGGCACAAGAGAATCTATGAATTCCTTTTTTTGTAGGGAATACTGATTTTAAAAAGAGATGCAGGGAATGTAGGCGTAAATATAATTTGGGTAACTGTAATATATCCGGAGGGAATTTAACACGGCTAAATATTAAACAAAAGTGTACAAATGAATAGACAAACAGAATGAAATGAAATCAGACACAAAAACCATTTCAACTTTTGTGATTCTTTTATAACGACCTATGTTTAAAATGAAATCATATAGCTTTTATTTATCTACTCTCTTGTCTCTCGTTCAAAAGTGGGTATCGGAAAACTTTATCCGTTACAGTTTAATAGCAACATATAGTGGAATTTTGGCGAATATCAAGTATTTAATCTAGTTAAGAAACGTAATCTGCTAATTAGACAGCTGCCATATTCATTAGTATTAATAATTCAAACTCAATTTTTTTTCGAAATTTACGAAGCAGATAAAAACCTTTCGTTACTGAGAGGAATAAAACATACACGAAAAGTAGAAAACACAAAGTTGCCATAACGATCTCACATTGCTTGTATCAATCCGGAATTCTTTTTTTAATTAATGTATAATTTTAAATGAAATTGCAACATTGCTAATTCAGCTAATTAGCAATCCAATTCCCGCGTTTTTGTTCACGGTTAATAATTTATTGCCATTTTATAAAAAAAATTCTCGATTAGGAAAAAGGAGTACTGTGCACGGGGAGTGAAAAGTAATTTGTTTGCCGCTATCTTTTCAGTAGGACGTAAAATTAAAAATCTTTTGACGCGAAAAGAAAGATATTCGCGGCTGGGCGTATATACGATACGGAACCATTCTTACTGAATGAATGCACCTAACAAATTATAACCAGGAGCTTTTAATATCGAAAATGTACACTCTAAGTTAAAAGGTGGGCTTTAAATAGGGTTAATAATTGATAATACCTCGCCGTTTTAGATTACAGCCCGCTCATTGTTGACTATTTATGAGGTTTAAATCATTCAAAAACGCGCCGTCTCGAATACGTTTCGTTTGTCGAAGACCTTAGCGCCAAGCGAGGGTTATCTCTCGTTCGGAAAGATAGCATCTCGTCGAGCCGCTAAAAACGATAAAATCTACTGGGAGGAGATATTGTGGTAGGTCCAAGGTGAGTCTAACTGCGAGGAATAAGATCCAGCCACAAAATGAGTGGAAAAGATCCGGAGAGTCAAAAACTATTGGTAAAAGATGCGGACGAAGAAGAGGCGAGTCCCTCGAGTCAGAAACCGTGGTTTTATCTGCCAAGCAACAAAGAAACTACAGAAGAAAATGGTGAAACTACAGACGGAGAGAAAGATGAAATATCTTCATTGCAGACATTCTTTAATATCTGCAACGCAAATCTCGGGACGGGAATCTTGGCCATGCCTTTTGTTATTCGTCTAGCCGGCTTATGGGGTGTTGTGATTATAATCTTTATTGGATTTCTCGGCAATTATACCGGGAAAATTCTCATTGATTGCCTGTACGAAATCGATCCCTCAGATGGAAAGCGGAGGCGGGTTCGGGAGACTTATCCGCAGATTGGCGAAGCTTTTCACCCCACCTATGGGACATACATGGTCCATATAGCGAACTGTTTCGACCAGTTTTCGCATTGCGCCCTGTTCCTGATTATGATAGGCATGGTTATGAAACACGCATTCCCGAGTATAACACTTAGCGAAAGTGATTGGACTCTTATTATAGGCCTTCTTATACTCCCGACTATTTTCATTCGAAAGATGACTCAATTGGCTTGGCTTGGAACGCTAACCGCTTGGACTGCCGTCGTTATCTCCATAGCGGTACTGATCTATAGTTTCACAAAGTGGCAGAACTGGACTACTACCACGCCTCCCTTCAACATTCATACTGTCCCTATTGCAATCGGCGTTGTCATGGTGAGCTATTCGTCAGCAGCATATTTACCCAAAATGGAAACAGCCATGACCTACCCTGAGGAGTATAATAGTATAATGAATTTCAGTTACAGTGCGGTCACATTTTGGAAGTTTTTCTGTGGGGTCATCGTGTATATGACATTCACAGAGGCGACTGACCAAATCGTTGCCCTTAATGTTCCACACGGAGTTTTCCGAGGCGCCCTCTGTGTAGCAGTGGTGGTCCTTGCTCTCTTCTTCTTTACCGTTCCGGCCTTCACGATTTTCGACATCATTGAAAACCATCTGAAAATCCCGTGGCTTGCCTTTAACTACACCAACAAAAAGAGAGTCGTAGTCTCCGGCTACCTGCTTAGATTCTTCCTAATGCTGTTCACCCTAATCCTGGCCGTGTGCGTTCCTCATTTTAGCTTGCTGATGGCTTTCGTTGGCTGTTCAACTGGCATGATACTCGTTCTCATCTTCCCATGTATGTTCCACCTCAAGATCCGCTGGGCCGACTTAAAACCCTTCGATGTAGCAGCAGAGTTGTTTGTCATCGGCTTCGCATTGATTGGGGGAACATTGGGTATAATCTATTCATCACTGGCTTTGTACACTGTATATAACGAAACTTAGAAAATATCGGACAAATCGTATCTGCTGGCAGTTTGCACCCAGAACTCCCGCCACACGCATAAAGACATAGAATCGCAAATTACATTTATTGGCGTTTCACAACACTCTCTAAATATTCATGCCAGGAGATGGATAGTTAGATTGTAGGCGTTTAAATGAAATATTCAAAAAGAAATTTAGGGCGCTTCCTTTTATACGGTAAAGACGGCGAGACCGGTCCAGTTGTATTTCAGTACAGACAGATTACTGGCATTTTAAAGTTTTGCAACAAATCTACATTCACATTTATTATTTACATCTGCCTAGCATGGGAAATGCACTTCCACCGCTACATTTTTAACAAAATACTCTACTTCAGTTCAAAATATGACCGGTCTGACCATTTTGGCCCCTTAATGGAAGCGCCCTTTTATTTACATTGAGATTATATTTACAAGAGGAAAATTGGGTCCGCAGGTTTAAATTCTCCCAAAGAGAATAAAGTCGTTCTACTGGTTAGGACAAAAAGTGATGCATAAATTTTCGTTTGAATATTCTATCATTTAATCCGCCATATTGTAATGCATTTAAAACAAGGGTGTAGCAATGTGCGAGATTTTCAATTAAGATAACTTGCAAAAGGATGACAAAAGGAAACATAAATGATAAATAAACTCTTGAGAGAAATTTCTCTTTTTGTTGTACATAAAGTGATGTGAAAGAATTGAACTAATTTATCAGAAGAAATGGATACAAATTAAATTAATTTACGCGCATATTATAATTATATCTTTATCCTTGAAAGTATTAAAGTGCTTTTTTAATTTTAAGAAAAAATAACTATATTAATAATACAAAAGCCCCAGGCAGGATTGGAGGTAAATGTTGTTGAAACAGGGCAGTGGACATTCGAACACAAAAAAATTTTAAACGTTTGTTCAACAAGCAAAATATTACAGATTTTTCACCGCAGAAATTTTCCCGTCATAATAAAAGCAAGCCATAAGTGGAAACAGACGATTTTCACATGACAAACTATGTTCTGCCATGACTTGTGTCAATCGACGGACTTATAATATATCGTCATACCGGGTGACACCTCTGAATTTAGTGATCCTCCTGCTTTACAGATTTTACAAACCCATTTTTGAAACAATATGTTCACAAATATCAATCACTCACTATTCCCTCAACAGTCGCTATTAATATTATACTATACCACTCGCTAATTCTCATATTTTCCTCACATTCTATCTCCCAAGGACTGATATTAAATATAAATCAGTCCTAAAAGGAAAACGGTCATTAAATGGTTTAGAGCAGCCAGTGTAAGGGTGTTGCACTCGACCTTCTCCCCACCGTACTCAAAACTGAGTATTTTAAGTCATTTGAGCATCCACAGTTTGACTTAACCACGTTGGTTCATGTTGGGAAATCTTCTCCATAATATCGTTGACCTGAATACACAGTCCTTGTATCTGCTTGTCCCATGATGGAAGTGGTTTTTGAGCTGAAATTAACGTATTGACAGGATTTAAGTATATATAGGAAAGCAGTTGACAGAAATATCATGAAGAATGAAGACAGGACTACGCGTGTACGGCTCAATCCTGAAGTCGCTGACAGCGAAGGAATGACCTCGTTCGTTAGAACATGCACTTCACTGTACAATACTAGATTCCGCAGGTAAGATAGCAGCTCTGTCTCTGTCTTTACATATTTTTGAAGCTTGCTTAATTTTCGGTTCTCTCTCGAATCACACTTGAATCGGGAGCCCATGGTAAGATGCCTACTCCGTGTAACCCCAGTGGCCCGAAACATGATGATCAATCTTGTTGTCAAGCTAACGATACCAACCAATAGGGCAATAATGTTAGGCAGTGGAATGGGGTCAATTATAAAATTTGCAAAAAACATCGCTCCTTGTACTCACTTTCAAAATGGACAACAGCGTCAATTTGATCAATAGATCCCGTCATTCGGCCCTCCGATATCATTTGAGAAGCTATTCGTTCAGCCTTGAACAAAGTTTCGTGAAGTTACGAACAATTTACTCTTTATATAAGCATTGCAACTGGTCATACCAGAAAAATCTCAATGTTCTACCTTTGCTGCCGATATTTCGAGTAAGGCGCCCAGTTCTTGAAACGTTATGTTGTTATACAGTTTACTGGCTGATAAAAGATTATGTTCAATAACAGCACGGTCAAGAATACTCGACCCTAAAATAGAAGAGAAAATAAGATACTCGAATTCAAGTTATAAGGCTGATATCCAGTCGTAATGTATAAACAAACGCTTTGGTTACATTTTAAACTGTTATATTCTGTGACGAGCTGTCTATGTGTCTGACACATTATTGGATCGCTATGGTTTTAAATGAGTGCAGGAAAATCCGAAACATGTAAAATTTAGGCAATTTTCAAATTCGCGGATTCGCCTTGTTGTGACCGTCCATTACCTTTTTTCTTTAACTGATAAACTATTTTTATCAAATTTCGGGAAATTTTAAGTGGCAATAAACTCTTCAAATTCAACTTCTCTGTAGCGAAAACGTGGTTCCGAGTGATTTAGATGATACAAAAATATTGGAGAATTCGAACTAGATTAAAACGGAATGATAAATATATAAACTATATCTTCGCGAGGTTGTACAACATTTTACAACCAATTTATTATTCCAGCTGAACAAATTCATAATCAGTTCAGGTTTAAACAGTTTTAATAGTGTGTACGCGAGTAGGTCATATGGAATCGGCCAATTGACCTCCTCACATCAGGCTATAAATGCATATTAGATTAATTAAAGATCACATGAAGTATCTCATTGATTGTGAGAGAAGGGTGCGCCAAGAAACTGACACTAACCATCTGCCATTGTGGCTTTTTGGTGTTCTTTCAATAACGTTGCGAATTCCTGAAGTTCAGAACCACGGATAATTCGATCTAAATACCTGTAAAGAAATCAACAAACACTTATCACAATTTTTCCCCGGCGGCGTCAAAATAGACAAGCCAATCGCGGGCACTTTTGGGGCTGATACTTGAAAACACGAACCATTAAAGCACCATAAGCGGGTGCATTAGAAGTGCAATATATTTTTCTTGAATTCTTAGCCGATACTAACTACAGCCTCGATTAGTTAGAGTTGAAATTCTAGTGTCTGTTTTAACTTCGAATACAACCGTTGCTGGAAGGTTTAGATAGTCTCCCCCTTCATTTGTTGACCAGGGGAGATCGTCGACTACAGCAGTATGCAACCCACTGTTGCAACTTCATTTACAGTTTTACGTATAAAATGGCTTTGCAGTCTAATTTGCTGACAAGGACGATTATCAGGAATGATGGTGCTTTATGACCCCCTGTAAAGAACCTCACCAAATTCTTCCTCGCCAACCAGAGTATTAAAGTCATATCCTAATCTAGCGAGCTTACATTTTGCGTAAAATTCCACAAGCTGGAAGCTGTTGACATCTTTCATCTTTGAACAATGTCGCTAACATTCTTGATCTTTGTTGACCTACAATAATTACAATCCCACTAGGTAAATGTAGTGTGTCTGTGGGAACTCTTCTCTGCTTCAATTTCACGCAAATTTCCTTCATTGCAGCGTATATCATCGCCTGGCTTGTGTGATTGAGGAATTATCAATATCAGTTCTTTTCACTTCTCATCCAAAGGCCTCGAAAAATGAGTGCGGTTTGAGGGACTTAGGGCCTGTCGAAGTGAAATGTCGAAGTTACAACGAAGTTCTTACATAGACCTGCTATCTTACCTGCTGAAGCTAGTATTGTGCAGTGAAGTGCGTGCTCTAACGAGGTCATTCTTTCGCTGTCAACAACTTCAGCACGATAGGATATTTCTAAGTATCTTTGTGCTGCTTCAATGAACTTTCGACGATAATCCAAAACTCTTGCATAGCAAACCTGATAACAATTATGTCAAGGTTGAACAATGTGTAGAGTTTGATAAAGGAGATTAACATTGATATTGCAAATAGTTTTGATTAAAAAGATCATATTTATAGAGAGGTTTACTGGTCTGTTCAGAACGAGATACTTTCCAAAAAGTGTACTTTGTATTAAGACAGTAAAATGGGATGATGTAGGTACATTGTTTTCTTGGCTACCTTGTAAAGCATTTGAAGGCCAGTATTTTTCGTATCAGCTTGGATAATTGAAGCTCGATTGATATACGCTTCAGCATTGATAGGATCTTCATCTTCAAGGTAGAGTTGAGCAATCTTTAAATATGTCTCAAGCTTGTAGTCAACTGTGTATTGCCTAAAAATATCAGAAAATAGTATTCAAAAACTAAAGTCAATCAACCTGTATCAACCTGTAGACAACTAAAATAGTTATGTTTCCTCTAGGGTGCCTTAGTTTTGCACAGATAATTGCCTTTTGCATGAAATACCAATAGATCATGAAATTTAAACATGTAAAAGAAGATTTGTTAAAATCTAGAATTGGCCAAGAATATTCGACATACTTTTGTCCAGTCTCCAGTGGAATTGCAGCAAGAACAGCAGCTGCTTCTTTCCAACACTGTTCATTCTCATATATTGTTGCTAAATGCTGTCGGATTGTTGCAACCTGTTGGTGCAGACAAAAAATTGTATAGGTGCTGTGATATATATGGTGACGATAAGATTGTGGTGAAAATAGTGTTATAGTTATGACCAGGATAAGAAGCTATATAACTAAAGAACACCAAATGTCAGAAACCATTAGTTGTGTTGTAATTTCGACCACACACATGTACGCCCCATAGCCCTTGTGTTAATTTTCTACTCCAGTGATACTACCGTATTCTCTCTATAATCCTGGGGGGAGTGTGCTTATTCTTTTCAGACTCTTTAGAGGGGAGCTTGTTAGAGAGAGGGGGGGGGGGTTGATTGAGAGGAGGGGCTTATTTAGTTATCCATAAAATCGCAGATCATTTTCCACAAAATGTAAGGTACATTTATAGTATTATAGAGAAATAAAATACACATCATCACAACAGCAAGTTTTAAAATGTTTAGCAAGTTCAACAGTTTGAATAGTTACGGAGGGAACCGCACATGAAATTGGCTATTATAGAGCCAAAAATTAAAAACAAATTAAAAAATTGCATGAAGAGATGTGTTTTTTTAATGCATTTCTATACATTAAAAAGGGGGATTAATAGAGAAGAAGAAGTAGACTTTAAATTTCATTTCGGAGAACAATGTAGAAAAAAAATTCATCTTCTGAGAACAATGCTAAACATTGCTGATGGTAATAAGAATGGTAGTCATTGTTAATTAGTGTAGTACAATTACACAATACAGTTTATGTTATATCCAGATAAAAAATACCTGCTCTTCAAACGAGATGGCTCGTGGTTGAAGTTTGACCAAAGCATAAAGTGAAACGTCTTTGGTAACAGAAGTATCCAGTGATAAAATATGATTACAAAGATCTGTCAATAATTGTCGTGACACCACTGAGCTCACACTTTCACTACCAACTAAACAATTTAAAAAGTTTTTTTTTGAGGATCTTTACGATCAGGAGAATTGGCAAGGGCTTTGGCTTTGGTCCAGAGATTCATTAAATCAGCAAATGAAGGTTCCCGTAAGTCAGACTCAAAGTACTGATAATTTGTAGGCAATGGCTGAATTACACATTGCCAAGCTGCTCTCTGGATTTATTATTTCGTTATGATGTGTGGTTCTGCAAGTACCTAGGTAGTAGTCGTCGTCGTACCACCGTAGTAGCTGTAGTCCAGTACTGAGTACTGATATCTGAAAGTTGTTAAAACTACACAAACCTGCATCAATAAATGACTTAAGTCCCTCCACAAGTTCTCCATCTTTTAAGGCAACAATATGGCCAAAAATTGCTCTATATTTCTCGGTCAGATCTTTCGGAGGGAGTCCGCTATTTAGTAAACCAGCAAGAGATTGTCTAATTTGAGCCGCCATTTTGCACCCGATTCGTGTATAGTTCTTCTATCGCGAAAAAGGCAACGTATTGGCAAAAAAGGGCGCAATCGATTTGCGAAATGAAACTGTTAAGGGCACGATCAGGTACGATTTACGGCAATAATATTTACGGCTGTGCGTAAAACGTTAAACCATAGGCGGCCCAAAATTAGCGGCCGAAAAATTTTTCGGCAATTTGTCAATGTAATGTATAATATATAATTACATATATTATACATTACATTGACAAATTGCCGAAAAATTTTTCGGCCGCTAATTTTGGGCCGCCTATGGTTAAACTTGCTGTACATACAAATGTGAATTTTGCCCATACAGCAAAGCAAATCATTTCAGTTATTGAACCCACAACCTTCAACCTCATTAAAATCTACATACACAGCTAAATGTTTTCTATCGTGAGGCTTCTATATGTCTTGGGTATTCTTACAATGGCAAATTTCTAACGTATATAATATATTTATAGGGAGTGGGAGCAAAGGGAATCCCCTTCTCTCCAGAAAAGCCTTGAAAACGAGGTTGCCTTGAGTGGTATTTGTAATGTTGAGTAAATAACTAGAGTAATTAGAATAAGGCGGGAAAGGAGAGAACAACACGGCACGCATGTGAGTAACGTAAGATAATAGAGAGGATTTTGTGTACATGATTTAGTATTAAAGATTTTTTATTAAAGAACTTTACAGTATTCTATAGTTGTACCTGATTTTGCAAAATGAGCTTGTTCAGAATGCAACGCAATACTGGGAGCCAGTTCCCATTCGAAGATTCGATTGGTCGAATACGCGAAACAAGGGCCATCAATGAGTGAATCACTTGTTGTTGCCCAACTTGTTTCCTGGAAGCAAGCTCACCAAAAGAAGTATGAAACACATATCCCACAGAGAGAAAACACCTTTATGTAAAAATAATTTTATTCTAAAAATTCTATATACTAGACCGTAATATACGAATATACATTACTTACGAAGTAGAATTGAATTGATAAAATAGCAGCAAATAGCGCTACTACGTGTATATACCTCTCTACTTGTTTACCCAACTAAAGGCAAATAGATTATAAATACGCATGCGTGCATTAAAGTTTATAGTACAAAGTACAAGGAGTGATTCTGAAAACTACTCCAAAAATGGCATGTTAGATGGCATGATACGGTAAATGCACTTAAATTCGACCTTGAAAAATTACTAGCAAAGTACCTTTAGAGGGTAAAAATGAGGTATATATCGCTACCTTACACCATTAAATATTTACATAAAATTAAACTTTAAGTTAAATAGTACAGCAAAAATATATTATCTTGTTCTTACAGCGCAAGATGCAAAGAATATATGGGGATATATTGTTCAGTCATTCATGACGTTCACTTCAAAGGAGTGAATAAACGAATCCAGATTCGTTTTTGTTATTTTAATGTACACTGTCTGCAATAGACATTTAAAACTAGAGATTGGTCGGCGAGAATACACAATTTTCAATTTTGGTAAATTTTTCGTATATCCTCGGAGACGAATCGTGACTTGATATTTACTTATCAGGCCACACAACAAGGATGCATAATTCCTGAGAAGGGACGAAAATACCTAAGGTTTTGAGGTATTAAAGATAGAAAGTTGTCAGTTGACCGAATCTAACCTTGCCAGGAAACAATGAGAAATGCAGACTTTGTTGTGTGCCATGACGTTGTTACAAGCTAACCTTAGTCTTGCCCTCCGGGCGCTATAGGTGCCTGAAGTGCTAACCATTAACCTGTTAATCAGGCTTTTTAGATCACTCACTAGCTAGCAGGTCGAGCAATCTGAGTTCGACGATCGTGATGAGGATGAACACCATTGTCCATCAGGCGAGTTAGACGTTGGTGACAGTTCATACGGGGAATTATGGTATTGACGATCACGGTTCCTTGGCCCACGATGGTGATAAACGCCATTCATTTGTACTGTAGGCGCAAGTTGCTTCATCGGCCCGTTATTACACATTGAGTTCCAAGCAGTCACTTCGGACGGCGATTGCACCCAGGTTTTTGTAGGTGGTCCTTGTGCCCTTTGACGCAAACGAGCCGGATTATCCACACCATTGGGCAAAATAACATTTTCAGGGGGGTACTGACTCGCGTATAAACAGTCCTGGTTTCCTGCTTGTTGGTTATTGGGGTTATTGAACAGCATGGTAAGATCCGCTAGATCAACGGCATTCTCGATATTCAAAAACTCCGGACTCAACGTTTCGTCGCAAGGTTGGTTGACATAGCCACCAATCTCTTCAGCGAACGAGTAGAAATCCGCGTCCGGGATGCCGCCATGGATTGGGTCCGAATCTCGAAGTGGTGACATCATATTGTCCATGTGTTGAAGCGGTGGTGATAAGGTCGAATTTGGTGGGCTGACACTTCCACCGTAGCTATTATTGCTGAACGGTGATAACCCTTGTCTAGGCGAGGTGCTATTGCTAGGACTATTACTAACCAGCATAGCAACGTGCACGGGTTGTTGACTTTCGCTGTCGTTTCGTGATTTTCTACGCTTTTTTCTATTAGGTTTCGGATGGGTTTCTGGACGCCCTGCAATCCCAGGGCTTCCGTTCGTTTTAGGCCTCACATCGGGTGGTGAAAGTGTTCTGGCGGCAAGTGGAGACATGTCTTCGTGAGGGGAAGTCGGTGCCGGGGCAGCGGTGGGAGATTTACAGCCAATTGACCAATCAGAGAGTAGCTTAACAATATCAGCGTGTTCTCGTTGCTTAGCAATGTCCAATGGCGATTGATCCATGTTGTCAGCTAGCTTCCGATTGGCGAATGAAGATAGAAGCATTTTGACCACGGATGCACTGCCTTCCTTTGATGCGAGGAATAATGGAGTCTGACCCTAAGACAAAATAAATGAAATATTGGTCTCGTGATTTGAGTAGATTTTTTCACACCATCGCCTGTGATACACCAACAGCCTACGATTATATAACTATTTTTACTCCCAATTGTAATTCAAAAAATTTGTTTCTGAATTACGTACTTTCGAGTCTTGGGCGTCTTTCTTTGCATTATTCTTGAGAAGAAGAGCTGTTGATCTCTCATTATCCACTGAAGCTGACCAATGTAGAGCTGTCTTGCCTAAAATTGTAAAAACAGTTGCTTGAAACAGTTCCTCGTATTTAAATGATCTCATATGATACCCGAGATATACCTTGTTTATCGGTTAAATTCACTTTCGCTCCCGCTTTAATCAAATCTTCGACCATATCGTCGACCATGAATCGAGCGGCATAGATCAAAGGCGTCGTTCCATCATCGGACTGAGCGTCAAGTTCCGTTGTACGATGTCGGAGCAAAAGCTGCAGATTAACAAAACCTCTTAATGGTGTATTCATTAAAAAAACCCAATCATGCTAACAAGTCTACCTATTACAGTCAAAAGCAATTCAAAAAGACCGATTAATTAACCTTGCATGCATTTTTTGGAATGACTCCAGTTCCTTACCTGGAATACTCCCTGTGCATCAGCAGTCACAGCTAAATGAAGAGGAGTCCTGCCAGTTCTATCACGTGCATTGGCGTCAGAACCAGCATCGAGCAACCTCTTAGCGGCATCTGCACGCGCGTGTCTCGCGGCAAAGTGCAGTGGCGTCTCCTTTGAATCATCAGACCGCGACTCCAGCCCCGCGCCAAACTGAATCAACTCTCCGACGACCTACAGATTGATAGCAAATCTTTCTTTAGAACCAGAAAATCGGAGTTATGAAAATTTCCCTCGTTCCCGGTTTGTATACACACGCACAGTACAGTTCTCACACACAGAAAAATGTAATCGATTGCTTTCATACATAAACTAGGGATCCAAGGATAGTGCAAAGTTTTCATGCCCTGTAATACCTAAGCAACACGTTTTCCCAACATAAACATTTTGACTTATGCCAGTAAAAATATAATGAACTAGGTTAAACATTAATCAAAAGGAAATTATTCAAAGTACTCAAGTTACGTTAGCCGCGGATACTGTCACTATTAAATTATAATTTTAGTTGCCCATGTAAACCGGACGCGATTTTCTCAGTTTAGTCTCTTTTCTTCGTCAAACAACCCTGACTACATTCACTACATTTATATGATGGCAACAATTTATCGTCATTTCATAAGAATAGCCAAAATAGTTGCGTTGTAAATAATGTAAATAAACCGCGGTGTATATTATGTCTATGATGTGGATACTTCGACGCGTAGCTAAATCGATACAAAACAATATACATATAATCAATACTGTATACCGCCAAAATGATTTGATTACTGCACAAAATGTCCGTTTTGTATAGTATCATTTATGTACTGTATGCAGAATACCAGGTATCGACTTGCTATATATCGACATAATATATATTCGTCATTCGTGTAAGAGATCTATCAATACATAAACAACACAGCGTCGTTTCTTCCTAACCTCTTATGAAGCTCTATTTATGGAATAAACCTTCCAAATTATATTTGTGTCGAATTGAATGCTCGTAATTCATAACATAAGTTGATAAATTGCGTAGATTCTCAAAGAATTGCACGATTTTTACGCTCCGAATGTTTTGAAGCAATGCTCGTCGCTCCTCGTTTCTTTACATCGTGAATAATGTTGAAGGCTCGACGGCACATGCGCAGTTGCGACGTATAGGAAAAAATCGGGTGTTCCGGGGGTAAATCTGCGCAAATCCCTTTGAAACAAAACCCAAACCGCGGAAAAGGAATGCTTTAAAATTTACAGTAACCGTCAAAATTCCTCAATATTTTGGTGAACTTAGCAAAAGAAATGTAGAGAATTAATAAATAAAGCAAGTTAAACTGATTTAAAAACTTTAAATTACTGATTATATACAAAAAGCTACTATACGCATAAAAACACTCCGCCCCCCGGAGTTTACACTATGACTGATTGACTGTCTGACTGTCTGATGTGAATTTTCGCCACTCACCACAATACTGCAAAGTTTCACAGAAACTTTGCACTAAAAATGATATTTTGAGGTCTTCTCAGTTAATCAAACTGATGGGAGACGTTTTAATATCAACTCGTAATCGATTCAGATATCAACTGTATGCATTCTTCGTCAAATATGAATTACTTTAATAACTTTTTACTTTTCTCGTGAAAAATTGTACCGTACTTAATAAGATGGTCAACAGAACCAAGATTTAACATAGTTATGATACGTACGTGCGCCCCGCTATCATCACTATTATCATCTTCATAAGTACCATCGAGATAATTCCCTCTGGACGCTGCCAACATCAGGGGGGTGATGCCTCCAGGTCCCACAGCATTCACATCAGAATGTTGAGGGGTCGCACACTCCTGACCTTCTTGAGGTGGCGTAAGTACTGAGAGACTGGAGAGAGTTCTATTGTTTACGTTCGCGACTTCTTTATGAATCGCCGTCCATTGTCGGTTGTCTTTTGGATTCGCGATTCTCATTGGCCCATCAGATTCGATAAGTTTGAAACGCTTAGGTGGACGAGCGCCAGCGTATTGCTGTTGGTCGTATGCATCATCTGCAATCTCTTCTGATGAACTGCTTTTACTCACAGAGCTAAGAAAGAGGACGTATTCTTAATTAGACATAGGCATTTCGGAAATATCTGCATATTAGGAATGATTTTTAGAACACAACAAGCCTAATGCTCTCCTAATTGCCTGCGCACGCTTTAGTTTGTTTGCTATGTGATATCTTCTTTGCCCAGGTTCTGCTTGAAATAATCATCCTTTTCAACCCGTGTGTGTGCTGTATTCGTTTACCTCTTTTCGGCCGAATCCTCTCCAACCGGGTCCCGACGTTGTGATCGGCGCCTGACGTGACGTGTCGGGAAACCTTCGGGCAACCAAAGCTTGGCAAAGACTCTCTTGCCACCGACGAGAACACCAACAACAATGAGAGGAATAGTCACGCATAGAATGGCAATAAACAAAGGACTCATTGATTCTGGAGGTTTTTCATCACCAGGATTCTCCGTTCCTGGGTAAACAAAGGTCAAAATTAATGCCAAAGGAAATTTGAAGGATTGAGAAAGGGAGGGTTTAGGATTGTTTCTTGAAATATTTAGTTTTCTGAATACAATTTCGTTGATTTTGCTTGTGCCATAACGTTCCATTGAAGGCCTTGCTTGTAATCATTGCACCTGCTTACCTATTTTGAACGGTTCGCCTGGAAGAGACGTGCCTTTAGTTTTCCGACCGGCCAGGTAATTTGCAACCTGTTCATTTGAGTTGAAACAATTTTTTGTACACTTTCTGTTGTCAACTTGGAGTTTTACCTTTGTTCTACAAGGTAAATATATCTTCAATTAGAACAAAACCAAGTACACGCAAAATATGAAACAAATAATTAACTTGCTCACTAAAAATAATCGCATATACAACCACGCACAGTACCCCCCGCCAAAAAAACGTCATACACACCCTGAGCCACTCTCGGAATCACGCTTGAATCTAAACACTGATCTCCTCTTGCGCTTTACACTCCCAATATCCTCAATTTCTTCAATCGACTTGATGGATACAACGGTTCTAAGAATAACTGAAAGTTCCAACAAGAACGTCCCCTTGTTTTTCTTGAATTCATCCACCTTCACTCGTAACCATAATACCAACACACCTTTGAGCTGTGAATTGAAAAACGAACCCTTAATTTTCATTCTATTGGATCTCACACTTTGTAGAAACTGCTATACGGAGTTAATAGGTACATGCACACACCACGAGGTTTTACAAGTATATTAAGTATATCAAGAACTATCTTACCAGTTGAGGAGGTGAATTATCACAGTTCAGGCCGCTATAAGCACATCCTAACGAGTCACAACTCTGGTCACAAACCCCATCAACAAGTTTCTTTGAGCATCGTGCTACGTCACTATAATATGAATACAATACATTGAATCGAACTAATATACAACTCCAGGTTATGTATGTAGGCCAAAGGCCTTTTTGACCATAAAGCGTAATTAACCTGGGGCCGGTTGTGTGTAAACTCTTTAACTACACTTTGCTAGTTAAATCCTAGTTAACTCAAAAATACACAACCCTGATTGGCCATTACTGTCCTTAACTACAGTTAAAAGTTAACTAGTCTTTTATACAACTGGCCCCTGAAGGTTAATCTGACGTTGTCAACAAGTTATTTTGTAAATTAATTTTTACCAAGGCGCCTTTTTGCGTTTCTGCTGTTTAACTGACGGTGATCGAAGTGAAGTGAGAAGTAACTGAGCATTAATTTTTTATAAAGTGTAAGCTTGTATTCGCGAAACAGAGGTAGATTAGATAAAACGTGCAGCTCATTTCCTTGCTTTTAATGTCAGACTCAACCTTTGACAATTGTTCTGAAAAGTGTTGGTGATCCAACCTGTTGTATTACGGCTAATCAACAAAATAAAGTTGTACCTGCAAGGCGTTACAGGACCATCGCAATCAAAGCCATCAAACATACAGTTTGGGTTGTTACACACTGGATTACAGGTCCCATTATTGTTGAATAACCGAGAACAATTTTTAATGCCACAATCATTCCAAGGATTGCGATCTAACGAACACGATCCGGACATAAATTCGCACTTTTCGATGTTGCATTTATTCTAGAAAAAAAAGCAAATTAATAGATGCTGGCATTATGTAATATATATAATGTACAACTTTTGTAGGACAGATACGGCAAAAGAATGAACAATTCTATAAACTTACATTGCAATCAGCATTGACATTAAATTCTTGCGGACAGCTGTAAGGACAGGATGAGTCCTTTCTTTCACATCTCTCACCAGTGAAGTCATCTGTGGAATGAAAAATATAGCAAGATGAGTTTATATCGACCACTACAACAACCAACTAGCAGCAGGACCAAAAATAAAACAACAGCATAGAACGAAAATGAAGTTTTACGCTATATTCTTCATGAAATTTTTTATTTTAATTCAGAATATACTGTATATAACTACTTTGGCCGCTTAAATTAAGGAAAGCGCTCTATGGCTCGAAACCAACCAACATTCAACTTTCAAGTAACACTTACCTTTACACACACACCGACATTGATTTTCATCAAGCTTTCCCCCATTCGCGCAAGCCAGCTTGCATTTCTTCTTAAGCTGACATTTCTTCCCACTATAACCAGGTTTGCAGTTTTCGCACGTATAATCACCGTAGCCATCAATACACCTTGCTGCATTCTCACATGCCTTTGACGTACAATCGTTTCTATTGAACTCGCAATGCCGTCCTGAGACTCCCTTTTGGCACGTACAGTTGTAATGATTCTGAATATCTTGACAAGATCCATCATTCATACACGGCCGATCTGCACAACTTGAAACCTGTTTTTCGCAGTTTATTCCACTCTTTCCGTACGGGCACTCGCAGACATATCTCCCAATTTCATTCCTACAAATACCTCCGTTCAAACATGGGTCACTTAAACATTCATTGATATCAAACGAGCACGTTCGTTTTGTATAACCAGGTTTACATTTACAGTAATAATCATTGTGAAGATCAATGCACCGCTCAGTTCCTTCTGGCGAACATTGGTCAAGCGAACACTCGTTAACATCTTCCGCGCATCTCTTTCCAGTGAAGCCAGGTTTACATTTGCACTTGAAATCCTTCAATCCATCCTCACAAACCCCACCATTCAAACAAGTATCGTTACTACAATCGTTCGGATTCTCGGTGCAATTTTTTCCAACCCAGCCGCTGCGGCAATGACAAGCGTATTCATTAATCAGATCAATGCACTGACCATTGTTCTTGCAAGGATTAGACGCGCATTCATTGATGTTTATCTCGCAGTTTCTGCCAGTAAAACCAGGAAAACATTTGCAAGTGTAGTTTTGAGTCCCATCCAAACATTTTGCGCCATGTTTGCAAGGACCACCAGCACAATCATCAATGTCTATCTCACAATAATACCCTAAGAAAACAATACACATGGATATAACCATCTCATTGCCTGGAAGTATTTCATAATTATACCTTATTTAACTTATTTCACACAGTGGGGTTAATGGATGGTAATGCACAAGAGTGTCTGATAACTTTATTGATAAGAATTTGTTTCACTGATAGAACTATGTTGGCTATATTTAGAACATATATTACAAACCTGTGAATCCTGGCTTGCAGGTGCAGGTAGAGTATGTACTCCGTTCAACGCACGTGCCCCCATTTTTGCATTTGTTAGCATCAGAGCACAGCCAGTTTTTGACGTGACACAATGTCCCTGTGTAGTTTTTTGGACAATGACAATTAAATCCCTTCCCTTCAGTAATGCATTTCGCATTGTTTTTGCAAGGTTTCCTGGCACACCAATCAATTTGTTTCTCGCAATTGTGACCTAAATTGCAAAAAAAAATTACCATGTGCCCTTGTTGGAATATACAAAACCTTTATAAAAAATACCTTCGTATCCAAACATACAATAACAACTGTAGGACCCGATTCCATTGACGCAAGTTGCTTGATTTTGACAGGGCTGAGTTTTACATAAATCGTCTAAATATTCACAAAATACTCCATAGAATCCAACAGGACAAACGCAGGATGCCTTTAGCTTTCCATTCTTACAAGTGCCGTTATTGTAACAATATCTACACAAAATTAGTTGACCAAGTTAATTCCCACGGACATTGTTCTAACTCGTTTTAACCAGACAAGGAACAGCCTTGTCGGAATGGGACAGTTAAGTGATGTTATATTTCTGACATGGTTCCGACGGAAAACTTCAACTGTTGGGCTAGTATTGTTTCAAACAATACTAGGCAAACACTTGAATGTTTGTATACTTTTCACATTTGATTTGAAAAACTTTGCAACATGGGCTTCCAAACTCAACTTACTTATGTTTACAATAATCAATAGCGACATCACAGTTCTTTCCCGACCATCCTGGCTCGCATTTGCAACGATAGTCATTCACATCATCGTCACAGCTACCATGTTGACAAGGAGATGACGAGCATTCGTTGATATTGATCTTACAGTATTTTCCAGTGAATCCCGGGGAACATTTACATAAATATGAGCTTCCATTGATCACGCAAGTCGCCCCATTTTCGCAAAAGTGTGTTTGGCAGCTGTCATTCGGAATCGTACAGTTCTTGCCTAGGAAATGATTTTAAACAAACAGGTAGTATATTGTATTTGACTTTGCCCAATGCAAACCGGATTACGATAGGACACAAGATCCTTAAGTTGGTATTAACACCGTCCTTACCCGCCCAGTCAACTTCATAGTCGGAGGAAACCACACTACAACCCCCCCCCCCCTAAGGTGGCGCCTGGTGAGGATAGGCTCCAAATCTAAGGCATGGGACTGTAGCAATGACCCGAAAACTGTGATTCCTACAATTACACGTTAAATAACTACCAGGAGTTCAGCCTTCCAGCCTCCCTGTCGGGGACCTTAGCCCCTGTGTCGGGGAATTCCTGGCGCCACCCCTGCTTAAGATCATCTGTCTATGGCACAATAAGCCCCTTAACTTATATTAACAGCAATAACAAACTACTTACCTGTCCATTTCTTGTTACACTGACAAGTGTACCCAGCAACACCATCTACACAAATCCCTTCATTCTTACAGGGCTGAGCTTCACATTCATTAATATCTTCTTGACAAAGTTCCCCCCTGAAGCCAGGATGGCAGATACAAGTGAAATTGTTTAACATGTCCTTGCATATCCCTTCATTAAGACATTTGACACTGGCACAATCATCCACGTCTTTTTCACAATCTTGACCTAAACGAACAAAATAAATCCAGGCATTTCAAAACTCTAACTTATTTCAAAATTGAGGCCCAATTATTACTGGGACAATATGGCTTGTTATTAGTCCAAAACCTCCCAAGGAGCAAGGGATATTCCCTTGTCCCTTGGCTGCAAAGGTACAACACTCACCTGTGAAACCTAACGGACAATCACAATTATAACTTCCATGTGTATTAGTGCAGTTCCCTTTATTTTGACATGGATTTAATTCACATTCATCTTTATCGTTCTGACAAAATGTACCATTAAATCCTGATGCACATAAACATGTGTATTTGTCAATACCGTTGATACAAGTGGCATTGTTCTGACAGTTCGCTGAAAGGCATTCATCTATATCAATGCTACAATTCGAGCCAGTGAACCCAGGTGTACAAGTGCATTTGAAAGTGCCACCTATAGTTTTACAAGTTGCGTTATTTTGACATGGACGACTTAAACAATTATCCAACTCAGTATCGCAGTTTGTTCCAGTGTATCCTAAAATAAACATAGAAAGAATTAGACTCAACCAACTTTTACTGGTTGTCAATGCATTGTGGTTTGAAGTTGGAAATTATTATATCCAGCTCTATCCAGCTTCTAAAAAAATGTTTTCAATCGTTCACAAACACAAGCTATACTGCCTATAATAGGCTATAGCTTACGTTCATACCTACCACTTGGACATTTGCAGCGATAAGAACTGTCCTGATCAACGCACTGTCCTCCGTTTTTGCAAGGCACGCTCAAACATTCATTTACTTTCGTCTCACAATATTTGCCAGTGAATCCTCCTTTACACAAGCAATTAAATGTAGTCCTGTAATTTTGGCAAGTCCCTCCATTTTGGCATGTATCACTTTTACAATAATTAATCTGTTGATCACAGTGGAAACCTAAAGGCACAAATTATTTTTGTAGTGCACGTTATACCAGGACAGGATGGTTGGAACCAAGAGAGAAAATTTTGAAAATTTGACGCCTCTAGCTCATTAGAAACGGACTCTTGGGTATATCAATAAAGCCTTTTTGTAGGAAACAATTACCAGAATGCAATAAGAGCAATATATTCACAACAAACCTGTACGGCCTTCTTTACAGACACACCTATATGATCCAGGCGTGTTTGTACAATCAGAAACACTGCTATCACATGGTGATGGAGTCACAGTACACTCATCAATATCACTTTCACAGTACATGCCAGTATACCCCAGATGACATCTGCAGTTTGCTGATCCATTATTGTTTATGTCACAAATACCATTGTTGCAAATATTTTTCTTTTGAATACACTCATTTATTACCTCACAATGAATGCCTGTAACAAATAGCAATTAAGGACCAGCAATTAGGCATAAGACCATAAAATGGCAATGTATTTCATTTGTCAATTGAATGAAGTTGGGGTGTGGTTGATTGTTTCTAAGATATCTAAGATATCTTTGGATCTGTATATGGTCAATGGCATGCATGCGGTAGTTTGGCTTATGAAATACTTGTTGAATGCGTGATTCCTGCTTTGTCTTTGCCAATACCACAATATTTTAACCACCATATTTGTCAATTGAATAAAGTTAGTTCAGGGCAGCAGAAACAGAATTCCTGAAAGGACCACTTTTATTTTATGTTAAGAAAATCACATAATGAAGGTTTGAACTTAATCACAAAGATTTGCATGTCAACAGGGGAATGTACTTTTAATAGGAATCAATGTGAAGAGCATGCATAGCATTATTAGAGGTTGAAAGGCAGTTGGGGCAACTTCCCCTGTATCCTAATGTTTCCAGGAACTCTAGTGTGCACGTTAGGTAAGATCAATGCATTTTATTTTATTGGCATACTTTATTGTCTTAGACAGTCTCACTTGTGAACTGAGCTTTAATTTGTTTAACTAATTGGCAGGTGACAACTACTTTTTTTTGAATGAGTGAAAAGTACATTAGGCATACAAAAAGATAGTAGAGGCAATAGGAAGGCATACATGGGATGTCTTGGTGAACGCTAACAAACAGATATAGTTTGCCTTTCCTCCTATTACTGACCCAAATTTCTGTTACAGAGCCTAAAGAACAGTTTTGAAGACTATTGGAGACCAATCCTCCTTTGCTGACAACCTGCATATGGACTAGTAAGCAATAAATCAAAATTACCTGTAAATGGATCCACACATTTACAAGTGTATTTGCCAGCTCCATCCATGCATGTGCCATTATTTTTACAGTTTGTTGTACCATTTTGCGTAACACACTCATCGTTGTTTATTGAACAGTTCTTTCCACTGAAGCCAGCATTGCAAGTGCATCTGTATGAACCCTCTTCATTGTGACAACTTCCACTATTCTGACATATATCAGGTTTAATATCACATTCATTAATGTCTTTTTCACACATGCTACCAGTCATTCCATGCGGACAGCTGCAAGAGATATTGTATACGATTAATTTGAGGTTTGGAAGGGCCTAATATCCCAGACATGAACTTAACATATAGATGGACACACATTAATGTCGAAGAGTGAGCCATTAGTGAAACTATAAGATCTGAAACAGCCTTTGCTAACATTAGGAAAAGAAAGCATTTATTTCAGATTAATTAACAACATGAACAAGAAATTCATGACTGCACAAAAACTTTTCTTGTAATTAATTAAGGCAAATGGGAATGAAAAAAATGAAATGTTGCTTGCATATATACTGGATATATCATGACAAATTTCAATGTTTAACTTTGACATGACTTAACAACTAGGACAACATTATATTCAAAACAAATGTGATATAACTTTATCATCCTTGTAATCAAACTCTTTGGGAAAAGTAGGTAACTAAAAATAACTTCAACCAATGTGTGGCTATTTCCTATTCTTCTGCATTCAAATCCCTGACAAAATTATTTAAGTAAAACAATTGTAAGAAATTGCCTCCCCTTAACAACATAAATGAATGGTATTGCTTTGCATTTAGATAAAGCGAGTCCTTTGAACAGATGGTAAATTGATTTATCTTAACATGCTAGATATCATATTCCAGCAGACAGACAGACACTTAGAAGATTGTATTTAAAAGTGCATATTTTTCAAACAAGTTTCGTCACTATTAGTGACATAGAAAACAATGAAAAAAAATTGTGTTCCTAAGTTCATGGGAAATCTCTCTAATATTTTGTTAAAGAATAACTCCTAGAAAAAAAAGGTAATTAGTTATCTGAGGGCATCCCTGCTGTGCAGCATGTTGAAGTGATTATGATTATTTCAAATATGTTCTAAATACTTTTACCCTAACTAACACGCTTCTTTCAGTAATCTAATGTTTAGTAAAAATTCTATTTTACAATTTTGTGAAAAAATTATTGCCATCATAAAATGAATTGGATATTATGTATTGTTCTTCTATTATTTACTTCAATGTGACATAACAAAGCAAGTTTATCTGCAATGTTTGACACTTGAGACTTTTAGGGCATTTAAACGGCAACCATTTCATTTCCGCAATGAAGCTGATAAATTGACAAGGCTTATATCTATTTGTCTCAAAATGTTTTTCTGTTTATATTCAGAATAAATACATTTCAATCCATAGTATTCAATGCTCTTTAAATGCTTTACTATAGCTAAAACTACAGCTTTTTAACGAAAGCCACAGAAATATTAACAGCTCGTATAGAGAGTTGTGGGTCTAGTTATGCTCTAACAAGGGAAACCTAACATTTGTGGTTATCCCTTAACAATTGTTTTTCCACTTTAAAAAATCCTTAGAAAGATGAATTCCAGTATTTCATACTAACAATATTGTCAACCACAAAAAGTATTTTGCTCACACAAAGTGTATAAATCCTTACAAGTGAAAGCAAAGTTGCACATTTATAGTGTTTAACATTCAGACAAGTAAAACAAGCTCAATCCTGTGCCTGAAATGTGACAATTATCATGACAAATGGACCATTTCATTCATTAGACAACATGTCAACCCTACTCTGTCACAATTAGATAACTAATAGCCTAAACTTTGGACAAGGTTTGTAAACAATAGATGAAAAATTAAATATATCTGCTTTTGAAAAATCCTTTTCCTGTACCTAATTCAGTAGCAATTTATTCAGATAATATATTTATCATTGTATAGACTTAACTCCAGGTCTTTCTGTTCTGGGTCCATAAGTTCGTAAAGTTAACATTCGAAACTTTAATTTGTGATCAACAGAGCAACTAGGAATATATCTTTATTTAATGGAGACAAGACCCAACATTCAACTTCAAATGTTCAAAATTCACATTACATTTAACATATTTTTGAACGAATAAGGCTTTGAAATCACTAAAATACTCCAGTAGATATGATTATCAACGTATCACTTCAATAGTCATAGCTTTTAAATAAGTTTAAAAAAATAAAATATTGTCAAAGGTGTTGGTTCATCTCTTTCACAAAAACTGGAGCTATTCCAACACTTATCAAAGAATACCTCTTGTGAAAAGCGAAACGTTTGTCACTGTATAAGTAAAATACATTGAAAATTTTCAAAAGGACTCTTAAAAATGCTTTTGATGAAAAAAGTGGCCAAGATAGAAGTTCATTTATATGTATGCGGACAGGATGCGGTGTGAATAGATATTCCTCATTTCCTTAACTACAGACTAAAAGTTAAGGGCAGGTAGCATACATAAATTGGAACTCGCAAGCCATTACGCACGAAATTGACAAGCCATAATTCCTCGCCGTTCCTAAACATTCTTTTAAACGATTAGTGCCTCTCAGAATTCAAATGGCCGCATTGGAAAAACCCAGAATATTGCTATTAAATGTTAATCCTCACGCTTCCTTTCGGTTTAATGTATGTTTTACAAAATATCTCTGGACAAAGAAATTCAGGAAAAAATAATCAGAACTACAATAAATGGGCTAAAGATTTATTACGAAGTCCTTCTATTACTAGTACTTTACGTAGCGCAATACTTCGTTGATTACAATTTAAATTCTAATTGAGGTTCAAGGAAATCTCGATCTGCTAAATTCGAAATCAAACACTTTTTAACTGAAAACCGAATGATCATAATCGTTTTGACTCAAAAACGAATATTTAATATCGTTCGAACAAGAATTGGATTAGCAATTTCACGTGAAATGTACGCTACACTTTTTGTGTATTTACGAGTATGTAGGAGTTTATGTACACGATCATTTGATAGCTACCAGCTTTTCGACGAATTAATGGGACTCTCACTAAAGGAATGTCAATAGTTCTCTCACACGTGTGACCATTGTAGCGGCAACTGCATTCAAACGGCATATTTTAAACGCGCATTTAAATATGAACGAAAGAAAATATTCACACAAAACAAACCCGCTTACCTGCATTTACCATTTTCACAAGTTCCAGTCCCACAACCTCCTGATGTACAAGCAGCAACTAAAAACAAAACAAAAAAGGTCAATTTGTGAGCTGCATTGCCTCTAGGGTGGTTTATTCAGAGTAAACTTAATTTCGCTAGTTGTCACAGTGTCGTCAATTAAACGCCGCCACCATATAGAATACTACAAAAACACGTATGATGGCCCCCAGAACAGTTATTTAAAGTTAATAGTATCGGACGTGTGTTTAAAGTTAATGTTATCGAATCGTTAAGCGTTGTAGTCAAATCATCAACATAGCCATAATTTTTTGACGCGATATTACGCGATGATATCTCGTAGAAAGGCTGATTGTCAATACCGCCGCCATTATTCGAGTCAAAATTTTGACCAAGACGCCAATGGTAGGCAATGGTTGATTAACCAGCTATCCCTATATTACATCCCCATCAAACGCCGCGCATATGATGTGATGAAGTGAACATGTAACAAGTCTGTGCGATAGTTTCAAATCAGGCACACGACTACGTATTTGGCACTCATATAATAATCACGGTGAATCACGTCAAGGCACTCGCAAACGACAGCGAAATTTCCATTTAAATTACGACCATAAATGCAGCCATATATGCTACAGTGGATTCCTAGATTCCCAGCAACGTCCGTATAACAAATACGCGGCCTTATAGGAGTAAAGAGTCACGCTTCGGCAAAATAACATTCAACCTGGTCGACACATACCAGAATTAATGATCAACAGAGTCGACAGAAAAATTCCAACGCATAACCACACTAAGAAGCGATCCATTACTTGATTAGTCCAATTCATACACACAAATGAACCCTAACTCCTCATTCCAATGGTTTCCGTATATAATCTTTGCGTACAATCGTGAAGATTTACCAAATTGCTACTTCGCTATTATATTGTATCTTTCGCCATTCGCCAATTCTATGTTGTTTCGACTGTGCCGTGGAATACAAACAGCAGTGCCAAAAGCCAACGCTCAGCCAATCAAAATGGCCATTATAAGACCTGACCAATCAGCGACGCGATACCTAAGTCAATATTACTCTGAAGAGTGTAGGTATGTTCTGTGGCCCCTGGGGGTTCAAAGAATTAATGAGCAAGACAACACAAAACTGCAATAAAACACCTGGACTGTGGTTAAAATTATTCAATTATTATAGATGCTGATCGCTTTCAATAGATTTGAATCAAATAGACGCGAAGCAAAACTATACCATCTAATACGCGTCACTTGGTGAGAGAAAACAGCTATAGCACATATTTGCGTAAATTAGCACGTAATTTAGATCTGTAAAGAGCTCCTATTCTGCCTCGTATTCGCAGTGATTCTTGCATTCAATTAGAACCATTCGAAATTTGTTCTAATCAGAATTGTTGCCCAATTGGAATGCTCGCAGAGTGTTCTAATAAAAATCAAGGCGACAGTCACAAACAGTACAAGTGAAGTAAAATTTTCGGTGAATGAACAACGGACGTCAATACAATCACACTGGGATAAAACTACTTTGCAACACAAAAGAGCTGGCCTCTGATTTCACACAGCCAAACCATCTCAGAAACACTCAAATAACATGTTTACATGTTACATAATTTTTCATGCATGGAATTTCCAAATAGAAATGTAGAAAAAATCCTGATCAGGCGTGCCAAAGGGTCTTTCAATGTTTACTCCGATGTCACACATGGCAGAAAAAATGTGTCCTAAGACAATATAGGCAGGTAGATTAGCGACTTTAGGTAATTTTACATTGTAAATACAAACGAGTAATTGGCATTTTTTCGCGCCGTTTTGTCTCAAGTGCAAATCCGTAGTTCAGCCCCTAATGTCAACGAGTATAAAAGGAAAATTTTCCTGCTGCGTTATTAGGCCAATCTTACGTGAGAGAAGTCAAAAACATGTCATAGAACAAGGCCTACAGCTTATCAGTTTTTTCAATCTGCTTTACTTATGCCACAAAGCAAATAAACTTTATTTAGGTATAGCCCACGTCTGAGTTTTGCAATATTCAAACTTCTCAGAACTCGGCAGAAGCAAATCAGCTAAAGGTATAGCCCACTGGCCAAATCATACAAAGCTGTGGTATTCTATATAACTGACTTTTTAAGCATGATTTGCTTTTCGACGACATCTATATATTCATTAATTTTCTCACGATTCCAATTGAAACTGATCGCACAGTTGGTTGACCGTATTGCATGATGCAGTCATATGCCGGAATACGCTTTTGTCACGCTTTTCTATCATTCTTTATTTCACAATGTATAAATAATGACCGAAATGGACTCGGAAATAGAAATAGGATTTCATCTATTGTTAAAAGAGAATATGTTTAGATGCCTGAAACATTGTCTCTTTATACCGGGGGATTTTGCTTTATATTGCTATTGAAACTTGCGAGTCCCTCGCAACACTGCGACGTTTCAATCTTCTTGCTAGTTGATAACCAATATAATATAGACGCATTTTAATACGTTTTTATGTTCTTGATAATGTCAGATTTCATTCCCGCTTTATACAGGATTTTTGAATTTAGTCGTCGACGCATACTATATAAAAGCTCCCTTATTAATGTTATAGTCGACTTTTTAAACTTCCCCTATAAATAAATCATACTGTCTTTGTAGTCGAAGTATCCAGAACTATTGAATTACGCAACTGTTATGACCTTGTAGGTCGGCAACACGGTAGCTGATTAGTATCTTGAATCAGTATCGATTTTCAACAGGGGTCACCTACACGTGTACCTATTTTTTCACGTAAGTAAAACGCTGACCTTGTAGTATTATAATACGGTTCTGAAGATAATTAGTTTAACATACACTGAACTGATTTTATCAGTGAACTTCTTGTATCTTGTATATTGGTATGATATCTTGTGCATGTCAAATTCTAGCATTAGCCTATGATTTCGCAAGATGTCCACTTCATTCAACTGTTAATCTATGAACTGAAACCGTTTACATTTCTAATTCAATTCAATTTGAAAAGGTGAACGAGCGAGTATCTAAGTCATGCATGTTCAGATAAGAGAACGGGGCACCTCAAAATCAAATAATTTATCAAGTCGCTCGTTACCAGCTATCAAAGCCGGAGAAAGAAAATCGAAGCAAAAATTGCCCTATGATGGCCCTATGTTTGCTGTTTCGCCATTGCATTACTGCAATCCTTGACCAAGTAAATCGAGCGTAGCGTCGCCGAAAATAGGGCCTGTCAGCACGAACACTTTTGTCCCATTTGATGTACTTAAGATCTTTGTATCATACGTCTAAAGCGAACCTTAAAAAGTGTATTTTTTCAGCATTATACGATCACTCGTACATGGTTGATAACGGCCTACCTAAACAAGTTTTGAAGCTTGCCGATTGGACTAACCAGCTATCGTGAATGAGGTTGCCAAGCATAGAAGTTATATATTTTTTATGCAAAAAACGCGTGACTGGAAACTAAACACCCTGTTGGTATGAAGTTTGACAACTGATTGCAACTTTCGTACATTAATTTAATCCAGTCATTAGGGAACTGTTCAAATCTGTGGGAAAATTTCCGATTCTTTATTTTACGATGCACTTTTCGCAACAGGAGAGCACTAGCGTCGTCACGCCCGTTTGCCTACCCAGTGGTTGCTCGCGCACTTCAAACGCGTACCGGTCCGTGATTGGCTGAAACAATACGATCACCATGGAAACGGGCACACAGTCATTGATTGTCGGAACTAGGCGAGGGTGCAGAGCACAATAGCACTGTGGTCAGTTGTAATGATAATGCAAGTACTTTAGGAAATTTGAAGCTTGGCTAGTTTGAATACAATAAATAATAGATTTATTATTGAACTGGCAGCATGTGTTCTTGCGTTGACATAGGGTCCGCACACTTATTCTAAAATACTTTAGCCATATACAGAGAAGCATAGGCCTATATACACGAACTCTATATCTGCTGAAAAACATCGGCATATTATATTCTTTACTGCGATGAAGCAGCATGGAATTGTTTTATCAGTTATCATCAACATATTTGCCTTTTGTGACCGGTGTTTGATTTTTTTAGACTTTTTCTCACAGTGTACAATGCAACGTGGCATTCTTACCGTGAGTGTGAGAACTTTTTAACTCGGAAAGTTAACAAAACATCAATAAAACAGGACAGCTAGAACAGTGTCAGAAACGTCTGCCATGTGGTTACTCGGCAATTTCTTCATACATTGTACGATTCTTTATAACTCTGTTAAAATTATAACCGAAAATTATTCCCAGTACCGTTATATAGAATAGGTCTTAGTTAACCGCCATCATTCACTTCGCAATTAAGACGATGTGTGGAAACTCGATAAATCTCAAACAAATAATAATTTTGTAATAGTTTTAGACTATATAGTACACATAGTCCACAAAATTCAATCATGTTTTGAGTACCGTACGGATCGCTTTTGTGTCTCTCCCAGACTGCATGTGGTCAATGTGTGGGTGTTTTTATTTTTACCTCTAAAATGGCGACTAAAATAGCTTCCGCTCACGCCCAGAAGATCCTTTCTTTCTTCAACTTCCTATAGACTAATTATTGACGACGTGCATAATCAAAGTCAAAACCAGTATAGGCAAATGTATATATACTAGTTACATTCACTATACTGTAACATATATCTATTTAAATCTGGTTTAAACACAATTATTCACGCGACTGCTATTCAAGGTTCTTTCCTAAAATTTCATGCAAATTTACCCCATGTACGTCTTTTCTGTTGTGAAACAATTAGTAAGCTACATCAGTTCTGCCACAGAGTAAATCATCTATCGTCTAAAATGAGTTTCCGATGAGCGTTTATATAACTGGACACTATATAAGTAGAAAAATCTAGTAGCTTTGAGATGAAATCTAGTATATTCGAAAAAGTTCAAAACAGAAAAACTGCGTGTAGGTTTTATATACAAGCAATTATTTGTCCATTTTGTCCAGTTTTCAGAAGGCTATAGCCACAGCTTCGCTGAGTTCGCGATTTTGGTATCAACAAAGAGATTCTTTACTTATA